CTTCGCAACATCATCCCTCGACATGGCATCCCTAAGGCGGTAGTGTCAGATCGAGGGTCAGCTTTCACAAGCATGTTTTGGACTCGGGTGTGTGAGAAATTAGGCATTAAGAGACGACTCTCCACAGCCTATCACCCAGAGACTGACGGAGCTACAGAGCGAATGAACCAGACCCTGGAAATCTACCTACGCAAGTACGTTAGCTTTCAACAGGATGACTGGCGTGAATGGCTCCCTCTAGCAGAGCTGGCCATCAATAATAGAGATGCTGCCTCAACGGGTGTGAGCCCGTTCTTTTTAACGCACCTTTTCCACGTCTCCTCCATTGATATAGCCGATGCACCCCCCGTTGAAACGCCACGTAATCCCATTGAGTTTGCGGATGATTACATGAGGAAGGCCCGCGAAGTGTTGGAGTGGGCTCAAGTAAAAATGGCGGATGCTCAGCAATCTCAAGAGAAATACGCGAATAGACGAAGAGACCCGGCTTCAAGCTTTCAACCTGGAGATAAGGTCTGGTTGAGCTTAGAGAACATGAGAACTAATCGCCTGTGCAAGAAGCTGGACGCGAAATACAATCAATATACTGTGCTAGAAAAGATAGGATCCCATGCTTACCGACTGGACATCCCACCCGGCATTCACAATGTCTTTAATGTAAAGCTTCTACATGCTGCGGCGACGGATCCCTTGCCTAGTCAGAGGCAAACTGACTGGCAGCCACCCGCTATAGAGACCCCGGAAGGACCTGAGTTTGAGATTGAGGAAATTCGGGGCGAACGAACCTACTGGAGGAAAAAGCAATACCTCATTAAATGGGTAGGTTGGGCTGAGCCTACGTGGAATGACGCGAGTCTCCTACAAGAAGCGAAGGCCTTGAACGCTTGGGAGGCCTCTCAGCAGGCAAAATTAGGTGTAAAGAGGGCTTTAAATAGTCGTAAAGGCCCGCAACAAAGAGGGAGAAGGGGGGTAGTATAAGGGGTTGAACCCCTAGATTCGCTCTGGCTGGCTGACTCAGCCTAGCCATCGTTTGCACGTGCGCACGTGATCATGCTACGCGAGCTTGCTTAAGCTCGAGTTCTCGTCTCATTCTTTTCTTCCCTTTCTCAAGCAATTCGTCCTTGTTATATAGGAGGACTAGCCTCTAGTTCTTAGAGCTTAACCCTTTACAGAATCTTTCAGACAGTTATTGACAAGATTCAGATAATCTTCAACAACATTGTTTGAGTCATTCTATCTGTCTTTGTCATAATATCTATCTCTGTTCTTCTATACAAATCAGATTGAGACTCAGTCAAAGTCTAACTAGAAAGAATATATGATCAACTAGTCATTTACATAGCTGCAGCTGATCTGTTGCACTCTCTATATTGAAAATGATACATCTCATATTTTAAATGAATTAGGTGAAACATTAAAATGACAGCTATCATATTTGATTCAGAGTTCTTGTCTTTTTAAAACAATTCTGCCATATCAAATAGAGAGTAAAAGACATTAGAAATTGAAGCTGTGAGACAAGCTCCAGAATCAGCAGCTTTTCAAAACTGACTTCAGAAAGCTGTATCTCTTCTTGATCTCATCATATACATTGATGACTTCAAAAACAGTCAAGAAGTTTCAGATGAAGATCACTGTTTATACTGAGGAACAAATTAATCTCTGAAGTTTGATAAGCTGCTTCTGAACTACACTACTGAGGTTTTTGATGCTGAAGTGCTTGCAGCAGTAGCTGATTTTGAGACAGCACTACAGAATTCCTTCTTTATATTCATACAGCATATTATAGTGACTCTAGATAATAAAGAGACTACAATAAGACTTTACACAAACACACTTACATGAACATCTTTTTTTATCTTTGCTAAGTTTAATGAACTTTACAAATTCTGAACAAAATAGAGCTCAGATTCAGCTGGCTTAAGACAAATCTACATTTACTAATGCTCTGATCACATTGAGATTTCAGACAATGATGCTGCAGATGCTGTAGCCAAGTCAATCTGCATAATAAAATGCACTCACTGCACTTTGACTCTGGCATGAATTAAATTCTATACTAAAAAATGCTTCAATGCCTCACTGCAATAATACTGAAGCTTCAATAGCACATCATAATACAAGAATCTCAATATTTCAATGTTAAAAGAACTCTTCTCTGAGCTCACTCTTCTCTAAAGAAATCTAAGTCACTTGCTGGCAGCTAAAACAGATCACAATGGCTTTGCAGTCTATTATCACAAATGAGCACATGACAACATACTCCTCATCTACTCTTGCAGCTGAGATAAGACCTCTGAGCACTTCTTTTGCTGAAAAGACTGAAATATTAAGCAAATTAAAACCTCTGAAGCATGCTAAAAATCAAAGAAAGCAATTGACTGACTTCTTAGCACAGTAAAAGAAGCTATGATCTTCTTTATCTAGTGCACTAATACCTGCTTCTTCATTGACATCCAACACTGCTACTAGAATCTGTTCAACATCTGACTTCTCTCTCCCTCTCTCTCTTTTCTATGTTTCTTATATACATTTCTCATCACCCCTACACATCACTCTAGAAGTCCTTGGCTTCCTCAGTCCTGTAACCTTCAGCTACTACACCATTCAGAACCTCCAGGACAGAGGCTACTCTGTACATAGACTCTCAAGAGGGCTTCGGCTGACTAAACATGTCAGGCAGCAGACTAGCTGCTACGCTGGCACGCCTGATACCCTTAGGGGCCGCGACAGCAGACTATTCTTAGTCAGCTGATCACGTGCCTCCAGGCATTAAATAAGTAATAATAATAATAATAATACATATATTACTTTATATAACAGACTAGTCGCTGAGAACAGCTGATAACTAATGCGTATAAAAACAAAGAAAAATCATTAAAGAAGGCAAAAGAAAGACAGATCATGTAGCGATCAGACTTCTTTTATATAGAGCAGGCTTTGATAGTAAGGGGCTTCATTCAAGGATAATTGAGGCATTGCCTAGAGGCGCCGCCTCGGTAGTTTACCGATAAGGTGGAGTGCTACTTTGATAGCGCCACTCAGAGAGCGCTGTGCATAGATCTTGTGAAGGCCTGTGGTGAAGGCGCTGCCTTGATATCGCCGCCCTGATAGCGCTGCTTCGATCGTACGAAGGCAGAGCCTGAATATCATGAGGGTTAGGGCATAGCCCTATAAAGAAGAAAATGTGGGATTGTTGAATCTCTCATATTGGGAGGCCTAGCTAGCTATCTAATATACGCTATATCACGTGCGGCGGGGCGGCCACATACGCCCAACAGAAGAAGAAGAAGAAGAAGAAGAAGAATTCATAATGTCTTTAAAAGAAACTCACTCAATTGATTTCAATATTCTCTTTTCTCAATCTAAGTATAATATTCTATATATTTTAGAGTGTAGGAGCAAGTCTACAGCTTAAGAGATGCTTTCCATGCAGTAGAAGTTGATTTTCTCGTGAATTGATGATTTTTTTATGATATTTTAAGATTGCTTCAGAATCTTAGACTGCTTCACCTCTATAGTAGCATATTGATGTCATTTGACTGATTTTGAAATTTTTGAAAGTAGCAAGGTAATTTGGAATCTCTTGCAATCTTAAATCTTTAATTGCTAATTTAATAGCTTCTTCATTGTTTATGATGATATACTGAGTGTGCTTATTTAGTGATAAATTAATTACATTACATGCAGCAGCTCAAACATGTGAAATTTGACCATTTTTATAAATGGCTAAAAAAAGTTTTACCCTCTTGATAGAGAGCTTGACTATTGCTAATTATTGACACTTTGATTTTATAATTTAAAAACACATCGTGTGACAGAGCAATGGCCAACTCACTTGTTAAATTATGCTTATAGTAAATAAATCTCTTCATGATTACATGAAAACAGTTTTTTCAAATGATCATCATGTGCAAATCTATAATCAATGGTTCCAGGTGCTCCTGTGAGGTGTTCTCTTAAGTCTGTAATAAGTATAAATAGTACTATCATGATATCATAAGATAAAGCAGCATCAACGAAGAAACTATTATATAACATAAAAGAGTCTCATGACCATGCATGGCATTAAATTACTAAAAGTCACAAAGTTTGCACACTAAAAGAAGATTGTAAGGTTAAGAGAATGAGTGCTTCTGGGGAAGTCGGCCCCTTTCCGCCTAGTCGTTCTCGTAATAGCAACATTTGCAATCAATCAAGCTTGCCATTCTGTCAAAGATAACATTGGTAGTTGTTAGTTAGTCAATTAAAATTGGATAACTCAAACCTTTTGGATAAAACTCCAAAGCTTAAAAAAGAAAAAAAAAAAGTGTACCAGTCAACCAACTCTTCTTCCTTCCACTTCACGGCTTTCCGCGGTTCAACGACTCTTCGCGCTTCTTCTGCCCCGTCCTTCTTCCCCAGCTTTCGCACATGTTCAAGTTAACTACAGAAAAAGCACCCGCCCCTTGTTTTTAAATATCCCTTTCATTCCCAACACACCAACCATTCCCTACTATCCCCTCCTCTCAATATCCATAACCCTCCATTCCCTTTTCCGTTTTAATACCAATCCTCTCTCCTCACTCTGCTTCCCCCCAAATATCCCCCTGCATACGGCATAGGAAGACAAAAAAGAGAATAGTAAAGAGACAGCAAGTCGCAATCATGTGTGGGATTTTCGTGTGCCATTGGTATGTATTTCATTTTTCGTCGCAGTCCATGTCCCTATTCCACAATACATGATAGAAAAATACGTCCTGCCTCAGCAGAGGGACCCTCGAATTCCATATTTCTTCTGAAAGAATGAGATGGATTGACTTTTAACTGACATGATTTTCCTCAATGCAGTCATCCAGATGTGCAGAAGTTCAAGCCGGTAGCTCTGCGCATGGTGAAAGCGTGAGTGGTTCTTGGATACCGTTTTTGCCTGCTCCTCGACTCCCGAAATGTTTGCAGATTGGAAATATAGAAGAAAGAAAGGAAATAAAAAGACATCCAAAAATATAATAGAATGCATAATGGCTAAAATATTTTCTATGTTTGAGACATACAGTGTGCGCCATCGCGGCCCTGATTGGAGTGAGTCATATACAACCTCCCCTCTCATTTTTTCTTTTCATCCTTTGATGGAAGGGAGAGGAGGAGAAAAGACCTTAAATTCAATTAAATCATGCTCTATATCTAGCTGACATATATGTTCCTTTCTTCTTCTTCTTATATATAGGTGGAAACTTTATTGCGAACAACACAAGTCAGTTTTGGCCATACAGGACATATTTACCCGGTTCCCTGTGCAGTCCGTTGTTACTGACTGAACTCGGATATTTGACTAGTCCTTGCACATGAGCGGTTGAGCATTATTGGTCTCGGTATGTTTTTTTCTTCTTTTTTTCTCCCTCCTTTCAATTCTCTTATTTCCTCGCCACTTCAAAGATAGCAAGTGTGTAAGCAGAAAAGAAATACTGACGACTTTTGGGTTTTAAGATTCCGGCTCCCAGCCCCTTGTTAATGATGATGAAACCTTCGCTCTCGCGGTCAACGGCGAGATTTATAACCACAGAATCTTGCGAAAGGGTCTGAAAACTTCATATAACTTCAAGACGCAGTCGGATTGCGAAGTTATCATCCCCCTGGTGAGTTTTGGATTTTCCCTGTCCTTCGTTTACAATATAGCTTTAGTCATACGTCTAACAAAAATTTGTTGATTGAATGAGTAGTTCATGGAGCATGGCATCGACACCCCTAAATACCTCGACGGTATGTTCTCATGGGTCCTCTTCGACAAGAAGGAGGACAGAGTTGTCGCTGCCCGAGACCCAATCGGTATCACGAGCTTTTACCAGGGATGGTCCTCTCAAACACCTGGCGCGGTCTATTTCGCCTCTGAACTAAAGTCGTTGCACCCCGTCTGCGACAAGATCATCTCCTTCCCACCAGGCCACGTATATGATTCGAAAACAGACACTATGAAACGTTACTTCGAGCCTACATGGTGGGATTCAACCAACGTCCCAACGGCCCCCGTTGACTACAAACTCATCCGCGAAACGTTGGAGAAATCCGTGCGCAAACGGTTGATGGCGGAGGTTCCATATGGTGTCCTGCTTTCTGGGGGCCTGGACTCGAGCTTAGTGGCCTCCATTGCGCAGCGGGAAACGCTGCGGCAACAGCAACGTGCTGCTTCCGGCAGCGGTGAGAACGGACATGTCAACCGGGTAGCGTCCGGCTCGGGACTGGTGGGCATTGACGATTCTGACGAACTATCCACGATCACGAAACTGCCACAGCTTCATTCGTTTTCTATTGGCCTCCCCGATTCCCCTGACACTAAGGCGGCGCTTGAAGTGGCCAACTTCCTCGGAACGAAGCATCATGCCTTTACCTTTACGGTGGAAGATGGCCTCAGCGCCCTCTCGGATGTCATCTACCACCTGGAAACGTACGATGTGACCACCATCCGCGCATCGACACCCATGTACCTGCTCAGCAGAAAAATTAAGGGGCTAGGCGTAAAGATGGTGCTTAGCGGTGAGGGCAGCGATGAGATCTTCGGCGGGTACCTGTATTTCCACGCCGCGCCAAGCAAGGAGGCCTTCCACGAGGAGACTGTGTCACGTGTAAAACATCTGCATCTGGCCGATTGCCTGCGTGCCAACAAGTCAACCTCCGCATGGGGTGTTGAGGCTCGCGTCCCTTTCCTTGATAAGCAATTCCTCGAAGTCTCCATGGGCATCGACCCACAGGAGAAGATGATTACAAAAGACCGGATTGAGAAATACATCCTGCGCAAGGCGTTTGATACCTCTGATGAGGGGCCGGATGCGAAGCCGTACCTGCCTGAGAATATCCTGTGGAGGCAGAAGGAGCAGTTTAGTGATGGGGTTGGGTATGGATGGATTGATGCTTTGAAGCATAATGCGGAGTTGCATGTTACGGATGAGATGATGAAGAATCCTAACCCGGAGTGGGGGGATGAAGTGCCGGATACTAAGGAAGGGTATGTTTGTAACCCCCCCACCCTCCTTTTTTTTTTCTCTCTTCTTCTTTTCTTTCTTTTCTTTTTCTTCTTTTCTTTTCTTCTCTTTTTCTTTTCCTTTTTTTTGGGTCGGATGAAATATGTTCATTCATAGTTGGGAAAGGGGGGATTGAGATTAACTGGTTTACTCTAGATTCTGGTATCGTATGATGTTCGACGAGCACTTTCCGCCATACTGCGCGTCGACGGTGATGCGGTGGACGCCAAAATGGTCGAAGCAGACGGATCCCAGTGGACGGTATGCATTATCCATTGTCCTGGTGGAATCTCATAAACTGGATTACTAATAGTGGCACAACCAATTTGCAGTGCGATTTCGATACATATTGCCAAGTACGAGAACTAGAATGTTAAAATACATATCTCTGTGCGACCCTTCTTCCTGGATGTGAGTATGGATGAAGCCGCCTAATCTGTGTCTATGATAGAAAAGTATATGGCCTGAGTTTTACTTCTTTGTGTTTGAAGCTCTCTCTCATCTGTAGTTGGTGGCCTGCCTGCTTCTTGTCTCATTTCGGCGGATAAAAGTTTTCCTTTTTAACTTGATCTTCCTTGGGTTCCCTTTTCCTTTCATCTTGTCTTGGAAAGCTGTGTTATCTTCCGAATAAACCTTTCTATTTGCATCTGGCGATTTTACATTTTCCATTTCTGTGTTTTGGTTCCCTGTGATTATTAGAAATCCCTGAAAACTGCCATTTCCAGGTAACAAATTTGAGCAAGCACAAAACCTGAAATCGAATACTCTGGTTTCTTTCTCTCTTCCTATCTATCAGATGTTTTTCCCCCCTTCGTAGTAGATGCCGCAAGGTTTGAAGCAGAAGCGAGATCACGTGGCAACTACAGCACAGCCAATCAGACGCCGCCTCGCCCCACGGTGCCTGGAATCGGCTAAGTAATGCCACCGGATTAACCCTCGCTCCGGCCCGGCTGCGCTGTCCGTTCCGCTTTGCCAGAAATCTGAGGCCTCTCCCAACAACTAACTGCTTGCTCGCTCTGTTCGTGATCCTTACTCAAGCATTCCAACCTCACGCTCGCCACGAATCTCTGCCTCTTCATCCCTCTCTTGAAGATTCTTTCCCCTTCAGCCCCCTTCTACTCTCACTCTTTAGCCCACAATGCCTTCTCCACCTGCTTTCAGCGACATTGCCAAGGCCGCAAATGATGTATGCAAAATGCCAAAACACGGGATCTCAACCCCGCCCCCTTTCCCAGCTGCGAATTTGAAACACAAATCTAACCCCCAGAGATGTTGTATTGTTTGTAGCTTCTGAACAAGGATTTCTATCACACTTGTGCTGGTACTGCACCCTGCTTCCCAGTCTCAATTGGTATATCTTTTGGCCTTCAGAACTCGTGCTGACTGAACCGCTTCGCATTGTCGGCAGCCAACCTCGAGGTCAAGTCAAAGGCCCCCAATGGCGTCACTTTCAACGTCAAGGGAAGATCTGCCCACGAAGGTCCTATCAGTGGATCTGTAAGTCCGATGTGATAATATCTACAGTTCATTTGAGCCGTGCCGCAGAACACTGGAGGCGGAGAATTCGTTGGGTACTAATATTCCGACTCGATTTGGCGCAGCTCGAATCCAAATACGTTGATATGCCAACTGGTAAAGCCTCCCCAGACACCCCACGCAAGCCATCACCTACCCGTCTTCAAAGAAAGAAAAAAAAAAAAAATTGAATGGCCCAATTCTTCCCCGGATCTGATGCAGATTAACTTCGCACACATCCGCTTTCGCCCATCCAATCTTCTAAATTTCGTCATTTCATCTGGATTCGCCAGCCATAAATAATACTAATGTTTCACCCCTTTCCAGGCCTCACCATGATCCAAACGTGGACCACCGCCAACTCCCTCGACACCAAGCTAGAGCTGGACAACACCATCGTCAAGGGCCTTAAGGCTGAGATCCTCACTCAATACCTGCCCAGCTCCCAGTCCAAGGGCGCTAAGTTGAACCTCTACTTCAAGCAGCCCAACATCCACGCTCGCGCCTTCTTCGATCTCCTCAAGGGCCCCACTGCCAATATCGACGCTGTCCTTGGCCACGAGGGTTTCCTTGTTGGCGCTGAGGGTGGCTACGATGTACAGAAGGCTGCCATCACCAAGTACTCTGCTGCCGTCGCATACAGCGTGTCCGAGTACACCGCCGCCATCACCGCATCCAACAATCTCAGCCTCTTCTCCGCCAGCTACTACCACCGTGTCAACGCACAGGTCGAGGCTGGTGCGAAGGCCACCTGGGACTCCAAGGTTGGCAACACTGTTGGCTTGGAAGTTTCCAGCAAGTACCGACTTGATCCCTCCTCCTTCGCTAAGGTGAGTTTTATAAAATGGCTTTTTCATAAAACCATTAACCCCCTCCTTTTCCCGATTGCCTTTTCCGCAGCTTACTTAATTCACGATCAAATCTGTCCCAAATCTAGGCTAAAATCAACGACCGTGGTATTGCCGCATTGGCTTACAACGTCCTCCTCCGCCCCGGCGTGACTCTCGGCCTTGGTGCATCCTTCGACACCCAGAAGTTGCACCAGAGCGCCCACAAGGTCGGAGCCAGCTTCACCTTTGAAGGATAAAAAGAATAAGAGACACATGAAGCAGGCAAGAATGATATACAGAGAGAGAGAGAGGGAGAGAATGTGTGTGTGTGTGTGTGTGTGTGTGTGTGTGTGACATAAACTTTGTATTCTATACATAAATTCCAGAGATTTTTCAGAAATACAATTCCTTGGGCCTTTTTTTCAAAGTTTTCTACTCTAGAGCTAAGCTACTTGTTTTGTTTTTTTCTGCTTCTTTTCTTGCTTTTGCTGCAGTCCACAGGCTGGTACCACCTTTTGCTTTTATGGTCTCCCTGTTCCTTTATATTTGTTTTTCCCTTTCAATCTACTCCCACCCGACCCTCTCTCTTCATAATGATTGGTTATTTTTGTGTGTACCTCAATACCTGGCTTTATTCATGTGCCTATACCAAAGACTGTGAGACAGCAAGATAGTGTGTAGAGGGATTTGATGAGTGGAATATCTTAGTATAAGCAAGATAACCAAGTTTTGAGTTGTGTCAGTTTTGGAATTTTCAATTTTCACACCCTTTTTTTTCCTGCCAAAGAAGTAAATTAAGAGAGAAATTGAGCGAGAATAAAACATGATAATGAATGTTTTATTGTTTTTTGTCTAAGCATATAGTCATGCCTATTATCCCATGGCAGGAGCAGCAAAAAGGTCATTCTCATCATCGCAAATCTTCTACCCAGAGGAGACATGAAGTGGGTTATCACTGATCACAGATGCATGAATTCAAGTAATAGGAGGGGTTAATCCAATCTCACACTACTCTCCTTTTTCACGATGGCTCTTTTCCCTTTACTATTAATAATAGATTTGACACTACACCCCTTGCATCCACCCTCCCACCCCCCTTTATGATCCCCCTTTCTAATCCCTTGGTATATACTCGGGGTTCGACAGAGTCAAGCATATCCTACTATCACCCCCACCTCGTCAACAAAACCTCTCCTAGGCCTCCGGCTTTCTTTCAATCCACACCAGGGCACCAAAACCGGGGGGGGGGGGTGTGAAGGTACAGAGGAGTATGTGTTCGCATTTGATTCTCCGGAGGACCGAAATGCTAGCTTGCACACAGGGTTGGCTCATTGGAGTATACCGCAGATTGGGGTGTGGTTTCGTTTGCCAGCTACAGAGCATGACTTCGGCGAAGGAGATTGCAATGGATCTCGAAATGAGTTGGGGACCCACGCCGACACGACAAGGTTCTCCGCGTGGGGTGTTCACTTAGGTCATTGCTAAGTTCCCATTCCCGTATCGTACTATATCAAGGTATGTACAAGCATGTGCATGTGACTTGAAGAAAATTCCCTTCATAAACTTGGAACTCTGAAAATGATGATGACCTGGGACAAATTATATGGTTATACCAACACCATCATCAGACGGATATACATAGACAGCTGATAGGCCACTCATATAGAGCTGAATGGGGAGATTGGGGGGAAGGGGAGGGAAAAATGCCCGCGTTAGAAAAGGAAGCAAAGGTAATTAAAATATCATTTCAGCTCATGTGGTTCAGTTTACGCCCTATGCTCGTGCACCTTTGGTTGTCGAATGAGTCCGGGGGGTAGCTGGGTATTCTTTGCGAGGTATGCCAGCAGGAGTTGGCTGCGCAGGAATAAATGATTTCCCCAAACTCGCAGCCAGAGTACCTAGCCCCAAAATTGCCAATATGGCAAAAACACTCCTAGACATACTCCCATCAGCATCTTCCATAAGCAGCCCTCCTTGCTCTCGGATGCGCGCTTTCTCCCGCTCCATCGCCCTTTGGCGGCGGACACGCCTTCTCTCGTCCTCGTGTAGCTGTGTGCGGAAATGAGATTGCGCGTCGAAGTGGGAGATGGGGTTGTGGTATATGAATGTAGCGATTGGGTCTGAGGATGCGGTTGACGCAGAGAAGGTGGAGGATGTATTGGATGTATGTGTCTGGTGGGGATGATGATGGGGATGATGGCGACCCGCGCCATAGCCGCCGTGCGCATAGAAGCTTGGGGGTGGTCCATGGAATTCGCCTCGTTGTTTGCTCAATCCAAACGGTGGTCGGGAGCCTACGTACGATGCCGCTTTGCAGTGGTGGGAGCTCGTGTATGGGGGCCTGGTTGGCTGGTGAATGTGGTGTTCGCGGTCATAGTTGGCTCGTCTCGTCGCGTGGGAGAGAACGTGATATGCGGAGGATATGGAGGAAAATTTGGCATGTGCTGTTGGATCATTGGGGTTCTTGTCTGGGTGATGGGCAAGGGAGAGAGCATAGAACTGTCTGATGGGGCAAGTTCAGAAATGATTGTTAGGTGAGATGCACTCTACATTGGTGGAAAGACCGGAGCTTACTTTTTGATCTCTGCCGTTGTAGCTGTTGCTGAGACATTTAGGATGTCGTAGTATGAAGGGCTGTGGCTTCTGGCATGTATTGCCGCAGTGTGGAAGAATGACCGTACGGCTAGAGCATTAGGAGGATAAAGGAGGAGAGGAAGGGCCGGAAAAGGAGGTAAACGGGTAAGACACAGTGGCATGCCTCATATCTTCCGAAATACCCCGGGGAAAGGCGAAAAAGAAAAGGAGCAGAAGCGGACAAAGTGATGTTGTTGTTGATGTTGTCCCGTCGTTGCCGAAATACTACTGTAGTTCGTAATCCTTGGAATTCGAGATATCGGAATCTTGATAAGGCTCTTTTCAACGTTGGACTGAGTTTATCACGTGACACACCGAGCTTGTAGGAAATACTGGATGAATAAGTGAGCTAGGCCGGATCGAGGAGAAGCCTTGGCGATTGAGCCAAACGGAGACGGCCAACGCTCCTCGCCTTGGCCCTCGAACAAACAATCCGAGAAAAATAAGGGTAGATTTCTGCGGGATTGGATTTTCCCAGCCGAATTTTATTCATGAAATATACTATAAAAAACCATGAGAAGGATTAATTATCTGGAACTTCCATTGATTTCTATGCACCAGTCTCCTTCATCTAAAAACAAGTTTGCTCCTCGATCGTTCAACCTAAGGTACATTTTCTCGGCGATCATCACGTGGTTGCATCCGAGACAACTTGAGAAAAGATTCGTGAATTTGCCCTCGTCTGATTGGCTTTCCCCCCAGGCGGACATTTATTCTGCCCAAGGGCGTCTCGTCCGTATATTTTTGCGGCATGACACGGAGACGGATCTTGTAGTTGATGGTGACCGGACATCCGGCTAGGATATCTTTTGTCTTTTTGTAATTATCCAACATGGCGGCTCAAGTTGCATCGGGAGTGGGAAACCTCAACTGTATGCTTCCTGTCTCGTATTCCAACCCCAGATATTCAAAACTATGTTGCTAATCCCACCTCTCCGCTGGTCCCAGTGAACTCTGAAGACGGGGCTGCTGCGAAGAACATATCGGCGCAAGGATCTCCTGAGAATGAAGCGCGAGAGTCTGACGGTGAATATGACGATGATCAAGGAGCCCCAGAGCTAGGCAATACCACGGGTTTGTTATATTTTTCTCAAGGGGCTTGAAAAATTGGATGACAAAGTATATCTAACTTCTGGAGCGAATACTACAGCTGCAAAGAAAAAGAAGAAGAAGACAAAGAAGAAGAAGAAGGGTACCTCGAAAGTGCAAACCGAACCCCCACGCGTAATTCTCTCGAGTCTGTTCCCCAACAATCAGTACCCGGAGGGCGAGATTATCGAATACCAGAATGAGAATGCGTACCGCACTACCAATGAGGAGAAGAGACACCTCGACCGTATGAACAATGATTTCCTCGCCGAATACCGTTACGCGGCAGAAGTTCACAGGCAGGTGCGGCAGTATTCGCAGAAAGCAATCAAGCCCGGACAGACCTTGACGGAAATCGCAGAGGGGATTGAAGAGAGTGTCCGCGCACTCACGGGCTACCCGGGGCTGGAAGAGGGGGATAATTTACGGGGGGGCATTGCATTCCCTACCGGTGTCAATCTCAATCACTGCGCGGCACATTATACTCCCAACGCAGGAAATAAAATGGTCTTGCAGTATGAAGATGTGATGAAGGTTGATTTTGGCGTTCATATAAATGGAAGGATTGTGGATAGCGCATTTACCATTGCGTTTGATCCGGTATATGATAATTTACTCGCCGCTGTCAAAGACGCCACGAATACTGGAATTAAGGTATGTCAATTCTCACGTTTATTCTCTTTTAATTTGGGCTCCTGGTTCCGTCGCGTGAGTGTTCTAAATTATGCTTTGCCTAATTGGGAGTTCTCCCTTACAGCAAGCTGGTATCGACGTTCGGATGAGCGATATTGGTGCAGCTATCCAGGAGGCCATGGAGAGCTACGAGGTCGAGATCAAAGGAACCTCGTACCCCGTCAAAGCCATTCGAAACCTAAATGGACACACAATTGGTCGATACGAGATCCATGGTGGCAAGAATGGGAAGAGCGTCCCAATTGTCAAGGGTGGAGACCAAACCAAAATGGAAGAGGGCGAAGTCTACGCCATCGAAACTTTTGGCAGCACTGGAAGAGGTTATGTTAGGGATGATGTGAGTGCTCTCGAGCTCTCTATTTAGGCCCTGCTAATTAAGGAATTTCACAGATGGAAACTTCTCACTATGCCAAGATCCCCGATGCGCCCAATGTTCCACTCCGCCTCTCATCTGCGAAGAACCTTTTGAATGTCATCACAAAGAACTTTGGCACGTTGCCTTTCTGCCGTCGATATCTAGACCGACTTGGGCAAGATAAGTACCTTCTTGGAGTAAGTTAATATATCCATAAACTATTCAGTGATGCTCGAAAAATGCACTTTGGCTAAACAATAACTGCAGTTGAATAACTTGGTTGCCAATGGAATCGTGGACGCATATCCTCCATTATGTGACGTGAAGGGATCCTACACCGCTCAATTTGAACATGTGAGTTCTCTTGCCCCTCCACTATTTTTACTTGAAGGTGCCTTTTATTAACTGGCGCTCCAGACTATCCTCCTGCGACCAAACGTGAAAGAAGTTATTAGCCGAGGTGACGATTACTAGAGTTTCTCCATACATCTTTTTCCCTCTTCGTTTCTTTCTATGTTAACTCCCTGTTCTTCCTTTCAAATATACCTCGTCACACATCTGTATGCAGCTGGAAGTTGAACCGTGGATACCTGTGGAGATACCTGTGGAGATATCTGTGGACCGAAATTCATGTTGTTAATGAGGCAGTAGGCGCTACTACCGCCGGCTATGATTTAATGAAGAACAACATCAAAAGAAACAAGCAGTGGAATCCATTACATAAGGTGAACTGAATAACTTAACTAGTTAACTATGAAGTAAAATAAAAAGAAGTTCCAAGGAGTTGACTGATGTTGAATAAGATTTTAAGTTTACCGTTGTTGGTACATATGGAAGCTTTATATCTGATAAGATGCACCTCCGCCGTTAATCCCATCTCATCACGCAAACCTTGTTAGCCGGGGGGTGGCGGAGGCGTTCAGGGACAAAGATTGTTCACCTGTTGGGGCAGCACAGGCGAAAGTGCCGCTGCCCCGAAATGGTCGCCACGCACGTGATCCCACCTATTGTCCGTTCACATGTTAAGGCCTCAATAGCGAAACAAAGGGCCGATCCTAGGGAATCACCTGATCCCTATCACCACAGTCGCGCTCCGCCTGCTTCACGTGACCCAGAAGCGCTAGCTTCCGCCTTCCGGATGAGAGGATCACCGATATGCGTCATCTGAAACTTGTTCCTTATCAGCTTATCAGCACGGGATCTTCTTGGTTGCACTATCTTCTATGAATAAGAACGGATTGACAGCTGCACTTCTTCAACATTCTCCATGCCCCTCTCCGCCCTCTCCGCCCTCTGCTCCCTCTGCTCCCTCTGCTCCCTCTGCTCCCTCTGCTCCTCTATGCCCTCTCTGCCCTCTCTGACCTCTCTCTACATGATTTCGTAAACGTTTATACCAAAGAGTTAGTCTCAGTGAGCTAGCGGAAATAGAGAACAGTATTATCCTTCCTCGCCTCAGCCAAGCTATGTCAGTCGTTACCACCTCGCCATTTAGAGCTCGAGTCTCTTCCGCCAATCCCTCAAAGAGCACCTCCAATTCCATCCGTGCTCCGCCACCGCCCTCCAATTCCTCTATAGAAGACCACTTCTTCTGGACATACACTGAGGAGCCTCACCGTTCCCGGCGCCAAGCCATTATCAAAGCTCATCCAGAGGTAGGAATTGGTTCCTTCCACAGGTATCCCGCTGGACATGTATACGAACCCGTCCTAATCGGCATGTGCATTGCAGATTACCAAGCTATGTGGCATTGAGCCCCTTACCAAATATGTCGTTCTCGGGGTCGTATCACTACAGGTCACCTGTGCCTATCTACTGCGAAATATGCCTTTTTTCTCCTGGCAGTTCCTCGTGACCAGCTATGTTATTGGCGCCACAGCGAACCAGAACCTCTTTCTTGCAATCCACGAGATATCGCATAACCTCGCCTTCAAATCGCCATTTGCAAACAGATTACTAGCTATATTTGCAAACTTACCAATTGGCATACCATACAGTGCCGCATTCAGGGTACGTTGGATTCCATGTACCTCTGCCAACTTAGGTCCCCTTTCTTCAAATACTTACCCAACCCAGCCCTACCACTTAACACACCACAAATCTCTCGGTGTAGCCTCTCTTGACACTGATCTTCCCACCGCTCTTGAAGCCTTCTTCCTCGACTCCGTCCTTGGAAAGGCCTTCTTCTGCACATTCCAAATCCTATTCTACGCCCTGCGACCCATGTTCATCTACTCTCCGCCCTTCACATCAATTCATTTACTCAACATCATAGTCCAATTCACCTTCGACTTCTGCCTATACAAACTCTGCGGCTCCTCCCCGCAACCCATCTACTACCTAATCCTCAGCTCATTCCTCGCTGGCTCCCTCCATCCCTGCGCCGGTCACTTTATCGCAGAACATTACTTCTTCTCCAATGTCGGTTCAGGCACAGAATCAATCGCGGAACAGCGACGTAAGAAAGATCTCAAAAATCAGGGAAAGAAGGAGGAGGCGACAGCACCCTCCTCAGCTCTTGCAAACCTGCAGCCGCCAGAAACTTACTCGTACTATGGGATCCTGAACCTCCTAACCTACAATGTCGGGTTGCACAACGAGCATCACGATTTTCCCGCCGTGCCTTGGACAAGGCTTCATGCTGTGCACAATATTGCTAAGGAGTTTTATGAACCGCTTCCCTCGCATCGTAGCTGGGTCTGGGTCATCTATACATTCATTATGGATTCAAATGTCGGGATGTGGTGTCGCGTGAAGCGGGCTGAGGGCGGGAGAATTGTTGGAGGAGGTGGCGGAAATAGTAACACCGGTGGCGAGTGGAAGGAGTCTGAGATCCAGAATTGAGTTTGGAGTGGATGCTATATTTTATGGTAATACGTTCTGTCCGAAGAAATCCTTTCTCTCGTTCTCACCCTTCTGCCGTTGACTCTCTCAACGCCTGTTAATTTTTCTATTCCGAGTATTTTATATGTACCAATTTCTGTAATGTAATCCCCTTCCTGCTTCCTTGATTGTTTTCCCTTGGTTTATTTTGCTTTTTCTTTGTACAGCATGACGAGACGCACTTGTCATAACTACATGCGCAAGATATACAGGATAGTATATACCTTTGGAAACCTCTGCCTTTGCGGCTAGTTTCTCATCATTTGATCGATGGCGTATTTGTATTGCCTTGATGCATTAGAAAATGTGTTCATCTTGAAATCAACTAGATACTCACTTTCGCTATGTTAGATGCCTAAATTTGCTCCCTCAGTGTTTGTAGGAACATTGGAGGGCGCCAGTCATGCATTACCGAGCTTCATGATATAGTCTTCGTTCTGAAACAACAAACCATTCTGAGGAATTTGGTTAGATGTCATATCTAGGTCGTTGTTCTCTGTATTGTATTATCTTGAAAGTTCTTGGATGTGAGACAAAAATTTATGCTAAGAATAGGACCAGGAAAGTAAAAAGAAGGAAACTGTGTCTTCATATTGCATGGGTCATATTTCATTGACATCATAGAAGCGCTTCATATATATGCGAAGGGAGAGGGGAGAAAAAGTTCAATATAAAAATGCAATGAAAATGCAAAATGGGAAATACCAAGATTGAGGGAAAGAAAGGGACGAGAAGGGAAGATTAAGCAGCACAGATGGTGTGGTGGATTGAACAAAGATTCAGATTGGGCATTCTGTTCTAATAATAACTATTTATTCCAGCCACTTGGCCGTGACACTACCGTATTTCTCTCCTAGTTTTTGAGAGGGTGGATTAGCTTTTCTGCTACTGCAACCAGCTGCAAATTAGGTATGTATACCTTGACAAACAAGTTCGAATTTCATCTCCGCAGAGTAGTATGTGACATCGACTGAGTACTCGACTTCATAATAGTCATAACCGTGAGACCCAGGCTTGCGCTTGAATTTCGACCGTGGGATGGAGGAGAGATTGTAATTTAGAACGCAGTGTTCACGGCAGTCTAAAATGCATTAACTAGGGGATGAGGCGGGTTTGTGGGGGGGTCTCTCCACACACCTTTATTCAAATAGACGGGTGAGCTCGATCCATCCAGAGGAGAATAGTATATCGAACTAGAAAATATTAAGGGGTCGTCAAGGGGGACGGCACGATATAGAGGGAAAGATTTGGGGGCATTCTCTCGGACTCTTTCACCCTGTATACATGAAGAATTCAGTGCCGATATTGAGTGATGGATATCAGAGTACGAGATATAATACTGATATGAGCGTGTTTAAGACGATAAAAGGAGAGGCTAGGGGAACACTTACCCTCTTAATACACCACTGCATACACTCTGAGTGCTTATAGAGGCCCTCGTACTTATCCCAAACCCTTGATCATAGTCATGTCAGGACCGAGAGGAACAACCAGAAACTGAACTACAATAGCTACCGGAAATAAAAGGGGTGCATACTTCTTGTCCGTTGGCATTCCCACTTTCCAAGGCATCCATAGCACCAATCCATAATTCCCACGGCAATACCGCGATTTCACATTCCAACTTGGAGTAGAAGAAAGTTCGGATTTGCCTTTCATCACAGCTCCGCGAACTATTGCCGTCCACCTTAACAAGAAGTTAATTGACATATTATGATCCGGGAAGATGGGAGAAAGGAGGGAGGAGGAGTATGTACGAACCCGTTGGGTGGCTGTAAAACCGGAATGGGTGAGACAGCTTGTTTAATCTGGCGGTAGAGATATGTACTTTCTCCAAAGCCACCAACGAGAATAACAGCGCTGATGGGACCTTGTGTGGAGGCAGCTTCGATCTGTTCATTTAGTAGCGAAAGCACCTCGTCCACTACGGGACGGAATACGTCTTTCATTTCGGCATAGCTCATTTCGAGGAACCCAGCAGAGATTCCAACGCTAGGGTCATCTTCAACACCGGGGACTAAATAGGATTAATCGCAACGTTAGGCGATTTAACAGGCAAGATTGGAAAAGCTAATTGGTTCACAAAACAGCTAGCTTACTGGGTATCTGGAATTCAATATCTTCTTCATCCTCATCGTCATCTTCAGTGCCAAAATTGCGTTTGGCCTGTGATTTTAGTCAGAGTATAACTTTGGAGGGTTCTGGGTTGGAAATTTGCAAATACCTACCTCTTTTTCAAAATGGCTCATTGCCTAGGCACAGATGATATAGTTAGTAGAATCCATGCCAAAGTGCAAGGGAATGCAAATGTAAAGATAATCATAAAATAACAAATAATCACCATGGCCTTTGCATTTTTAGAAATAGGCTTCCCATTGAGTTTCCGCATGAGCAGTTCCTCGAATTTCCTGTTCAAAAACGTGCTGCCACACTGACTTCCTCCGCCAATTGCTGTCTCCTCGACTTCATACGGATAGTTTACAGATTTCATCTTGTACGTGATCAAGTCAACAGTTCCCCCACCTGCATCGCAGATAACTACGCTCTCTCCAACCCTGATATGATGCGGATCTAGAGCTTTAAGTGCATAAACAGCAGCTGCCTCAGGCTCCGACGTCATTTGCAATGAGGTAGTATCGCCCATGCCTGCTCTCATCGCTGCTGTCTGCGTCTTCTTCTTGGCCAGATCAGACCACACAGCGGGGACGGTGATGATCCAGTCGAGTTGACAGTCTTTCATAACGGCTGCGCCGTAGAGTTTCTCCAAATGAGTCACTGCATGTCTGCGAAGGCCTGTCAGGTAAGCGGCCACGATGTCTTCTGTGGTCCGTTGGTATTCAGGCGGGGACACGAAGAGATCCTTCAGAGTTCTTGAGAGTTGGGTCAATTTGCCTGTTCGAGAGTTGTCGGGATCGAGGTCCAGTTTGAACCAGATGTGTCTCTCCTGGCCATGTTTGATCTGAAACCCCCATTTAAACTGCTCGTTCCCTGGGCCGTCGAAGCGGATTTCGCTGTTTCAAATCGTTAGTCGCACTAGATGTTTGCAGAAAGGTTGAGAATGGGATTTTTATTCCTTACGATGGAACTTTTTGGCTGCTTACTCCCCGACCCCAGTCAGTTATAGGGATGGCAGCATCGGTTCGCTAAATCCGTGAAGCAAAAATAGTGCATGCTGGTTAGTATCTGCCCCGCATTCTTCAAGACCCCCTCCGTTTCTGACATTGTTATCCACTTACCTGGGATGGATCACTGAACGCAAGGCCAGAGTAAGTCGTCCCGAAGTCGACGGCTATCATAATACTCGTAAGCATTTTGGCAAAGAATATTCCTCCCTCTTTTTTTCAATAGCACAGTAATGAATGCTATTGTAGTAAATATCAGAATAACTATGTGGTTTCCTTTTTTCCCCCCTTGAAATCTATCAATGCATGCTCTCGCGGACCTTCTTAGCAAAATGATGTTTTGTATGAAAGACACTGCGAAGCACCTGGAACCCCTCTTATACGAATCAAGGAAAAGGTCTATGGGGTTCTGTGGTTTCATGCTGTGGCCGGCGAAAACGGGAAAAATCCATTGCAGCCTTGCGGCGACCAGCATGCGCTCGTATTTCTCTCCCTCCATTGGTCTTGTCTTAAATATGCTGCATGAATCACTTCATTCTCCCGACCGTTTGGGAATGGATGGCAGGGCATAGGTTTCACTTCTCTTCAGACTTCTCAGGTCTTAATTACTCATTCTTTAGTGCAGCCCATTGCCCGCCACGTCTGTCAGCCTCAAGCCTTGTTGGATTGCTTCCCCTCTCTTGAAGCGAGGTTAAACCCCTTTCGATGCCCAAGCTTCATATGTTATTTACCTTTTCTCCAAGTTGAAAAGATCAACTATAAGCGCATATCTATGGAGATATTGCTTCTTATTATATCCACGATAAGGAACAAATAGCGCAATAAGAGTGGAAGCTTCTCACCTGCAGCAATGAACATAAGAGCAGATTCTGCCACGATGGCAAATGAGCAGATGTCGGATGGGTTGATTGAACTTGACGAATTAGAGGAGGCGCTTGCTGCCATGGGAAATACTCCAAATGTTGAAGAAAACGGGTGAATTTGCTCTTTTATTTTTGGTCATCTGTTCTAGACATCCAAACGGACGTCCACTTCAAAAGCTAACCGACTGCTAGCACAAAGCGCGAGACTGGCACAGCTGATGCCATCCTCGATTCACCTACAATCAAAGCACCTCGTCGTCCCGAGAAAACCCGACCGCGTTCAAAAAGTGCTACAGGAGTCCGTCCAGATCCGCGAAATCATAGCTCTAGTTGCAATGGCCCCCTTCCTGCTCATGAATCGAATGCCCTTCGGTCGACGGGGGCCCCTCCCAGATCATCACTTGGGGCTGACAACGCTCCAAGAGCACAGGAAGAAAAGGATCAACTCCCTAAATATATCTCAAGGAGGAGTGGACCTGACGATCATCCAGAGACGAAGATTACACACCAAGGACACCGCGGTATCACACAAGATGGGGTGGGACGGTCGTTTGTTGAAAGAGTTCGGAAGCCAATACGAGAACCAGACATAGAAGAAATGTACCTAGAACTTCAACATCAACGCCGGACAGCACAGCTTGCATTACGGGAATCGGAGTATTATAAACAAGTCGCTAGATCACTTCATAAAGAACTGGAAGACTGCAAGAAGGATCTATGGACAGCTGAGGATGAAAAGAAGGCACTTGGACAGCAAATCCTGGACCTCGGGACCGTGGCGGAAGGGGTCACTGATGAAGTCCTGCGGAGAATCTTCCAAAATGCCATCGGATGTGCCGTGGAATCGCATTCCAAGGTTTTCGGTAAGCCGACAGGCGACGATCATGACCGCTTGGAAAAACTGCTTAGCCCGGAATGCACCCAGTTGTTGCGCCAGTTTGGTAGGAAATACTACCACAGTTTACTTGCTAGTGCGCTTTTCAAAGAAACCGTTGAAGCTGTTGGTAAGAGATACATTGTCGGTGCGGCATCTGGTATCTCAAAACTCACAAGGGGACTTGGTGTGGAAATTGATACACGAGGCTCACTCACTTTCTTGCAAATACTGGAGGAAATCCTTCATTTGCCTTCGATCGGTGAGATATGTTCTAGTCATGACATAGACAAGTGGTATTGGTGACCGTTGGTTGGGGCTAACGTAACATCTAACCAGGGGTGCCACAGCGGGATATCAACGTATGGAGATCCAGTTTCACCAAGCTCCTGCAGCACATCCCGGAGGTTAATGAAGTCGCAAACTCTGGATCAAAAACGAGCGCAGAATCCGAACTGTCCAAACTTGTTGATGAAGTGTGGACAAAGCTAGAACCTCACATCCCCCCTGGAGACAAAGGCCGACGCAGCCTTCAAAAACTCCTAAAATTTCAAGCCAATCTTCGTCTAAAGACCTGTATGTCTTTAGCATCGTATGAACTCAAATTTCACGAACCCGGAACGCAGTTCAACGTCTCAACCATGAGCATTGTGGATGTCACGGAAGGAGAGTGTGAGGACGACGAACTTCATAGACTAGATAGCGAAAGCTGCGGTCGCAAGCTCGTTGTGGGGTTTTGCTTTTTTCCGGCTCTTTATAAATGGGGTAATGACCGTGGATTTGACATGGAGAAGGGCCATGTTGTTGCCCGCGCCACGGTTCTCCCCGTCTACGACGATGATCTCCTTGTGCGGCAGCACATATTGGAGGGTAAGTCTTCATGAAGAAGAGTCTATTGATATTATCGGGTCGCTTTCTGGTTTGTGATGCTTCTGCCACAGCGAATTTTTGTTTTTATCTTTGTTTTTAATTTTTTTTTTCCCCTTCCTTCTTTTCTACTCTTTCTACTCGTCCTGCGTCTTTCCTTTCCAAGTCAAGTCGGTGCAATTTGTAATACCCCCTCTTTCCACAATTGATTTGAATTGATATCATGTTCCTGTTCTGACTCTCGCTCTACTTTTCTTCATTAGCAGCCAACGAACCCCTATATACCAAAGATGTCCCAATGAACGATTCCCAATCTTGAGCAGCGAATTTTGATCCACTCAAACTGCAGTAGAATTGAATGGGAACCTATATATGCATAGTTGACCTGGAGAGCTTGGGGAGACGGACGAACCAGCATATATGGGTCGTGTTTTTCGATTGTGCTATGCAATTGAGGATCCTGTTCTTTCTGCACAAGTGCGGCGGACTAGCTGACGCGCTTAATACTTCCTTTAGATTCATATGGATTTTGATGAAAGCCTCCCATGGAAGATATTGATAATGTGTAAGACCCAACAGAGTGATGTTTTGGCCAAGTCAGGACCTCAGGATATTCCCTACCAGTCACGTGAAACTATTCCAACTAACAATGAGAGATTCTCATGAGATAAATGTAAATTAGTTGTAAGATTAATAGAAGAACATAAAACTTCAATCAACAAAGCGCTGAAAGCCAAAAAAAAAGTCTTCTATCCATCTGGGCCTGATTTTAGAGATGTCATTTCCGTTGTTGCCCGGGCTGGCAGGGGTTGTTATGGGATAGGTGCCATTACATCATCGCCGGGTCCAACAACCTGGAGCCCATTGAATATGCTGAGAAGTACATACCTTTACATTGTAGTCTGGCAACTAAAGACTGTCTAGGTATGTTTACTTCAAACATTCACATATATAATCGCAAATAAAATATCCGGAAGTACTTCGTTGTTTTCACTGCTTGCCAAACTCAATTCGTCGTCCACTCATCGGGATCGAACACTCCCACAGAACATAGATAAACGAGACAAGGAAGACGCAAGGGAGAAAATCCACATCATATCACATTGATCAGAGTAATAAAGGAAATTATAAATAACAGAAAACTAATACGGCAAGAAAAATTGATAGCAGGAATGGAGGGCACCTGGTGCCCAATAGAAATGAGGAATACATATGTCATAGGTGCAGTTAAACAATAACGAAAGGGTAAAGGGGGATAGGAAAAATGCGCAAGGATATCGACCATTTCAAGAGGAAAACAGAATTAGAAAACAAAGGGAATATTGAATAAAGCAGCTCAATGTAGCTCGATCAAAAGACAGGACGGGACCGAATATTATAATGTTAATGGTCCGAGGGATAGCCACAGCGTGTGTTGATTTTATACTGATCAAGACCATTCAAGAGGCACTCTGGAAGTCATGGAAGATCAATCGGTGCGGAGTATCTAAAAGAAGATGTATGCCAGGAGAAAACTGAGAAAACAAAGACCGGCAACGGCCGGCAAAGGGACGCCAAATTCTGCTGCCTGAGGGGGTTGTTGCTGCTGTAACCCGGTAGATGTCGTCAATCCTTGTGTGGTGCCGATTTTCCGTTGTCTGAGACCCTGATCGGCAAGCTGGTCTTTCAATTTCTCAATTTGAGCTTTCGCTTCCGCAAGTTGAGCCTTTAGAATATTCTCGTTTGCAGGCTTTGGCTGAGCTGTAGCGGGAGGAGGTGAAGTGTTGAACTCTTGTGTTTCTGCCGCTGGTGACGTCGTATCAGGCGGAGAAGCGCGGGTTGCTGCTGGGGTATCAAATTTGGAGGTGGTGGGGGACGTGTATGTGGGAGGCTCCTCCTCGGGCGAAGCCTGGACAAGAAAACTATGTAAACACAAAGCCTCTCCATTGCTAACGGGAAAAATAGTTGCTTCTGGGACATACGGCTCCATTGACTGCACTGGATGCAGGTTGCTCAGTTGAAGTTTTGGCCGGCAGAAATTCTACTTTGATTTTCTGCTCATGAATCGAACTTTTTGAGGTCTGTTCAACATGCTGCCACTATTGTTATGGTGAGCTCATGTTCCGCGCTTAAACTGGAGGGCGATGGGAAAGGGAAGGGAAACATACGATCGAGCTGACATTCGAGAAATCTTTATCGGTGGATACAGTGACAGACTGCACCAAAAATTTGTCTTTTGTATGAACAACAGCATTGTCCTCTTTCATTGCCTGAAGGAGAACTTTAAATGCTTTTAGTATCCCAAGCCTTGTCGCAACATGTTGGAGTGCTAACCTTGGACATCTACACTCTCTCCGGCTCCGATCCGGCCAGAGTTTGGGCGCACGCAGTAGCTGAAGAGCAAAAAGGTCAAAACATCGAAAGGACTAAAACTTCGGAGAGTATGGGGCTGGCGAACCTTTTGGGTGCTGTTGTTTTGACCTATGCGCCATGCCATATTGTGAGTTGCAGTTCAAATCGGCAGAGTTGTCCTTTTAAAAATATCGGTCAACCATACCTTAAATGCCACCGGCTCAGTGTTGTTGTTTTCTATGGTAAGTGTTTGGCTGACTTCCCGAGTAAACGGCCCTGCATATACATCAGTTAACAGGTTTGATTCTTGCACTGCGCAGTTGGATAGTACCGACGTTGAAAGCGCAAGAATTTCTGGGTCGGCCTTGCTGTAAGTCCCTGGATGTCACTGGGATTTTTCGACATGCGGCGATCATCTTCGGTTATGAGGTTCACCGACATTGCGCCAGGCGGAGAAGCCAAGGAAGACAGAATAAATGCAAGAGAAGGGCTTGGGTCACGGAGTCGGCAGACAGGGCAAGGAGGGGTATCGAGTTCAAGTATGGATGGAATAATTCTGCAGCTGGAGAGCTTCGGCAACAGCAGCAGAGATTAATCTTGGAGATTGGGAGACTGGCGACAGCTGGCCTGGTCATCAGTCACGTGGTTTCTCGTTGATATAAACGTCGTCCGTAGACGTCACTCTTCAACATCACCACCAGTCACACAAGTATTTATCTGTTGCTTTGGTTATGGAAGATGGCTGGTTTAATCTTGGTTATGAACGCCGAAATAAAGTCCCTTTCCTGCAATCGATCAGTGTTGCAGAGTTTCATAATATCCTCTCTCTCTTGACCCTCGACTGGCCTGCTCTGACAAACACGTGCGAGAAAGTAACTAGTTAGCTTATAAGGGCTACGCAGCAGCATAGCTAACCCGCTGAGGTTAACAAGGCACGAAGATATGGAGAATCTATTCTCAATCTTCTATGAAACTATAGAAATTAGGAAACCCACTCCCTCCAAATGAGGATCAGCAGGGTTTCCCATGAGGAGTCTTACTCGAAAAATACTTTATTCGGAATAGCAGAATGCTTCTCGAACTGGCGGTATACAGGTGGGATACTTGCCGAGAAAGTACCGCGTCTGCACTTTTGATAGATGGGAAGAACCTTTCCAAGTTTTAAAACAAGTGGATGGTTTTCTCTTGCTTCGTTAACAGTTATACTTCACTGTGCGACTGGTTTTTATGTGCTGTCACTAAGGCTGAACTGGGGTAGTGGGTATGCTCTCAGTTTGGTCGTGATATGTATGGCGGGATCAACCTCGATGGAGCTGAACATCCTTTGTATATCATTTTATTAGGATAAACTATGTTGGGATTTAGCTGCAGGATCTTTGGAAAACCTGTATACCACGGTTGGTCCATGAACTGCCATTGTCCTCTGAATATACTTGGATAAGACCTAAGAGCCGGGTAGCTCCCCTTGAGAATAGATGCTAGAGGGTGTCATAATAGTTAGAGCTTGAATGCTTCTCCAGAATTACTACCACTTATTGTAACCGTATATTTTGAGTTATTTCATGTAGGCCTGGCATCAGTTAAAATAAAACAAAGGGCATTATTTTTCTATCTCAATATATATATTTATCAATCTTTCGATGTCCTTGAATAATAAACAATTACTTACCAATGACTTGACTGTCCTGGCCTTCATTGCGTCTTTGGGTCCGCAGCACCATTAAAAAGTAACTAGTGGGGATCCATCCCACCTCTCGGCGCTTTTGAGGAAGCTTTACAACACTTCAACGTCAGGTTTACCCTAAGTAAATACCTGAGCTGTCTTGGTCATTCTACCCATATCGTATAGTTTACGCTTCCTGTTCTTTTTATTCCAGCTTATATCCATTCTCCCTTCCACTTTTCCTTCTAATCTAATCTACTACTACAACCCACCAAGTGTCACCTGCAGCTATGCCTACGGATCTAGAACAGCTCGTTGAGATGGGCTTTGACGCAGAACGAGCCCAGCTAGCTGTGTCCACGACAGGAGGCTGTAAGTGCTATCAAGTTTATTGGCCTATCCCTTTCTCCAACCATTCATTCCATAACAGTATATGATAGCTGACCCTCGACTTCTTTTCAACAACCTAGTACAAGGAGCCCTCGAATGGCTCGAAACTAACCAAGACAAGTCTCTCGATGAAATCAAAGCTTCCATCTCTTCGAAGAAAGACGTAGCCATAAACCCAGACGAACCACCTGCCCTAAAACCAGGCGAGGAAGCAAGAAGCCTTGTCTGCAACGAGTGTGGGAAGAAGTTTCGCAGCCAGGCCCAAGCTGAATTCCACGCATCGAAAACGGAGCATGTTGACTTTTCTGAATCGACGGAGGAAATCGCCCCGTTGACGGAGGAGGAGAAAAGGGCCAAATTGTCAGAATTGCGGGAGAAGTTAGCTGCAAAACGAGCGCAAATGTCGGAGCAGGATAAGATTAATCACAAGAGAAATGAGGTTAGTGCTGTAATGAGACAAGTGGCATAAATCTGATTCAACTCTGGCCGAAGCCCTCTTTACTAACGGATATTTTGTTGGACTTCTCCGCTGTGTATCGCGGGGATACGTTTTGACATGGAATTACAGGAAATACGCAAAAAATCCACAAAGGAAACGCAAGATATCAAGGAGGAACTCCAGAAGAAAGAGCGTTTGAAAGAAGCAGCAGAAAAGCGACGGGAAAGACAAACTGAAATAGAAGCCAGGATGCGTGCAATCGCAAAGATCGAAGCCGATAAGGAGGAAAGACGGCAGCGTGCTGCGAGAGAAAAAGCTGAGCGGGAAGGTAGGGCGCCGCCACCAGCAGCCGAAGTTACAACCCCGCTTGCTCCCGCGACGTCGAAACCAGCTTCAGCATATACAGAATGTAGACTACGATTACAGACGCCGAAGGGAAATGTTATCAAGACGTTCCCTGTTGACACGACTTTGTTCGAGGTGGCGGCTGCACTGTCTCAGGAGGGTGACATTGAAGTTCAAAGTTTTACGCAGAACTTTCCTCGGAAGGTGTACAATGTGGAATCGTTTGGGGAGACGTTGAAGGAGCTTGGGCTAATTCCTAGTGCGAACTTGATCGTGAAATAGGTGCTTTTCTTTATCTTTTTTCAAATTTTTTTTTTTTTTAGAAAACATTTCCGTTCTGATTTAATTTCCTTATCTTTTCCTTATTGCTTGGTCGGCATGAGAAGGACTACACGTTTAAGGGGAATTGAGAGTAACGGATCTGGCATTACGACTAAGGAGGAGCTAGAAGCCCCCCCCCCCAATAGATGATTTGACAAGCTCCAAAAGTGAGTTTTTTGAGGCGACTTGTCAATTATACGTTCCACAATTGCAGGGTTGGGAAGCCGTGGGAGCGCTCTATGCTGCTCCCTGTCTTTTATGAACTCTCCCGCTTCCATTATACACATTATCAACTCTACCCATATCTATCACCTAGGGAGCCCAAATTGTCCAATATTGCTCATCCATGGATATTCAGACGCCTTTTTAAGCATAGGTCACCTCACAGGATCCAATATCGAATGACGAGAAATAAATACAATGAAGTTTTAGTCAACATTGGATCTTTGCCAGCTCATCTTCCGAACAGCCAAATGGAAACATACCCATGCTCAATAACTCCTCTAGCACTTCAAGTTCCTCAGTGCATTTCAGGTTTACCATTCGAGGTAGCTGTCTGGCTGGTTTCGAGTATGTACCGCACACGCGACCATCCATGTCGTTGATGCACGCACCATGTCGCAGGATATGACTTCTGGCAAAGACCGTACATGTGAAAACAGCTGAGTAGAGTTGAATTCATTGAAATTTACTCCCCACTGACATTAGAATAAGTTGCTTTCCGTTTTCAGCATCATTGTAACACACTCTGAGTTAGGATGAATCTACCCAGCGATTGGAGGGTCCCATCAAGCTCATGAGGTGATCGTGCTGCTGAAACAAGTTTGAAGACATTTATTTGCTAGATACCAAATAACAACCACGCTCTTGTATTTTAAAAGGGGATTTATAGATCAACCGGGTCGTATTCTTTTGGGGGTATTGAAGGATTGTTAAAGGCGGTGACTCAGAATAGAAAGTTTCAATCAACTTATCTCAAAACGAGCATTTTCACAGTCTGTCTGATAGCATTGGAGATGAATCATGACCCAATTAGCAGCAGCAGGAGTATGACGGAATGTAAAATGAAGCTTTAAATAAAACAAAACAAGCCTTGGTCGTTGGAACAAAGAGTACACCCGTATACCACGATTTTGATATCACGTGAACAGGGCACCGTTTTAGCGCAACAGACGCGTCGAACGCGTCTCCTAAACTGGAGCCATCAAACCAACCTGCTGAACCAACCTCGCCGATAACATCTTCCGAATTAACTAGGAACATCTCACAATTTTTGGACTGGGCAGAGTACCAGGTGGCTTTTTATGTGTTTAGGGTTGAATCACGGACATGCCAGCGTAAGCCTCATGATATCCACCTACGTTTGAAGTAGCTTTTGTTGAATCCAATTATTTACACTACATCGGAATTTGAAGCGTGGGTGACCAACATCGACTTGGCCCTCCCAAAATGTATCCATCAACTGCCGGGAACATCACAACGAATCCCTTCGAAGTTCCTGAACATCGGTTAAACCAATACACTGCTCAACAAATTTCCACGCTGCAAATTCGTCTCGATAAACGATTAGGCCCCGAATATATCTCTTCCAGACAGGGCCCCGGCGGACAGAAGGTGCATTATCTAGCTGCGGAGAAGTGCATCAATCTTGCGAACGAAGTTTTTGGCTTTAATGGATGGTCTAGCTCCATCCAAAATATTCAAATTGATTTTGTGAGTTGATATTGGGATGCCGACGGATAAGGTTGAGGGAGTTTGAAGCATAGGTACACGAACCACTAGGTTGCTGATTCTTCATATTCTTTTCACCAGGTCGATGAGAACCCGAATACGGCAAAAATTAGCTTGGGATTGTCCGTGATTGTGAGAGTGACGCTAAAGGATGGGACATTTCATGAGGTTTGTTTTTTTTATGGGTTGTGGTCCGCCACTACGTACTAATATTGGACACAAGGATATTGGATACGGACACTGTGAGAACTCGAAATCGAAAGCACTAGCATTTGAGAAAGCAAAGAAAGAAGGGACAACAGATGGTTTGAAACGGGCGTTAAGGACTTTTGGCAATGTTCTCGGGAATTGTGTCTATGATAAGGAATACTTAAGCCGGATTACGAAAGTGAAGGCTGTTCCTGTCAGTTGCAAGGTTATTTCCTCCCTAGCTTCCTAGTCAAGTACTAAATTATCTCTAGTCAAAATGGGATGTAGGAGATTTACATCGTCACGCAGACCACACTGTCGTTAAAAAGGAGACCAATCCTACCAATCCTACCACCACTGGTGCTTCCGATGAGTCACTCACAGTGGATTCTGAACTTCCACCTCGATTACCTGATCCCCCTAGTGTTAAAGTAGATGAAACACTTCCATTAGAGCTGGAGGGTGAATTTGGAAGTAAGTCTCATGTCAACTTGGCACTGATCTATTATCCTAATCCTAAACAGGTGATTTGTTTGACGAGGCGGATTTTGGAGAATCGCACAGTGTTCATCCCGATGAAGTGTCAACAGATCCAGAACAAGCTGAGCAATTTCAACGGAATCCACAACAAATTCCTGCGATTTCGCATGAATCCCGGAAGAATCTTTCAGAAAACATAACAAGACCTTCCAATCAAACCGTCACGCCCTCAAAGCAAGACAGATCATGGGCAGCTGGCTCTGCTTCCGCCGCACAACCGGATCTCCCTCCCATTCCTGGAGAGCGATTAAATAGACCCTCACTCCCTCAGACTTCTACAAATCATTATCCTCAATCAAATTCCAAAACACCTTCTGGCCCAGGGCTTCAATCATTTCCACGAAAAGATGCTATACCTATACCCTCTCAACAACCGAATCGCACTCCAAATCTTCCCCCCTCTCTTCCAAGCGATCAACTAAAAGAGGAATCCGACGGCGGCCCGAAGGATAACGGAAACGTTTCCTCAACCAAAGCATCATCCCCATCGCCTTTTGCCTCTCAGATTCCTGAAGACAAACGCCCTCAGGATCCAGCTGGCGGGTTCTACTCTGCTCGTGCAGCTGACGAGTTAAGGGATAACCCTTACGCTGCAATCAAGTCAGCTCCAGCTTTTGATCCACATTTCGACAGCCCCTCCATACGAAAGACGGCGGGTATTAATCACAATACCTCAGCTCCGGTTTTGCGCGCCGTAGTTGGCATCAACTCTCCACAGTTTACAGATGCTGGTGGCAAAACTGTTCCGTCAGCTAGCCAAGCTCAAACTTCTCATGGAGCAAACAACAATGGCCATGACTTGACAAAACGTGGGCCAACCCCCGGCCCTATTGGTGGTAACGGTAACAGATTCGTTCCCCCAACAGTTAGGGGACCTATGACAACGAGTTCGTATCAACCACCAATACGAAAAGTTATGACAAGAAGCGCCGCTGCCGGTCTTTCACCTGCAGCGAATCCCTCAATGAATCCCTCCCAGGCTCAAAACGTAAATGGAAAGAGGCCACCTTTCACTGATCTAACGAACGTTCGAGGCAGCGAAGGATGTAATGACCTAATGAAAAAATCCAAAGTCGGCGACGGAAACAACGTTTCCAATTCCACCACTGCCTAATAACGGCAACAACTGCAACGATAACATGAATATCTACGAAACATTCATCCAAGCCGAACGATGTTTCCTCTCCGCAGGCCTTACGAGTATTAAATACAAATACCTGCGCAATTTTGCCTCACTCATTTTTATTGTACGCATTACGAGACATTTATCTGTTTGTTTCACCCCTGGCGAACTTTTTCGTTCTTCAGCAAAAGGTAATCCTGGGCAAGGCGGAGTACAGAATGGGATCTTATATATATTATGGATTGGTATTAGCATAATGGAACATAGCTTCTTTATTTCCCCCTTTTGTCATCAACCGCGTTCCTTCCCATTTGCAGTTTCTGTTTTCATTGCCAATCTTTGGGAGACTTGGGCTTACAAGGGGAGCTGTTTCAATATTTTCATTGTTCATATATTTATATATAGTTCGTGCTTACATTCCTGACGGATAGTTAACACAATGTACGGCTTTACATATTTTTGATTTTGGAGCTCCCATTCCTAACCAACATCTATTGACTCAACTAAACCTTATCTCTCCCTCCTTCAATCCCGGCCTCCTTTCTCAGACGAGGAGAATGTTGTGTGTGGAATGAGTTTCCAGGGACAGGCTAGCAAGTAAACCTGTTTGCTATTTAAGCCCATTTTGCTTTTGGATATTTGTTGCGGCCACGGGTTCCGGTGACGACTCCTCGACCGCCTTCTTTGAAACTCTAGTGGATTGTTTACTCTTTACATCGTCCTTAGGAAGGGAATCTGGAGTTTGAATATATTTCTGGACGCCTTTTGCTCTAATCGTGTCGCAGAGTTGGGCACGATGGCTCTGTCCTGACATCATGTCATCCAAGTCTTATAGCTTCACATCTCCGCCGTTTATTTGGTGGGCATCTGTGCATTCGAATCAGTTGAAATACCAGAAAGGGCAAAAATAAAATAAAATAAAATAAAATAAAATAAAATTGATGTACTGTTTCAGGCATTCAGCAGATCCTTTTTCTCTCCTCGACCATACGATGAGCTTCAGATGAGCTTCAGAACCTTTTACATTAATTGCCTGAATTGCTTCAATTTGGCCCAGTTCAACATGGCGGAACTTGTTGGGGGCATCAGTGGTTGAGACGTATTCACGCCGTGCAGTGCCCAGATCGGCCTTGATGGTTAGATTTGGTGTAAGTATAGGTAGATACGCCAATCGCAAAGCTAAACTGAAAAACATTCAGGCGAGTGAATGTGATATGCCATTTGGAGCTCTTGCATACGCCTCTGCCGCTCCTCTTCATCCATAACTTTTGGTGTTGGTTAGAGCCAGATTCGCGTAAAACGGGATTGATTCCCTCAAGGATATCAAGGGAACACGTACTGAAACCTATCCTTCGAAGACGGAATCTGTAAAGAGATAATGACAGGTCCCAGCGGGTTGGCTTTCCGGTTATTTTTGACGAAATCAACATAAATTGAGACAAAGTCGTGTTTAGAAGCCAACTGCTGTAGAAGGCTGGAAAAGCTAGAGGAGAAGGTGGATGATTATAACTTCAGCAAAAGGAAAGAAGTTTGTGTTCGTTGATGATATTATCTCTCTGCAGATAATGATGAACAAAACAAGCTTGATGCAACAAGCTTGATGCGGTTGCTGAGACTCAGGAGAATTTTCAATAATAAATGACTGACTGTACCTCAGCAACCAGGATAAATGTTAAGCAACAGGAAGAAGCCCCATCCCGGTTGTTCCAATGCTGCAATTATATCAATCCTAAAAATGGAGAAAAGTAGATTGATTTCAACAAAAAGGGGTCAAAATATGAAACAGAAAATGCATACACAGAGATTAAATATCCACAAAAACCAAATCAATGCAAGATGCTTTGATTAAAGTTAATGAAACATAGTATCATAAACCTGTTATATGACTATATGACAGATCAAACTGAGCTTTCTTTGTATGAGCATATGTGCAGTTATAATCATAAAGCCGCAGGATAGCTTTATGCAGCCATCATTTGAATTTCCATGACTTAACGGAACATATTCTGGTAAAGAGTAACTCGGAGAATATGATTGCGTAGTTATGCTTGATATATGTTGTACGGATGCATCACTACAGAAAATATGACCCTGAGGGGTACGGAATTCAGCGAAGAATTCCCAAGGGTGTTTTGTCTAACGTATATCCAATGCACCTGGTCGTGAAAGGGGTAACCAAAAAGTACTTTACTTTTCGGAAGCGATTTGCGGGTACAGCATTGCCGCAGGAGAATGTACGGCAAAAAGGGTATCTTACATTAAAAATAGGAGCATGCTAATGTCGGCAGGACTTTTATAGCACCATAAACTCCAAATCTCGGCGACATATCTGAACAATGCGCTGTATATAGCAACAGTACCATTGGGTATCTAGACTGATCATGCATATATGGTAAAGGCAGAAGGCACACTTGACGTATATCTTCAAAAGAAGGAAAGGGTTCAAAACAGATCAGGAAGATTTTCACGGAGCAAACATTCAGAGCAACTCTCACTCTCGATCACGTTGAGAATGTCTGAAAAGGGCCTTGCAAATTAAAAACAACGATAGCCAGCGTAACGTCCAGCGAACTCCCCAGTGACTGAAGACCAAGTTGTGCCAAGAGTCGAGCGTGACAGTCTCGCAAAACTGCTCGGTAATAGTACTATTAGCCACTTTGTGGAGAGTTATGGGTGCCATCAATGAGAGAAGATATTCGCAGAAGGACTGAGAAAACGTCGCATGTAAGAGCTTTTGGACGTTTCGTGTCCGTGATATACGTCGAACCCATCTTGCAAAGGAAATCTTGGGATGCACACCTTTCGAAGTCACTCGTCTTGCGAGAAAAATAAGCTGTGCGGTAGCATCACGAAAACTATTTGTACTGTCATAGGTATGAAAAATATCCTGATAGTCGGACAGTTAGACTCAAACAAGAATCACAGAAACACTTGGAGGCAAGGTGCTAGATCACTGGGTTCCATGTTTCTGAAAAAAAATTTAAAAAATGACATTACATACCCAAATCCGAACCAGAATATCATTCTCAGCACAAAAGGTGGGTTTAACAATTTTTTTTTTCACCTTCATCTGTAAGTTGCGAAAATCCACGAGTTAGGGTGCGCAATCCTATGGCAGGAGGTAGGAGGTTGGAAACCTACCTTTAATAACCTTTATGATCACTTGCACAAGACTGGTAAACAACACCACAACGCCGAATAGAATACATGCGTACGCTGGGATTTTTTCCTTCCAATGGCCATGACTTAATTTAATGTAGCAGAGCGGAGGTAGTATATACGCCAAGGCACATGCACTTGTAGCTCCGATGAGTTCAAACACCGCGCCCAAGTCGCAGGTAAGTAGAGATATGATCACAGATGTGACAACTAGCGATGATGTGAAAATAACATGCCGGGCGGGATTGTAAGGCTTGTCAGGAAAAAAGAAGGTCGTCATTACAGAACGGCAGACAAACGCTTCCAGCGGTAATGTAGCAAGCATGTTCAAGCCAAAGCAGCTAGGTATTTAATTAGCAACAAACTCTTTTATCATACTATCTCAGGTTAGATACGAACTCACAGTCTTGCAGCGTTTACCATAACATTATCAGATAGGAAATTATTCAAAATGTTGCCTTTTGTTTTGTCTCCAAATGTAAGAAAGCCTGCGAACGCCATAATAAGGCACATTATCATTGAGATACCCGTCGAGAAGTGAGTTACAAGAGCAAACCGGTCCAAAGTGGGCTTTTTCAAAGAGCCATATATAAGGAGGCTGTTGTGATCTGGGGAGAATATTAGTTTATAAGAGTATAGAAGTAGAGGGATTTGAAACCTATCATACGGCAAACGAAAGCTAAATATATAGGTTAGCATGCGGTTCCACGTCTTGTAGATATATTTAAGTTTACCGAATGATATGACACCAACGGCTTGGAAAAAACCATTGCCCTGCATAAAAATGAGGTGTGATGGATCACCTCTCAAATCGTCGGGTACCTGGATCCCTTCAACAATCACAGTCACCACGATCACAACCATGGAGATCAGTGCAAAGGTCGATGCCTTTGCCAGCTGCTATACAATTAGTCAAGTGTCATGCAAAACGTAAAAAAGGAGTGCACATACCTTTGCGATATCCCGATAAAGAGATAAAGGATAGGAAACGCCCAAAACAAATAGGACAATGATGGCTCGCCGATCAGTCAAAAGCCACAAAAAGGGCATATCCTTCAGTTTAGGAAAAGTTGATGCGAAAACATGTGGAATTGTATCTCCAATAATGATACAGAATGCCACCATGCCTCCGAATGCAAATGCCCATTGTGCAATGGATATTGCTATTAAGCCAGGTCTTCCAAAGCAAAACTCTACTGTTGCTTGGAATGAATCCGCGCCGCTCAGTTTCGAGTTAATGACAATAAGGCGGATAGTCCAGTCAACGGTGATAGTAAGACCGAAAAGAAGCATTAAGCCTATTACTAAACCCGCTTGTCGGAATGCGTAAGGCTGTCCAATAATCCCCGCGCCGATTATGCTGTTCGCCATATTCATAAAGGCGTTCCTTAGCCCGCTCTTAGGGTGCATATTTTCCAGATGATTCTCAGGGAAGAAATCATCCGAAATAGCCAAAGTGACAGTTGGCGCTTCGAAGTCCGTAAGCAGAGGGGTAAGTTGGCCGGTACTGCTTCGTGATCGGGAAGCATTGGCATTCATATAATCCTCCTCCTCAAGCACTGAAGATGGATGGCCAATATGACCATTTCGGTCCGCTTCCTCCTCCATATCATCGTCTAAAACAAATCGAACTCGGTTTGGAGTCCTTGGGATTTGTGTCTGGCCATTGGAAGGCGGTACTGAGATTGGTGAAGCATCGGGTTTGGAGGAGAGCGGAGACTGCGGAGATGATTGCGAAGGGATACGGTGCATTAACGGGTCGTCGTCATTGAAAGAAAGGAGGGAGCGAGCTTCCTCCACATCCGCTTCACTTGCTTCGGTCTTGCGAACACCAGATCTATCGCCTCTGGGCATAGCGAAGTGTGGAACTTGTTGTGGTTAAGGACAAGCTGGGTTGAGGTTTGGCTCATTGAAGTTATTATTAGCTGCTGGTTGAACTGACATCACGTGCTAAATATTCACGAGCGCCATGAATAGCCATGGCGTAGTTACCTAAACCCCCCATTCATCTCCTCCTTTGCTGATCGTCTCAGAGCTTCCAGAGGATGAGGATGTGTGATATAAGCCTTGGAAGCTCCCATGTTTCCTTATCTTTTCCGTGCCACACTGATATAGTCCTGGAACCGATGCTTGTTTCAAGCACAATCGGCCAAGGCAGTTATGGACCAAACTTCGACGGTAGTTAACTACTTGGACGATCAGGAAACCTTTTTCTTCTTTCGTTGGCTTGGGGTATTTCAAACACGCGGACTAAGAATCACAATTAACCAGGTGGCTGTATCTCACAACGCATGGAGCAGTCTATTTTCTATACCGTAATTACTGCAAATGCGTTCGTTCCTGGGCGGTGCGGCTCTTGCTGGAGTCACGACACCAAACCTTACGTCAACGTCACTCCTCCCTTTTTTCCCTTACAGTTCTCCGTCCTGGATAAGCTATATACACATTTTCCATTGCCTATTTTTGAAGCATACCGGAAAGTTACTTGGACTTCTAGACTGTCAGGGCCAAATTTCTCTTTTCTCTTTCTCCCCAATGCCCTTGATGTACGGCTTCGTTGTCCCATTCGCTTTCAAGCCCCAAATTTGTTGTCGATATGTTGCACAGTCATCTTGAATTGGGCTCAAGGATGCATATCTATAGAGATAAGAAACTCCAGCTTAGAGTGGTGACATCGGCAGAAGTTTCTCTCGCGGAGTCAGCAGAATTATTAGAACATTCAAACTTGCTCGAGTCTATCAAGTCTGGGGATGTTTGGACCTCCTCAAAATCTAACTTGGAGTTGAAGATTTCTGTTCGGATTGAAAACAGTTTGCACGGAATTAGAAGCTCCCCTGACTGGATATTGGAAGAGATAAAAATCTCTTTAATTAAATCACAGGTCAAGAGCCAAAAATGACCCATCCTTCCTTTGTATTCCTCTTTTTTCTAACCTCTTAATAGCTTTGGCACACCCTTCAATTTTCTAGATTATCACAGGAAGGGGAAACACTAACTTCTCAAGATGGATTTTGTCAACTAAATCTTGTCTTTGAGTTTCAGAAGAAAATGGTGCACATTCCGTCGCCTAAACCACCACGAATGCCATACAGTCTAGAAATACATTCTGCAGCTATCGAACCCCCTCCAGGAGTGACTCGACTTTGTCTTCAGGAAATTGCGATCGCATTCAATTTTTCATCAATATCTATGAGCAATGGCCACGATGACGGGTTGGGAAACGTGTCCAGATCCAGTAGTTTTGAAGATTTGACTTTCATATCACCCCCACCGTGTGGTTTCCTGGTAGACACTGTCCGGGAGGACCCAACGGTGGATGATATCTACTCTTCTATTGATGGATCTCAAACAACAGCCCGCACCGACGAGGACTGGATGTCTCTGGATTACGATTCTCCGTTTTCAAGCCAGCAAACCTCTTCTTCTATCCATTGTACAGTCGTAACTCACCAACACACAAAACCTCACCATACCTGCAAGTCTACAAGTCAACTATTTATGACATTACTTGATACTGGGTTCCGCACCTTGTTATGTCAAACCCCTCCACGAATTCCATCTAATATTACGACGGTTGTTGAAAAAATCGGACCAAGTTTAGCAGATTTTGCACCTACTATCTTTAATCCCGGATATGATGCCGTGAGTCCTCTTTTGCCAAACAAAACGCCACCTTGGATTTCTATTTAACTGACAGTTTATGCATGAAGAGTGTATTCCAACGAGCACGTTTCATTCCCATGATATCCAAAGGCATAGCCGCAATGCTTGACCATGCTTCTCCCGCTGGAGGAATCCAACTAAAGCACCCTATACTCAATCCTGTTGACATAGGCAAAGCTTGTGATCCTGAAAGTAAAGGTAAAGGCGCTCCAAATCCGACAAGCAACAGACCTATCCTTAAATCCCTTCTCTGGAAATCAATGCAGCGTCGCCTTCTCAACCCCGAGGCAGTCCGTAAACTACCTAGTATTACAGCGCCAGATGATGTTATTTCGCACCCCCAAAGTTATGGCGATGAATTTTCTTCATTACCCCCAACACCTGTATGTGGCAACGTCTCGGAATTTGCTTTTCAATCCTCCTTGCGGGAAACAGCCAAAAGCACCATACCCGCAATGACTTCAGTTTCAACAAACCTAGATTTAACAAATCCTTCCAACGCTGCCCACATCTCGGATACAGAGTGGTGCTTCTCGGAAAATAGCGATGGCGGTGACGTTACACTCCTCACCGACCAAGGCAATGACGACCATATCGATAGTGATGATTATTTCACCGACCCATTCCAAATCCATGCTTTGCACATCACCATACCCGACACCAGCCTCACCAGCGACGATCGCCATCATGACCTCCTTGACAACAACGCTAACACCAGAAACTATGAGCCTCAATCTTACCACCACTCCGTTCTCGAAGACGACCTTATCATGCAGGAGGTGCCCAACACGACTTCATGCCAACACCCCCTTTCCAACCCACATACAGCATCCCTTAAAAATTCAGACCCAACCCCACCATCGCCATCCAACAGCGGCATGGAAATCCTCGACCCGTCCTCCCAGATCTTGATATCAGGGGAATTCATGCTCCCTCCCGCAACCTATACTTTTAATACGAACGAAGATGGCGAATACTGCGATTCTGAGATGCTGTTGCTGTGACAATTAACGGCGAAGTACAATTTATGTTGAGGAAGTCTGTACTACCCTCCTGCCCATTCACTGTACAAGAAGATATATTTTGGCCAGTTGAGATTTACTTTTACTTCCTTTTTACCATCCCTCAAGCTTGCCCCAAATCCATTTCTCTATTTCATATGGGGAACATATCACTCCAAAATTTCTTCCTCTGTCGGATGTTTATGATGCAATGATGCAATTAGATACAGATATTACTATAGACTATGAAAGCATTTTTTACAGAGATCATTTCACGACTTCTCCACATGTAAAATGGGACTTAATTTTAAGGACAGAAAAGGGGGGATCTACCTAGGTAGGTCGGTATCACGATTTTACTCCGTACAATGTTGAGGGACAAGAAAAGTAAAACTAACCAAAACGGGAAAGGGATAGGGGTAAGCTGCAAACAAAGAGGTAAAAATATTCTACGGTGCAATCAAAACTAAAATTTAAAGAGTTAAATCATCAATCACCCTTGTTTCTTCAACATAGACAAACTTCATTGCATTGACAAACTGTCAAAGTGAGTGAAGAGATCAAGAAGCATAAGAAAAGACTTAAAACGCAGATATATATTTTTATAACCCATGCTCTGTCAATTGGAATATATATAAAGAATAGTACAGAATAGTACATATGAAGGATGGAATGTGAAGAAAATAAAACCATGAGATTCAGTTATAGAGAGAGGGGGGGGGGGAGAGTAGGATATCAGAGAATCAAAGGAAAGATGTATTTAAGCAAAATGAGCAGATAACTTTTTTTTCTCAAAAGGGAGAAATGGAGAGGAAACAGGAATATATAGGTATGTGTCTGGATGTATGAATGGTATAGATAACAATGGAGAGGAAGGGGGAAATGGGCGAATAAACCAGGCTGGAAAATACGCCCGGATCGTACAATCCGCTTGTGTATCCCTTCCCTCACAAAAAGAGAAAAAGGGCGGTGGGGCGGAAGGGAAAAGGAAAGAGGAGGGAAAAGAAAGAGCGAGGAGGGAAGAGATGAGGATTGAATTAGAATAATAACGAAAGTAGGTAGATGGAGGTAGATAGTATGGAAATAACAACAAAATTAACAGGAAGGCATTCCACATATAATAAGGCACACCGGAGCCGGCCGTAGTATGTAAAATGTATACAAAAATTAAAATTAAAATTAAAATCCCAAAATCCACCTGATGATCATGGCGTATCGGCAGTAAGAGAAAAGAAAAGGTGGATCGGAACATTGAGCTGCATCAGTATTATCAGCGCAAAAAACATTTCTAAACGTCAAAAGCACGAATAGGAAAGACGAAAGAGGGTCGCTGATAAACAGGACACACGCTGGATGAGAGGGAACAAAAATCAAGCGTATGAACCAAAATCGAAAAACGAAGCCATAGCTGAAAAAGTCCCTAGAAAGTAGGAAATGAAAAGTCAATATGCAACCCAGCTCATCAATCCTTTCTTTTTTGTGTCGCTGTGTTCATAAGCCACATAGATAAATATAGCTGTCATGGCCCTTCTATCACCTTGCCAATCGTGTGCGATATGCGTGAGCCACGGGTCGTCGATCCGTTGTTCCCGTTCTCCAACTTTCCGTTACTATCCTCCGTATGATTTTCAGCGGCTCGCGCACCACTGTGTTCCCCGATGCTTGCCAGTCCCCCTTCGGTTGCAGACTCCTCTTTCATGCAAGCATTTTCCAATATATTAGTCCATTTCCCACTTGCGCCCGCATGGCTGTGTTTCAAATGTTGTCTAAAATGGTCTGCCCTGTAAAATTTCTTCGCCTGGTTGCATTCTCCGAACTTGTGCACATTTGTCAAATGGTCGATTCGACGATCCCATTCAGGATGTGGGAAGTTGGTGAATTCATCTCCGCAATAGCCGCAGGTGTCGTGGGAAGGGCCCGTGGGTGTTTGACACGTAGGAGAAGCAGATGGATGGAAAGCAGCTTCATAGCCGGACAAGGCAGCGCAAGACCATGAATGCCGTCGTAGATGGAGAGAGTTTTGATGGCGTTCAGCTTCGTTCTTGTTTTTAAAGCGTTTACTGCAAAATTGACAGGTGTATTGTTTTTCCATTTCATGGGAGCTAGAGACTAATTAATTCCATTTCACACCAAAGGAATAATGAGGTGCCATGTCAAGGCAATTAGCTTACCGTAATTCATCTGCAGTCTCGAACTTCTTAGGCTTCTTCGGGCAGCATTCGCAAATATGAAGGCGATTTAACCTGGGCGGGGTGGCCTTAGATACACTCAGAGTATTCGGGAGCGACATGTTGCGGCCTGATGGCCCACTTTTTACATCGGTATGATCTCGATAAGATGTTCTTGAGGATGGAAGACCAGAAAGTGATTTACGGGGGTTTGGGCTCACAAATCCCTTTTCGTATGGCGGATCCACTTCTGTGGTAGGGGAAATTCCTCCAGGGGAAGGTCGATCATATGAAGACAAGCTGGTCATGCTGCTGGCCGCAACAGAGAGTCCCGTGGAAGATGCGTAGGAACCAGTTCGCAGACTCGCAGAAGACACTGAAGAAATGGATCCATGGCTTGGCTGGTACGGGGCACTAGGCGATGTGCAACTGTTGAAAGGAAATCCAGTTGTCCTCCGTTGGTCAAGATCACCATTGCTTGTACTTGTATGAAGAGCATGTAATTCGTCTGAAACTACTTCTCGTGGGGGGGAGGAGGCCCTTCGCTTCATGACCTGCCTTGACGGCGACATGCTCTCCACACGGGTCGATGCTCGATCATCAATACTTAACTGTCGCGATTGAGCTGATTCGTCAATAGAAAACTCTAATTCCGAATCCGGGAAAATGCTCTGGTCATAACTGCCCCGATTAGACCGGCTCTGTACGCTGCCTGCATCGTTGTTCGGGTGGTGCGTCCCTGGAGAGAGATTCCTATCCCGAAAATGGTCGAAATCTAATTGATGATGAGCTGTGCTATCAACACTTGGGCTCCGATAGCTGACGTAATCAGTCCATCCTTGTCTTGTGCCAGGCGATACTCCAGCGGATTGAGGTGTGCTGGCCCATCGGGGTGCTGTATCACGAGGACTCAGAGAACCGTCTCCAATTGATAGGCTGGAAAGACCGCTTCGGTTTTTTGAGTGGAATGAAAGTGTCGCAAACTCTGTATGGCCGTAACTCCCAAGGCTGATGGATGGTCGAGGCGGGGAGCTTGATTTACCTATTTTAGAGAGAAGGTGTTGGTCGTACGCATTGGAGGATCGTTCCACACATTTTTCAGATAGTGGTTTTTCTCCTTGCAATCTAGTTGAAGAAGAGGGTGCGAGACAAATTAGTATATATTACTGAGAAGAGTTTATATTTCCAGCATTGTGTCAAATCATGAGATGGCTATCCGGCCATAACAAGTCTAAGTAGAGCATGGGGAGGGGAAGGTAATAGAATCAACGAAAACATAACAAAACGTCATGACGTTGCAGAAGAGGACGGGAAAATACTAACAGTGGATTGGGAAAGCTAGACGATATTGAACCAGAAAAAGGCACATCCCCAGACGTCGGCACTGCAGATCTGCGATTGAATTCTGGTGTGACTTTGCTGGCAATAGACATTACGGCACCCTTTTTGGTATCATTATCAAAATTAACCCCTTCAGTTCGACAAACCAGCTCAGGGCGAGTGTGACCACCACCCACGAGACTTGAGGAGGGTTTTATGGGAGGGAGTGTAGGATTCCCATATTCTCCTTGCTCGAAGCTATTCCTCCACTTCCATCCTGAGTCCTGGCCAATTGCGAGGTCCTCAATGTACCGAGGTGGCGGTAGTGGTGGTGGTGCCAGAGGCTCCTTTGCATTTGGAATGGTCATTGGTCCAGGTGCGGAGGGAATGGATTGGAGAGAGGGATTGCGCGCCGCAGCCCTGGTGGACTTGGATGGGGACTTGGAAGAGATAGAGGAGTGACGGCGATGAGGGTAAGGAGAATGATTGAAGTCACACACGAGAATCGAGGGCGGCGGGCTCATGAGAGGGTTGTTGTCCATAATAATCTAACACATGAACCGCCACGAGCTGAGCATCCACGTCACTGGGACTGAAACAACAGAGAAAACGAGAGGCAGCCCGTTTAAAAGGCCTGTCCGTATAGGTGGAAAATATAGTGGCGAGAGTGGCGATGGAGGAGGCCTGTTCCTCATGGGCTCAGCTGGGTGAGCAACAAGCGCTAGTTAAATATCAGCAGCCAAGCACGAAGCGAGTTGCATAGGGCTTAGAAAATGAATGACCAGGTAAGTGGAGAAGGGAAGGAAATGGGCAAAGGGAGGGAGGAGATAAGTGAGAACGGAGAAGACATAGAGCAGAGACAGAGGGGATGGAGATAGGCAGGGTGGCAGAAGAGAAGAGGAAGAAGGGCATGGGGGAGAGGAGTAGGAGGAGGAGAGGAGGGGGAGGAGGGGGAGGAGAGGGGAAGAGAAGAAGAGGAGAGAGAGGAGGAAGACGGAGAAGGATAAGACCGGTTGAGTGGTTCGTTGGTGTGTGGTCGGTGATGCTGAGATGCAGGCCGGAGGTTTGGCAGGAGCTAGGGCTGGGCGGGGCGAGTGGTTCAGTGCGGTACGATACATCCATACATCCATACATCCATACATACCGTACAATTACAGTACTATCCACAACAAACATACACACCCCGACAAACAGTATTTACGCACTGATTCCTCGCATACCCGAGACACACCTGTCCAGTACATACAGTACATTACTATAGACCAGATCCGGCCATGTGTGTACAATTACATACGCCTTATGAGTTTCTTTCCATTGGATCCTATAGCTGCACCTCTGCTGGGCTGGCTCAATGCCCTTCGGCTCCCGGGAATTGTTTGTTACACACAAAAGTGCTTGTATGGCCGTAGGGCTGAATCGTGTACACCTAACGATGCAAACGTCCTCATACGCGATTTTACCCACATCCTTAGGTTCCATAAAAACCATGTATGTATTTACATACGGTATTTTGATACAGCCATACATATATTATTACATCATCAACTTCTACAAAATTAGTCGAACTAATATTAACTCAACTTAGAATCCAACAGTCAAAAGTCAGTGGTATTTCTCCCCCGAGGAGATGCCGCACGCCAGCTACTACTTTTTAAAAATTTGAACTCGTTGTTTCTCGGCTCTACAGCAGCTTCTTAGTACTAACATTCTCTTTCTTGTTTTGTTCATCCTGATATCCTTCTCCATGCTTGCCTGGATCCTTCGGTGTCCAGGACACTTGTGAAGAGCAATCATGAAACAAGAGAGTATGCGTCGGGCATGTCCGGCATGTCAGGCAAACCGCACCATAAAGAAGCCTGAAGGGCCAAAACCTTATACCGGTACTTTCAAGGTTGGAAAACCCAAACCAGCAACATTGGTCTGTTGTCGATTTGATGATCAACAAAGCTCTTCTTCTAATTAAAGATGTTTTTTGAGGTGTGAAGGCTGCTTAAAGAGCGTCGATTTTTCTCGAATAAAATGGGGCCTTTGCCCCTCGGTTTTCAGCCTAACAGGCTTGTCCTGGTTAATTAGCTGCAATGGCAAATAACGATTTATTAATGTTGATCATAGCAGATCATGAATCAGGGGGGCCTGGATATCAAATGGTAGACTCCGGGAGAAACCAACTCACGCCCGTTTCCCGTTGTCCAGATCACGAATAGATGCAGTGTGGTTTAGCAGATTTGAACGTGGTATCCATAAACACCAACACTTAATACATGTGTGATCTCCAGGATTTTAATATCAAGGTGGGTGCCGTCAAAGTCATATCCGCACTCCGTATACTCCGTATATCAACACCTTCTATTTAACCCCAACATCCCACCATCCAGCATTCAAAGCAACCAATCCATCAAATATTCAGGGCTTAAATACCACACAAACGAGTCTAACCACCCATGGTTAATTTAAAGTTCAGAAGAGGGAAACATCTCCACCAAAGTAGTATTGGAAATTACTTTGTTGTGTTTTCGAGGACGTCTTTCATACTAAAATTAGGGTGATGGTATATAAAGCGATCAAGTGAGTGTGAAATACGTTACATTACCATACCTGTTTGTATCATACGTACGTGCAGTACCTTGGCATTCAACGTCAACTTTAATGTCCTAGTTGAACCTGAGCGGCTTTCCAACCGTTTGAATGCGCACAAAAGGCGCCTGGCAACTTTCCACCCTCAAAACGTTATATCCATGTTTCTCATATTTTGAGTCGCGGTGCTCGAGAAACTGAAGTTATTGCTTTCTCGGGTTGATTTGATTTGATGACCATGACCATGACCATGACCATGAAAATAGATGCTCTTAGGTTGATACGATTCTCTATTAAGATTTATTGGCTTCTACTCATACCACCCTTCTGCACACTGGCTGAGAAATCGGAAACAACGTCATTTTGCTTGTGTATTGCAAATTTCAGGGTCGGACAATACATATTACAAAGGCCAATGTCCCATGCAATGTCTCAACAGTTCCTCAACCATTTTAGCGCAATCTGGTTGGTTGGTGATTAAAGGTTGGAAAGTGTGGAAGGACAAAAGAAAAAGAAATATGATGTGTGCGCCCGCTTCAAACGTGTAGCCTAGTAGGGCTGTGTCTTGAAAGCTTTGACTTCTCTTCCCCACCTAGATACAGGTGTCGAACTGGTGGCTTGGTAGCCCGACATTGAATCACAAATTGATGTACACATTTACGAAGTCTACCTGCACCTTTTGTTCACACATTCTCTTTCATGAACTCAAATCAAAATCTTCTGCAGTTTTATCAAGAGCTATAACGTTTTGACCTATTGTCTTTTTTTGCTTTGCCTTTTGACTTCTTCTCCTTTCCCTTAATTCAACTGGAATAAAAGCCCCTAGTCCAATGAAAAAGATAAAAACAAAAATAAATGAACAAGGGGGGAACTTAAAAAAGAAAACCCATGCACCTATTTTATTTCCCTCCTCCACTCCATTATTTTTAATTTAAATCTCGTCTTCCACCTCGTGTCCCACAAGATCAGGTTGGTTGGCCGTATGTCCGGACTCAGCCTTGAAAAGCTGGACCAGTTTGCATGTATTGTACTGTACTGTATTGTATTGTACTCCGTAAACATAAACATTCCGGTGTGAGGTTGTAGGCGGTAGTGGCTTCAGATGCCCGTCTCGCCCAGCAACATAAGAACTGAGGAACTGCTGCGCCAACTACGACGCAGAAATCCATGGCTCAGACCTTCAGGGTAGCTTCGAAAAGGCAAAGATGAGCTGTTGCTCTGGACAACGACTTCAAAAGTTTGTTTTTCCTTTTAAAGTTGACCCTTCTCATATCCACAGTTTGAACTAGTCATTTCATTTCATCACACAAATGGTTGACTGGCAGGACATAAGGTTTCGTGATTACAGATGGTAAGTTCATGAATTGAGAGACAATGACATTAGTGTAAGGTCGTAATTCTTATCAACAGATGTATTATTGGAAGAGGCTTGCAAGATGAGAAGTGATACTCTTGAGAAACCATAGCTCCTAGGCACCCGGCTCCAGGCTCGACCACGCAATTACCTGGCCTGTCATTTGAAGGAGACTGATGAGGAGAAGTAGAAACAGGGCGGAAGGGCTGAGCACCGAACAGTATGACTTCGACTTTTGAGACCAAACCCTGGCGCTGAGAGCCATCGTGCATGGCGAATTGAGCTTCGATGTGCCACCCATCACAATATTATTAGCTAGTTTTTCCCTTCCCTCCTCTGGTGGGGGCATGGATGCACCCCAACCTTAGTTCGGAGGTCCTGACGAGTCAGTAGTGGACTCTTCATAGGCAAACGCTGGAGAGTTTCTTCGTCGTGGAAGCGGGTAAATGGCACAACATACGCAGGGTACGTACCCTATCTTCGGTCCAAGATTTGTGGAAAGGCTTCTCCATATTTCCATAGAAACAGAAATTAGCCCTTGCCCTAAATTCCCTATTCGAGTATAGTGAGACCTAGAGGTTCAACCCCGGCCCAGACAAGCCACTAAGGGACTCAAGCCCCAGAGTTATCACCCCTTGTATGAAGCCCAAGGCCGTCGGGCTTGGATTAGTTTTTTTTTTTTTTTTTTTTTTTTTCTTTAAAAAAAAAAGAGTAATAAATAATAGCGAATCCAGCCAGCCAGTGGTGGTCATGCATCAACTCTGCAGCGACCTGAAAATTTGAACCACTTCAACAACTCGAGAGACCCAAGCTTTATGGAATTCATGTTCCTGCCACTTTTGGTTATATCATTGATTCTACCGGCCTTGCCAACGGATTCCCAACCGCTATCCAATACCAGATTTGATGGCGCTGAGCAGGATTGGAGATGAAAACCTCTACATTGGCGGGTAAGTCTCCGCATTTCGAATACCCCTCTTTTCTGATGTCTCCAGCCGAGTGTATCCCAGCCAATGCAATGATCGTGGGTTTGGTTTTAGTTTTGTTCATGGGCAAGATTTAGCTCCGATTTTGCAACTCGTTACTTTGGCCAGCCTTATATTCTATTTGTTGACCAAAATATCATTAGGGTTATGGCGCTGAGCAATAAAAGCGCTCTGAAAAAAGCAAACATATCACACATTGTGTCTGTTCTTCGTTTCAATCCAAATGAGGAGCGATTTGAGTCGTTTGAACATCTACAGGTCTCTGTGGACGATGTAAGCGACGAAGATCTATTGGAGTATTTCCCTTCCACAAATGCCTTTATCAAATCAGGCCTCGAGGGCGGGGGCGGTGTTCTAGTGCATTGGTACGCTTATTATTCCCTTTTTAGCCCCTTTCCAAAAGGTTGGCGTGCATGTATGTAGGAGACCCTGGATGCCCTATCTCTCTCCTAGGTACACTACTTGAGCTCCAGAAGGTACCTGGATCTCACGATTAAGTACTCTCCTTCTTGTATGCTTCAGTTATTTTCAAACTCTGCTTCTCATCTTGCGTCGTTTTTTGATATTTCGACATCCAAGCAACGTAACCATGACTAACATGCACATTGTTACAGCGCAATGGGCAAGTCTCGGTCTGCAGCTGTCTGTATTGCATTTCTGCTTCACCGAGAACCAGGTGCAATAACTCCCTCAGAGGCTCTTGCACTAATTCGTAGATCAAGGCCAATGTGTGAGCCAAATGATGGGTTCACAGAGCAACTGGAACTCTATTTTAAAATGGGATGCCCAGAAAACGTCACTGACCACCCCTTATATAAACGATGGATATATGAACGTGCTGTTGAAGAGAGTGTTGCTTGTGGCCGTGCTCCTGAAATTGACCTTGTTCGATTTGAGGATGAGCAGCCGGAGAATAGCAATAGTAATGAAGCCGACGATCAATTAACTGAAATAAAGTGCAGAAAATGCCGGTCAGTATTTCCATTGTTTCTGCCTGCTCTTTTCTACCCCTGCGAAGAATAATATGTCTAACCATTCCCATAGACGCAAGCTGGCCACCATGCCTTTCATAATTCCTCACACCCCGGAAAATGAGAAGAAGTTGCCGAGAGGTCATTCTACACCTGATGGACCGTGTGCGCATATATTTTTGCATCCATTAACATGGATGCGACCCTCCCTCTTCCCTGAACAGGATTCTTCCTCTTCAGTGTTGGGCCAACATGAATACAGCCATTCTCCCGAAGCACCGCTCTCCGGACGTCTAACGTGCCCTAATTCAGCATGCAGCACTAATATTGGCAAATTCGCATGGCAAGGCATGAAGTGTAGCTGCGGGAACTGGGTTGTGCCCGCAATCGGCCTGGCGCGGGCGAGAGTGGATGTCGTGGACAGCAGTGTGAGAAGAGCAACAATGGGCACCGCAGCTGATATAAGGTTTCCTGCTAGTTTGGGAGTGGCTGAAGGAGAAGCATCAGTGGCAGAGAATTCTGTTGTGAAGAAAGGTCTTTTGTGAACCCCAAGACCCACTTACAACCAAGGAAGTGTTCCTACTTATCTTGATTTCATCAGACATACTCCAACTGCCAAAGTGGTCCACGGAATAATACATCTTTTCTTTTTCCCACCTCTCCAGAGGCAAACACTGTGGCACATGCATGATATCATCAGCTATTATTCATGATTTCTGATTGGAGAGTCGATACTAGACTGCAAGACAGGATTCTCTTTTACCACTCTCTATTTTGCCCCCCCTGGCCTTGAATGCATGACGATAAATACCAATTATGGCCATACAAATCCGTCTACTTTTCCTAACTTGTATCGAATCAAAGTGGCTGTAAAGCTAAAAGGATAAGCACTAACTATCGGAATCCCACCCAAAACCCTGGATTTGGAGTGCATTTTTCCTGGCTATAAGGATAAAGACCGAAATTTATCCCCTGCCCAAAATACCATGCATATGAGTTCCTTGCTTGTTACCGTATAAAAGCTTAACACCAACAGACAAGGAAATGTGGAATGGCGTTATTGTAACCCTTGTTCCCGCTGTCATAGAGCATTCCCTGGCTAACCATTTTAAGATTGAATCCAATGTAAATATTTCGATTATAACAGGCAAAACCGGTTAAATGCAGGGTTTGCTAACTCTGCTCTCACCAACCGCCCTAGAAAGCCTCCGGAGATAATTAATGCTGAAGGAGATGTATCAGGAGGAAGTAAGACATGACCTACAGTCATGTATGTGCCATACATATATATGAGTTAAACTTCCAGATGGTTTGGAGACAATGTCTAGATAGCCGCACAACCTTCCAGCGGTTCTTCTTCTTCTTCTTCTTCTTTCTTTTTTACTTCCCCCTCCCTTTTTTTCCGGGTTTTCAAGTTCATTTAAAATAGAGGTTGCTTCCCGGTACCTTGATACAGATTTGAATATATCGTTACATGCTCACCCAGTCTCCCACAATATTCGCAAGCACCACTGGAAGAAAGCAACATGTGAGTCCATACACGCCTATGTACACCTGAGAACCCGCATGCCGCCATCAAGATCTTTTTTCGGCCCTGTAGTATAACTTGAGCACCTCGATCATTTAGGAAATTGTATCTTACCCACACGCAAGTGTTAAGACTACATCATCAGAGTCACGCTGTTCGGGAGTTTGGAGCTGAGGTGATAATTAATAATATCTTGCATGCTGTTCCATCCACGATGTCTTCATACCCACAGCACCTAACGATTACTCTACGCCCAAAGACCCAGTCATATTTCAAAAGGGAGCCACTGTACAATCACACGCAGTTAAAAGTGAACAAAGCAAGTCTCATTAAATTTCAACACAGGTCCTACAGGACAAGGCGCAGCTAAACCTCAAAAAAGATCGATTTTGTTGACCGCATGCGCAGCGTGGTGGAATTGGAACAGACGCCGAACGGCTAAATATTGTAGATATAACTAGAACAATTACCTTACCGAGCCATCTTCATCATTAGCCGAAGAAATGGCATATTGTTTTAGCTTTTAGCCTTATAGGGCTTGAATCATTCAAGTCGTTTCGGTCGTTGTTGCCGCCAGCCTTAGTTGCCAAGGAAAGGAAAACTCTAACGATCAACAAACTGAAGCTTCAAACTCGGTTTGGATCCCGCACGGGCCACATCTAGATCTATAGATCGCAAAAAAAGTCCAGTGAAGGCAACCCAAGACTCCCTCGTATTAATACCGCCAAGGTGTCGGCAACGGTCTTGACATGAGAATTAAAGACCAACGTGACCAACACTACAGAAGACAACTTGACCCCTGAAAACATTATTATTATACGCAAATGATGATTTATAATCGTTAGTGCTAATGTGGAGTTCCAGGAAATAAAACATCGCTGTCAACCAGCTCCCCCGGGGTGCACAAGGAGAAGTATGTCTGAAGTTTTCTCATCCCTTCACACTTCCGGTGAGTTCGTCGTCTCTTGTGGAACATTATCCATCGGAAACCCCCCCCCCCCCCCCCCCCCCCACCCCAAAAGATCTAATTCCACTCCTCCATTGCCGCTGCAGGAGACAATACCATCTCGCCAAAGGTAGAAAAATGGTTGGCGAGTCTCGAAGGAGCCGCTGCTCACGAGACGTTTGAGGAGTCTGGCTACAAATGCCACATCATATACCCCACACTCTTGTGTCGCTTGCAACAGAATATCAGGTCTCACAAGCCCACAAGGAGCCGTTAGCCGTCCAGCAGCGAAAGTATTTAGGGACACACAGAATCATTTTCTGGTACCTTGCCAAGGCTGATTCCATGGAAACGCCGGCTGTCGGGGACTCGGGAAAAGTGGGAAGATCTCAAACCCCAATGGATGTTCTGTCAACGCGGCGGCTGCTAAGCTATGGCGCGAAGAAGGCCAGCTGATCGTGGCGAGGGCAGTTGAGGCTTTTTTAAATCTCAAGAAATGCGAATGAGACAACTACAGGACGGCACAGAGACACTTAAGGTGCCTGAAGATTGCTTTGCTTGTCTTCAGTCCACAATTGTGTTTTCTAGTTCTTGGTGTTGAGTGCGAGCTTTCAACGGGCGATAATTGCTGGGGATAATCAGTTATGTTCATTGAGGCCTATCTCTCTCTTTGGGTTTCAAAGAGTCACCGTGAATCCCACCAGACTTATTACGATCTTTCCGACACGGGCCATATATTGGTCGGCTTTTTGAAGAGGTGGTAACTGATACTTGAGTTTTGACTCTTCCGTTCATAAGTCTCGGTAACTGTTGCTTTCATCATATCGTGGTCTGGCGCATTTCCTAGATACCCATAAAACCAAACCCATTTTCATCAATTTGTGTCCTCCCGCAATTAGTCGTGTGTCTTTGGTATTGAAACCCGTTAAGAATATTTCCATGCATTCTATTCAAGTTGTATTACCAAAGAAAATCCTTGTTAGTTAGTTACAGGTTTTGTTTTTACCTAAGATTTCATAAGAAACACTTCCAAGCTACAATAAATTACAGATTCTCACAGATTTTCATGTTCAGTTTCCTACCCAGCACGGCTGAGGTATTCTTAAATGCTTGCCTAGAACAAACTGCATACCCCTGCATCATTCATAATAATATAAGCTTTCCTGAACAAGCGCGTAGGACAAATTGTTCTGGAATGTATAGACATGGCATTTATTCATAGAAAATGTCTACAACCAGACCTTTCAATATTACTGCAAGCCTTACGGGAACATTGGAGAAAGAATCAGGTTTAATTTTACGTCCATTCAACTCTTACAATATGTGAGATGGGTGAGACTGTGGAAAAGATTGGATGCCGACCAATGGGTTGAATGTCAGCTGGTGCGGAGCCTGCTCTCGGGGACTTTCTTTAGGCAGTTCAGCGTTTACTCGGAGATAGCCAATACAAAGGCAGAGAGTTACAGCGCTTACCCAGCTAATTGCACCAGTAAAATGACTATTCATGAGTGCAATGATCTTACAGACAAAAACTGATACATTCGTATTCTCAATGGTTCAAAGGTTTTCAGTATTCAAGCTATTCATGATGTTTTTGAACTGAATATAGAAAATCTGAAACTCTTGTCAAGGCTGTTGGATATATACTCTCTGAAGACCTATCATTACCTGAATAGTAAACCTTCTGTGATTGACAGACCTCTGAGGAGGAAAAGGGCGGGGAACAGCAGTGATAGTAGCTCTTCACAAGTACTGTAACAAATACTAAATCTTTTAAAAGGGAAAGAGAAAAAATAGAAATATAACTATGTATAGCTAGTGATACGCTTCTAAAAAGTAGTTGGGCTGGTGTTCATAGTCTGTAGTTGTAGATAGATAACTAATGGAAGAGGGTGCATGTAAAGTACACGCTGTGACATTCCAACCATAATAATATGTGGAATTCCATCGCATGTAGTTATCGAAGCATAAATACCTAGTCGGATAATATGTAGAAATGCCCGCCAGGATCGCTTCTTAAAAATAATGGGTCGGCATTCATTTTGAGGTTCTCATTTAGAATAGTGGAAACCGCGTTTCATCATCCTCTTCGTACAATGAATAGAGTCAAGGGAATCAGTATGAAATTCATCACGACGTATCAAGCGAGGTGGAGAGAAAATGAAAGAAGTGGATGTAAAATATGTAACATATACTCTTACCCAAGTGATCAACTAGTTTTCCACTGCAGCGCCACGCGAGAGCTAAAAAAGTTAACGGTGAAGGAATGGTTAGGGCACAGGGGCTTGCTATTTCAGCGAAGCACCTAATAGGGGGTGGGGCTTTCCAAAGGTGCTCCACGGCTTATATACAGGGCCGTTGAGGAAAGGATATGCAGCATGATACAGCACTTCACTAGCATCCAATGAGGGAGCATTCGCGAGGCTTTTGTAAAGAGAACAGAGAATAAGGCAATGGCTCCGGGCAAAGACGGACGAATATTTGCATACCTATAGGTAGTTTACGGTCTTTGGCTAAAACGCGTTCTGGGTCGATTCGAACGTCGCATGTTAGAACGTATGGAAATAACTTAACTCCGTTGATAATAACATTCATTCAAATATTGGACGGCAACACACATTCTATCCACATTCGACAGCATGTTCCCTGTGGAAATTTGACAAAACACTTTGCGTTCCTAAACAGAACCACACCGCACTCCAAAACCCTGAAATAATATTTCGACGACAGGTGAGATCAACTTGTTGGCGCAGTAAGGTTTTTTTTTTTCCTCGTACAAACGTCTGTCAATGTATGTGTGAAACCCAGTCGTAAGGCTGAAGGTATGGTCAGGTTTCGGATAATCAGAAACCAGTTATGACAGCCATGCCAAAAGAATTGTCACACAATAGCTATCTTCCTCATCCCTACCCCACTCCTTACCACGAGGGAAATTTAACCGACAAGAAGCACCACGTTTTTGCTTTAGCGCTTACCTTCAACCTAAGAACTGCGAGAGGGAGGAATGTTCCCGACCAAAATCCGGCACAAGGACCGCCATGGTTCCAAATTCATCCAGTGGAGGCGGTGCTCTAAGCGGCTTAAAGCGATAAGACCGGGCTAGTGCCCTCGGTATGACGTTTATCCTCTTTCCTAAAGTAAAATCATCTGTTGGCGCTCTCACTACCCTCTGCAGAGCAGCATCGTGATCCTTGTCGCAGACCCTTCTCTTTTTCCATTCGCCTTCGACTGCTGACAAACCGGCAGCAGGGTCGCCTGAAAATGCTCAAAAAGGTTGGCAGACAATTCCAAATCGATGGGATGATCATGATGACTGCCACACCACGCTATGCCATGCATTAGCCATGGCATTAGCTAGCTCCACTGAATTTTTTGTTCGTATACCTTATGTTCATAAACGTGTCTCCAGCTGTTTCGCCCCATTGTGGTGGGGGGGGAAGCCAAGCTCATGAAAAACCAAGTTGCGTAAGAGAAAAAGTTTCCACCGCCTTCATAAATCTATAAATCTGTTTTCGGAGTTGATGGGAACAGGTCTGGATTTTTCAAGCACTCCGTGTTCCGTCTGGCTATTTCCTTTTTCCGAATCCGGTCAATGCGCATTTGGTAGAAGTTCCTTCAGGGTTCTGTTAGCAAATATTGAATAGATATACAACAGCAACGATATGCGCAGACACACGTACTTGTGGAGGGCAAAAACGCGGGGTGTGTCATCCATGTGCGTTTCAGCCCCGCTGTTCTGAATAGATTTGATCTGCATCATTCAGTACTCACTCCATGGACATATGAACGTATTTTCCCAAATCATTGGGCTCCGCAATCCCCTCTCAAGAGAGGAAAGTAAAAAGGAAAAATCCCCTTGTGCCAGTAAAATAACTCACTTTATCATCCTTCTCCTTTTCCGCCTTCTTATCTTCCTTTTCAATGCCGTCCTTTTTCTCCTTGTCCTTTAGTTTTTTACGATTCATTTTCTCCTCATATTCCTGCTTCACCTTTTCAATCTCCTTGTCTAGTTCCTCTTTCTTTTTCCTTGAGGCAACCTCCTCCTCATCTACAATAGGCGAACAAAATCCGCGGTCTATTAGATGGATTGGGCAAACGTAAAAAAAGTCCTACAATTCCAGAACAATCCGCAACAGCACAAGATCAAAAGTTAGTGTCCACATCTTTCATATTTACACATAAATACCATTGGCGTGCTCTATACTTGCCTTGTTATCTGGAGTAATCAACACGCTAGAGGATGGTTTGTAGCAGATTTCGCAAGAGCGGGCTGCTGTCTCGGCCACCTTGCGATGGTGCCAAATGTTGGGAAGAGACATTTCTGGAGACTGTAAAAATGTTCACTAAAAAATATAAAGAACTACAGCGAATCCATCAGATAGCCCACAAATAATAACTCCAGTTAGGAGGTATCTCCTCTGAAGTTGGGCAGATGATATTTGATAAGGATGGAGAGAGAGAAAGCCTCATAACAATTTATTGATAATGCGATCTTCACGTGGATTGATTGGCCCGGGAAGCTTGGACCACAAAATCAGGTGACATCCCGATATCAAAACCATCAATGCCGAAAACCAGAACAAAGAATTCCGGAGTTCAACCACAGCAGGACATTGAAATTTGAAGTGGTATCTCGATACTGTATGTGTCGGAGCTCCGTAGTTGACTTTACCCTTGTCCCCCTTTTCTTTTCTTTTCTTTTCTTTTCTTTTTCTTTTTCTTTTTCTTTTTCTTTTTCTTTTTTTTTTTGTTTTGCTTTTGTTTTGGTTGCCCTCTTTCTACATCTTAACGCGATTTTACTCCGTTTTAAAATATTCAATGTGGAATGATTTGTTATCCAGTCTTTCAAGGGCTGTATGGGTCCAAGTTCGAAAACCGAAATCAGCTCCTGTTTGGCATAAACAATACGTAGAGCAATTCTAAACAAGCTCCGGAATAAATCAAAGTATAGAGAAAAAATCCAACCACGAATAATCTATCTAACCCTTAAAAAGAAAATATGCAAATCAAACAGCGTCAATTCCATCTCCATCTCACCACATATAAGGAAAAAGAACCTAATTCTACATCCCCAAGCTCACTCCGTTAACCCCTCCCGAATCCCAGCAAGTGAATCCTTCTCCATAATACCTGATACTAAACTCTTATTGGTGTTCTGCGCCCTCCTCTTCGCATCAACCCAGATCATAAAATCAGTATACGACTGCGGCATAACCTGAACATCATTCTCGACCAGGAATGTGTAATGGAACACGCCAGTGGGCTTCTTGGTTGTGTGCTCTACATCACGCATTTTCGAGTCAACCCGTACTTGGACTTTTGTGAACCTTCGCGTACTGCTGTTGCCATTGACGCTGCTGGTGCTGGTGCTGGTGATGGGAGAATCGGTATATGACACGGTCGCCTTAAGATACAAGACGGAGCCAACAGGGACGGGATTATCAAAGGTGCTAGGATCAAGAGAGAGGAAAGTCGGTCTGGAATTGGAGAAGGCTGCAGCACAGCAGAAGGCAAGCTCAAAAGTTTGCTGGAGGAGAAAGCCACCGAAGATCATGAAATTGTGTCTGTTGCGGTATTGCGGTTGCATGATCTGTGCGGATTTAAGAACTGTGTCTTCCATGCGCATAAGATTTTTGGGCCTGGTGACGGGGTTTTGAGGGCCTGTACGGGTTAGTGAATTAAATATTCTTTGAAATAGTGATTTCCTAGACACATGCCGGCTTCTTTTGGCCATTGACATTGGGGTTCCCTTTCCTGGGCCTTACGACCTTATCTGGGATTTTGGTTATTGGTACTTACGTTGATATGCCATCTCCTTCGTCCACATGGCATGAATGAGATCACTCTCCTCATCATTTGGTGTCTGCTCAAGTAAGTTCCTCTTTCTCAGCTGTTTCTTTGCCAAATAGTTCTTCTCCCCAAGCTCAAACAACCTCCGCTCTTCCTCCGTCTCCACAAGGAGAGGTGCAATAGCTACCGGCCTAACCACTCACAAACGCAACACAACAGAAAAATGAGTCAGCTTACAAAAATCCAACAATTATCAAACCCCATAACTAACCTCAACTCTCTAATATAAAAACACACAGTGGAACGGTCAGGCAGAGAAGGGAGAGAGATAATAATCACGTGAGATATAAAGACAACCTACTTCTTCGTCGTTGGATCTAATGAAACCATAGTAAATGCACACGTGATCAACACATCCTCCTCCCTAACCGCCTGTCCCTCCGCAGGCGCTTTTGCAACCTGAAGCGAAATCTCCATACTCGAGCGGCCCGTGGCATATGTGACCTGCCCACTGAGCTCCAGGTCACATATCTCCTTGAGCATGTGCTCAATGGTGATACGGTCTACAGCGGCGGTAACAATCATTACAGAATCACCTGTGTAGCCATATGCGACGACGCCGGCCAGCGCGTCCAGATCCAGCAGGAGGGAGCCCACGCTGCGGGATGGTGTTAGATATGTGTTCTAAGTTTTCACGTTGGAGGTGTGGATTTTCTTCTTCTTATTTTTCCCGGTGTCTGAGGAGGATAAAAGAACTCACCGGATATGTCCTGAGGAATTTAAATAGGTATCCAATAGCCATGGGTCCTGGGCTAGGGGTAGTATCTAGTATAATGAAGGAGAAAAGAGAGACGTTGTATTAGATATATCGTCCCATCATCTTGTCCTTCCATGCAATTACCTCTCCCCCCAACTTCCTCCCCCCCAAAAAAATAAAAATAAAAATAAAAGAGAAAAAGAAAAAAACAAGGAAAAGGAAAAGAAGAACCCACTGTTTTAACGTAACTATCTCTCATCTTTCTCGGCTTCAAATCCACCGTTGGCGGCGAAGTTCCCTCACTCGCGGCTTTTTCTGCCCCGGACCTCTCCTTCTCCCTTTGCAGCTGTAATGCCTCAATCCATGGCATCTTAAAACGCTGCTCAATCCAGACAGGCCGAAATGTATAGTTGGCGGGTGTTTGGTGGAAGTGTCTTCTTGACGTAGTTGCCGTTGTCGTCGACTTTGCAACGATAATATCAGCTGCCGTCCATAAACTTTGTGGACATCGTTGTAGGTGCAAACACAGTAATGATTTTGACGGTGAACTAAGAGGAAGAAGGTGTCGTGTGACCGGGGATAACATGATGATAATGATATAATTTCTTTTGGCAGTTGAAGATTGCCAGATAGTGAAAATACGGGCAACTTGCCTTTACTACTGCAGGGACTTTTCTGAAACCAAGGAAGAATTTAGTTATGAAGCGTTGCACGTATAAATATGCATGCATTATTTACTTCCTCTCATTTTCGTCGAATCGCCTCCGATAGACCGAGCTGGCAACCTTATTAGACGCCCTAGCCGCCCTAGCCAAAAGCTTCGGTAGACGCGTTAGCCGGTCAACTTTATCTCAATTAACCTCCAGAGAAGAAAGTTCAATTTTACTTTTCATTATCTCAATCGAATCAGAAATCACATTTTGCTTTCAGGAAACTAATTCTTCATTAATAACCCCGTTTCCGCCCCATTGCATCCATCCATTAAAGGGAAGACGTAGCAGATGAACAATTGCGGTAGAAAAATATTTTAACTGTTGTTATTTAGGGCAAGCGTGGGAGAATGTTATTTTCGCAGATAGAGGGTTTGGTATGCAAATAATTGTGGTATGTATTTGAAATGTATAGAAGAAGAGATGCAATGGCAGACACAGCATTAACACCAGAATGTGTGAAAGTAAGAGAGAAAGAAGGAGGAAAGAAGCATGATGGTGAGAGTGATGGTATGTCAGTGCCAGCTTAGTTTGAAATATAAAAAAAAAAATAGAAAAAGAATGGTGAATAACACAGAAGAGTAGTTGAAGCTACGGCGAATGAAATGACAATAAAAGACGAAAAACGCTGAAAAGTATTAAGGTGGTGATGACTAGGATAATGAATTAAAAGTACAATAAGGGTATGATGTATCTATAGAGAAAGAAGACCTGTGTCTATGCGTGTCAGCTGATATTATGGCAAGGCGTGGTATATATATAGATCACGCTGAAGTTCTTAAGTAGTCAGATTGGATTAACAGATATGTTCTATCAAACACTGTGGCGAATGAAAGGCTGTGTAAACGGTTGTGACGTCATGATCCTGAGATAAGCAACAGGTTTCACTTTTTCCAAGAGCGACTATCTTTATATCCCGGTCGGTAGCTGTAAATCCCGTTGAATGCTTCGCCAAACACCCATTTTGAGATTATAATAAACACATTGCCAGAGAAAGAGCAAAGGAAACCCAGAATGGCTCATCAAATATGGGTAGCAATGCACCACCTGAACCCGTGGGTTTCGTAGGTTGTGTTGCAAGTCCGGTGATCCCACTGGGACCAACCGGACGCAAGTCTGCAGGAGCAGAAATGGATCCGGAGCGGGCGGGGGGAACTGGAGACGAGGAAACATGAGTATATGGTAATGAATACGATGCACGGATAGGGATAAAAGGCATACCTGTCGGAGTTGAATTCCCATCAGATATCCGCTTCGCAAGGCCAATCCGATTGTCGTCAAAATCAAACACGATATAGACGTTTTTCAAAAATGCAGCGCCAAGGAGCCACTCGTCAGCTTCAAAGGGCTGATGGCCCACGATCCGCGACCGGCACATGCTGTTCGAGATGGAGTCGCCAACGTAATCTTTAGGGGATATGGTATATCTCACACCGGAAATGGCAAGCTCGATCTTTGCCTTTGTCGAGCAGGGGATATCGAAGTTGGTCTCCGAGTCAGAACTCTTTACGGAGTCTGGTATTTCGTTGTGGATAAGTTGCGCATCATTAAAAGGCACGAGTATGAACGAAGTGCCGGTGTCGAATATGCCCTTTTTATTTTTGAGTTTTAACGGCATATCATTAATAACAAGGTCTTCCAATAAAATCTCCCAATGATCCACGTTCGCTAGGGTTTGTGTGTACGAAATTTCTCCGGTAAATTTAGTCTTATCGATATCGCCAAATACGATTTGCCCATCCTTGGTCCCATCCATGTGGCGCTGCAGATTTACTGCAATTATATGCTTCTCCAGCAACCCAGCCTTTCGTAACGCTTGCATAATCGTTGGTGTCTTCATTGTCTTCTCAACAGCACGCCCTAAACCCAAAATGCCGTCCATGGGATAATTCGAAAAGTGGTCAGACATTTCCAGCGCAGAACCGAACCCCATGGTTAGATTGAATCCAGCGAAAGAGACGGAATCATTAACAATGATTCCAGATACGTCACCTGAACCATAAGTGACATCAAATGGGATATCTGTGATTGATAGGGTATTCGAATCCTCGCTACCAAAGGAATTATGTATCTTGCAAGGATCGGCAATGCAGTTGGAGCCGACCAGCCACGTATTAGAAGCGCCCGTGTCGATTAGCATCCACATGGGTTGTTGGTTGGAACCGAAGTGCATAGTTGAGAAATAGGAAAAGTCGTACCCATCAGTGTTGATTGGGAGACTATGTGGTACTGTTGTGGGATCTCCACCAAAAGCTTCAAAATTGTTTTGCCGACGAGCCTGAAAATGACTTGATGTTAATATATGTGTTGTAGATGCACGTACTTTAGGTTGTGCACAGGGCAATATTTATGATCAAAACCACTTACCTTCACGATATCCAATTTGAGAGCTGGCTTGACATCATCTTTATTCTTCTCACTGAGGACATATGGGAAGAACCTCTCTTTCAGGTCCACTTTGGTTGATTGTGAATTGGGAAGCATGCCATGAGTTGTATACTCGCACGGGTAGAAGGCTGCGACGCCCATTGACAGCAAAGCTACTGGCAGAATCCATGATGAAAAACCCATGATTCTAAAGAAGAATCTGGTGCGAAAAACAGTTTGGATTCGTCATTTGCCAAGGCAAACAGCTTAGATACTTTCGAGTCAGCTCGAAATTTGGATCTGGTGTATGATCCCTCTCTTGTTCCAGTTGATATAAACCATTCAACATGAAAACAAAGGCTAGAAGTGTCGAGGGGTGCTGAGGAAGGAGTATGGTCTACGATTGACCAATTGAACTGAAATATGAAAGATATACAATGAGATGGCAAATGGAAGAAAGAAGAGAAGGGTTTAACGGCATTAGGTATTAAATGGATGCATCGCGATTAGGTTGGAGGAGGCGAATAAATTGCGGAGATACTCAGTCAAGAGACCCGGAACACAAAGGGAATTACAATGCTAATACTCGACCGGACAAAAAGGACAAAAACAAAAGCAAACAAAAAACCGAAATACAGAAACGACAGGAATTTGAATTAAGATAGAAGAGGGGGGGGAAGAGTGAATGAGCAGAAGAAGTAAAGGAAGATGAGAAGATGAGAACTGAATTGACGGATGGATGTCAAGAGACACACCAGGCCTGGAGGTCTTGGCAATCCTCTCCAAAGCCCCTTTCCAGTTGCGGACTAGCTGAAGACCCTGCCTCTGCATCTGCCATGCGACTCCAATCCATGCTGGTTGGCATGACCGACTGTTTGATTACCCAGTCTGAATGAGCTACCAGTCCACATAGCCAATGAGAGTCCCAGAATCTTGCTAACGACCTGCTAATTGGTCCACTGCTGGGGGATGAACGCTGCTTGTCGACCAGAGTTGCTGGATTGTAGCTTGTCGGCGAGTCTGCGATTGTTTCCCAAGTCTTCACACTGAGTGCCAGTACGGGGGAAGTGGCTGTTACAGGTTGCGACACATCGTTGATTCATTTTGATTGACTGCCAAATCTCAATCTTGCCTGCCGCACAATTAGAAATTGTTATCTTGAAAGTTAGAGATGCAATTCATCCTGTTCATCTGCCTCATCCTTCTCCATGGATATCCCAAACTATCTATTCTCCGAACATCCCAGTCTGCTTTTGCCTCTGGTATCCTCGGTAGTCCAACCACCTGCCAGCTACAACCTACTTCTCTCCGACCTCAGGCATCAAAATCTCACCCGGTTAACTACCATGTTCATGCACCGTTCGCTTGCTGGCATCAAAAACTAACAAGGCAAAGCAAAAAGGGGTTCTCACACTCGGAAAAGCTTCAAAACAATAAATAAACAAAATGAAGCACAAGAAGGGGGAAACAAGAAAGCCAGAATGTGGTCTTCTATTTGTTTCATCCAAGTCCTTTATAGAACTGGGTTATGGCAATGCCGGCCCCCTCCACATACATGAACACCTCTTGACTCCACCTGGATCACCCCTGGCGTCTTGGGTCTCTACTTAAATACAAAGCCACCGTGGTCCGGAGCATGGAAACAATGTTAAATAGGGAATTTGGTACTAGGAAGATATGCCCATAGTTTGTCTTCGTTTGAAGAAATCAATTTGTCCATCATTATAATATCCTGCTCTCGATCCATGCATCCTCCAATTTACGAAGTTTGCCGTTTCTCTGACGGCAGATAACTGAACGAGCTACAATATTATTAGGACAGATATATACTCATAATTGGTCCCTTGACATGGAGGAATAATATACGGTAGTCTTTAGATATATTAACGAGCGGTTGGGACTCGTTTTCAAAAACTTAAAACGCATTTGTCGATACGGTCGAGATGATGCAGATACATAGCTGTACGCAGCAACAGTTAGATCCTATATAAAAGTATTAGCCGAGGTAGAATCCATAAATAAAAGCTGATGAAAACAGGCTACTTGAGCGGGCTCATTTTACAGTTTTCTTTATTTCCAGCGTGCAGTGCATGAGCGTTAGCTAACTAGAGCAGCATGAAGATACATAAGAAAGCTTAGGTGAATTAACTTCAACCCACCCAAGGAAATTACAAGAAGGCATAAATAAAATACAAAGACCTCTTTTGGAGTCCACAACAATTAAAATAAATACATAAAAAGAGGGACTTGCCGCAGGACAGACTCGTGAGAGAGGTTCCCAGCACCTCTGCATCTCCACCTAACATTAACGTATAGAACTTCTAGGCAGAACAAGAATGAGCTGGCAAGAAGAGGCATGGGACAGTAGCCACATTCTCAATCTTCCCTCTCGCTATGTACCCCTTTTCCTTATCACCATCCTCCCACCTTCTTCCTACCTTCTAACCCCTGCCCACCGCCACTACCAATACTCTTCCCCAGCAAATCCTCCACAATCCCCTCCCACAACTGTCTTGCAACCCCGATAACCGTCCCATCCTTCGTCCCCTCCGTCCCCTCAATTCCCCCCGCATCCCCCATATTCCCCCTCGCCCTCCTCACTGTCTCCGTAAGCTCAAACGGATCAAACTCCACAGCATGGTTATCCACAACCTCGCTCATGGGGCTGACCTCCGCGCCGTCGCCGGAGACGTTGTAGATTTGGGGCTTCATTGGATTTCTACCGTTGCTGTCGTTATCGTTGGAGATGAGTTGGTAGTGTGAGAAGGCGTCTGGGAGGATTGGGATGGGGGTGTCGTTTGTAGCGGAGGAGAGAGGGAAGTCGATACCCTGCGGCATGTAGGCGAAATCGATGGTGGAGTTGTCATTGACGGCTTTGTGCGCGCGGGAGGTATTGAAGCTGCGGGTTGGACTGGAGGATTATGTTCGTAGATGTATAGGATTTGGGGAACTGGGGTGGCGGATATGACATACCTTTTACTATCCACAGTGCGACTGTCAATCTTCCTCATGGCAATGCTGAACGCGCGTGATTGGAGAATGTCATGATTTGCTAGGCGGTCCACGAGCTATATTATAGTAGACATACAGCATATTAGGCGTGCAAGTCATCTTCTTCACGGCAATATACAGTCTCAAAAACACTCCTTTTAAATTTAAAATAAATAATGATAAGAAAATATTGTCTAAAACCATACCTCAGCCTTAGTTCCTCCAGGCCTGAGATTTCTCCTCTCGCACTCAGCGAGCAGATCACCTAGGGTGCGCGAGCGGTAGATGGCGTTGACATCTGGGCCGCGGGCGGGTTGTGCGGAGAAAGCTCCGGTAATGTGCAATGAGCGGCGGAAAGGGGCCATGCTGGCCAGGGCTGAGGGCTCTGGCGCATGTTGTTTGGCTAGCAAGCGCAGGGCACGGATGGAGGTTGATCGTGGGGCTGCCATTCTGTGATTTTGTTCGCGTTTGCTTGAGCTGCTTTTTGCTTGAGCTGCCGTTTGGTTGAGGGGTAGTATTTGAGGGGTGTTGGAGCAATGTGAAGCTTAAACCCGGTAGAAGAGACAGGTGGATTTGTCGAGTTGAGGTGGGGTACGAATGTTTGTGTTTATGCCACTGGGAGTTGGGGTGATACAGCTTAGGAATTGGATGAGAATGGGAGAGACAGAGGTCCTGGACCTTCTGATAGCTAATGTTAAAGGAAATCCTCGGCAAACAATTGATTTGTTGAGAAAAAGCAAAAAGCAATGATGGGGTGTTGGGGTTATAGTAAACTCTTATCGAAGGATTGGCAATTTAAAAGTGACAACTTCAGCCATCCCACCGCTAAAAGCTGTCGGTCACACAACTTCAGATACAAAATTCATGTGCTCTCTCCTCCGTATGCTCACTCTATTTCTACACTCTATTAATTGAACAGAGCAGCTACGGCGTAGTTACAACCCAATCTTTAGATCCTCACCATAGTCAGCGCAGTGCTAATGTGTATGTTGCACAAGCCATTTCGCTGGTGTTGAAATCTTCGGAACATTGCAACCAAGAATGATGATTTGAAGAGTTGCGAATATGTTGTGCCTATCTCTATAGTCCTGAACATCTCCTAGAATCAGTCACATCATCAGTGATAGGCACTCTGTCTGCAGTGATTCCACAGTCTCAATTCAGTTTCAAAAATTTCATACACAGCCCACATTCATACTATGGCATTACAATAACAGATGTTTTCGTTATAGCTGACGATTCGTGAATATCTTAGAACAAACAGAGGATTTGACAAAGATGATATTAACTGAAACGATTAGCGAAGTGAATCAAGGGAAGGATACGATGGAAAGCTATATTTTGTGATTGCACTGATTTGATTGATGTCTATTTGCATAAGCCATCAATGTTGTCAATACCAGAAAATTCCAGTTCCGAAATTACTTCAAATATAACTAGTCATGTGTGCATGCAAATTTGCAGCAATCCGCTTCAGCGTCCTCGCAATAGGACTGTCTTCTGCATGCAGAATGATCTCTAATACAAACTTTCCGTAAGCCCAAATGTCATTCGATTCACGCATTTTATTTGGGATTTCATTATGAGATATCTCATCTTGAATCTCTGGGGCACGTAACACATGTATGACTCCACCAATGCTCTGATGTCGAAAAGCACTTCGTTTCCATCCCCATCAAGAACAACGTTCGAAGGTTTAATACCCATGTAGGTTTTCCCAGCGCCATGAAAAAGGCTTAATGCAGTTGCGATTACTTTGCCCACCGCTCCCCAGGATTTATTCGAGCATGCGAAGTTCACTAAAGGCTCTCTATAGAGCCAACCCCTGTAGAATTCCAACATAATTCCAGTGACTATCAGAGGTTGGACGACGTGTTTATACGTCATATGACGTGGTGAAGACAAAGCCGATGTTGTCCTATTGGCCAAGGCCAAGAAGCTTGAAATAAATTCAAAAAAGTATGCCATGTAATCCTAGGGAAAGATGAATCAAGGGATTCAAATAGTAATGCCAGGAATATATATTCTAGTTGCAAAGTCCAAAATGTATATATAGATAGAATAAACCCAAAGACACCCTTAGTCTCAGACCTTATCTAGTTCTATACACGTGCGCAGTTAAAAATATGTCTCCATTGTCTCGGCCTGCCTGCACCTCCATTCTACAATTTTGACGGCGGACCAGTCTGCCCAGAGCCACGGGAGACAGATCGAGCATACGGGTGAGAAGCGGAATTAGGAATAAGGTGATCGATATCGGCTGTATTGACGAGTTCTGGGCGCGCTTCATCCAGTGACGTGATTCCCACCAGTCTCATGGCACCTTCGAGTTCATCTTTCATGACTGTTTTGAGAATATTAGTTAAACTATCACTGTATAAATAGCGCATGGTAGGCAATGTAGTGAACGGGAAAAAACTTACTATCAAACAAATGCTCCACGCCCTCCTGCCCATAGTTCGTAGCGTATAGCACACTTCTGCCCATCCCCACCGCCGTCGCACCAAGGCAAACAGCTTTCAAAATATCTGAACCCCGCCTTATGCCGCCATCCAAATAGATCTCCATCTTATCAAAGATCTCCGGACAGCGCTTATGCAACTCCAACAGCGTAAGTAGCGCCGGCGGGCTGGTATCCAAATTGCGACCGCCATGGTTACTAAGCAGAATCCCATTGAGACCCGCCTTCATCGCCAACATGGCATCGTCAGCAGACATCACTCCCTTAAGTACAAGGGGTAAATGCGTATGTTTGCGCGCCCACACCAGATCCTCCCACGAAAGCGACGGGTCGATGAATCCAGACATCGACCGGGCCAACCCGCCACCGTGTGAGTCGTTACACGCCCGCTGCTCTGACATGGGGACGCTAATACTTTCGTCCGCGCGCACCCTTTCGTCCGCCTCGCGCTTGCCAGGCCATGCGGCATCAACGGTGATGAACACAGCGCGTATGCGCGGGTTTTCGGAGCACTCATGCAGATGTGCGGCGGACTTGGCGCGGTCCTTGTTGACATAGAGCTGGAAGAAGTAGTTTGCCTGTGGGCCTGCGGCAGTGATGTCTTTCATGGAGTAGCTGGCGCTGTTTGAGATACCCTGGATGATGAACCTGGACTCACAAGCGCGGGCGATGGCGAGCTCGCCGTCCGGGTGGATGAGTTTGGCCATTGCGGCGGGGCTGACGAAGAGGGGCATGCTGCTGTCGCATCCCAGGATTTTGGTATTGGTGTTTACATTCCGAACTTTGCGGAGAACACGGGGGCGGAACCAGGTGCGGTCGAAGAAGGATTTGTTGGCGTCACGGGTGATGAGGTCGTTGGAGGCGCTGGAGTAGAAGGCCCATGTCTTTGCGGTGGCGGTTTTGGAGGCGATGACTTCAAAGTCGTGCGCGTTTATGAGGGTGGTTAGAGGGGGCTTTTCGTTGGATGATGAGGTACGTTCTATGTTTTGTTCTGGGGGTTCTTTGAGCCATTCATCGTCGATGGTGCTTTCGTCTATAATGCCCTTGAGTCTTTCAGGGGGCAGGTTATTCTGGATAAGACTTGGGGGATGGATTTCTGAGTATGCTTTTGTTGCATCTCGTCCAGCATATTTGAGGATGACTACCGGGGACAGTTAGTAAGGGTGGCACCGTACAGCACAAAAAAATAATACGGTGAATAATTGTACACATACTGTTCGGTCCTCCAGGATGCTCGGAGAGAAAATCTGTCACATCCCAAACCTGGTTTTCAACAGCAATCCAGCAATCGTTGGACGTGTTATGTGCACCAACTTCCCGTATAGAAATAGTTTGCCGGTGAAATTTTGACATGGTTGATAGAATTATATTTACTCTTTCTTTTGTTTCAGCCAATGCTTAGGACGGTCTTCCTAGTTTAACCAGTGCGATATAAACAAGCCCCTTGAAAACTCAGTATATAATAAATCAATAAAGTGAAGAACAGTCGGTCAAGCCACGAATACGGAAATCGAATTGTAACTCGGGAGTGCTGTACAACTGCCGTGATTTAGCAAAAATTTATCATTGACCTGGGATATAGCCAGCCAATGATATAAGAAGATGGTGCAGTCACCCGCTTCTCAGCATAAATTACAAATAACCAAATAGGGACCTCCAAATTAAGCAAGTTGTTCTCTCAATGATTCATCCTATCAATAATGGACACGAGGTTGATGTGATATTTTAACCGTACGCTATGAGAGCCGATAGCTTAGCCGATGAAAGCTTGTCAGGATAGGCTAGGGGGCTGACGCCCAGAATGCCTGGAGGGATTTAGTCCACATTATAAATTCCAATGTACTGGGAAAACGCTGCAGCCACCAAACAAACTGTTCGTGATAATGACACCGGGTGCCAGGAATTAAGGAGAAAAACCCCCGTAGTTCTTCAGCTCCGGGTTTACGGGTCGATCCATAGGAAGGGATCCGTGGCCGTGGAAGTAGCGGGACAATGGTACCATAGACCGGTTGACCGCTAGTATTTGGGAGGAAAATGGGCTTAATTCCACGCCAGCCTCTTCGGAAATACTATTTCCCGCACTATCATTTTCACCACGTTCGATATAACTAACTAGTCAACTAAATATCAACTTTTTGCTGGTATTAATTACGGGAGACAACCATTGCAACAATATCAACAACCTTCGAGAATTCGGAGGCAAATGATACATCCTTACCCTCTGAGAGCCTCTTGTATCAGGTTAATTTGTCCTGCCTATTTTCACTTCTATACATCCATCTTACCGTACAGAGTGTTTTCTTCGTCAAGTTTTCATAAAGCTTCCCTTCCCCAAGGTAATGTGACGTTGAAGCCTCCATTCATGTTATATTCCTAACGGACCTGCATGGATTTATGAAATTGTACTTATTCACGTGTCTGTATTCATGTAGTCCATCATCGTTCATTGGCACACTATGGTTCATTAGGGAGGAGTATAAATTCTAGCTTTCCACAAAGCCATAGAACCGCGAGCAGTCAAAGCACTCTATCCAGAATGGGAGAATCCAGCAAACTGCTGCGATACGCTGACGTAGGTTCGCAACTGCCAAGTCTGATTTGCGTAACTAGCTTAAGTCGTTCAACCCGCTATATTGATCGACGTCTTTGGGTAAAAGGGGCTGCTAAGTTCCTTGTTAAACAGGTAGCAATAAACCTAGGTGACCCAGTATTCACCGGTGTCTATCACGGGAGGAAAATCCACGAGGATGACTTGGATGATATAATCCAGCGGGCGCTGGATGTCGGTTGTCAAAAACTCATGGTCACAGGCTCTGACCTGGACGAGTCGCGACATGCTGTAGCAATTGCTAAAGCTCATCGTAAGCAGCTGCTGGGGTACATCCCCAATCATTCAAACTATTTAGTATGAATTCAGTAGTCTCTCTAACCTGTCAATAAACCTTCAGCCGGCATCTGCTATGCCACCGTCGGCGTGCATCCCTGCCAAGCAAAACTCTTCGAGCACTACCCCGGAGGCACGGAGAAGATGCTACAGGAGCTGCGAGCCCTAGCGCTGGACGCTAAAGAATCCGGCCATGCCACAGCCTTTGGTGAGATAGGTCTGGACTACGACCGTCTCTTCCTCTCACCCAAGGAGCCACAGTTGAAGTACTTCGAGGCACAGCTGGATATTGCAGTTGAGATCCAATTACCACTGTTCCTACATTCCAGAGCCGCGAGCGAGGATTTTGAACGGTTGCTTACTCCGCGACTCGCGAAGTTGCCAAAGGGAGGCCTTGTTCATAGTTTTACTGGAACTATGGAGGAGATGGAGAGATTGGTTGAATTGGGGCTGGATATTGGTGTTAATGGTTGTAGCCTTAAGACAGAAGAGAATTTAGAGGTTGTTAAGGCTATGCCGCTTGAGCGGATGCAGCTTGAAACTGATGGGCCGTGGGTTTGTATTGCTCTGCGCTGTCTTTCTTTCTTTTCATTTTTCCCCCATTATATACTGCGAGTGATACATCTGTTGACTAATTATACAGTGCGAGATTCGGCCATCGCATGCCTCGTTTAAATACCTCGAAGGCGCCCCAACACTACCCAAGTCATTTAAAAAGGAGAGATGGCAAAAGGGGTGTATGGTAAAAGGCCGCAATGAACCTGTGACCATTTGCCAGGTTGCACAGGTAGTTGCGAAAATAAAGGGTATCCCCGTTAAGGAGGTTTGCGAAACGTAAGTTTTTTTTTATTTATTTATTTCTATTTTATTTTATTATTTTTTTCTTTCACAATATCATTATTGTGGGTTGGGCCTTCTCTTGTTAATGGGAATAATGTGTTCGATATAGTACGTGGAACAATTCGGTGAAGATGTTTGGTCTGGGAGAAAAAATCTCTGAGAAACATTTGAAAACGAACGATCTAGAGAGGACTCATCCACGATACACCTGACGTGTGCTTCGATATCCTTCGACATATTATTTTTGAATAGATTTTGCATTTTTAGTTTACGTCCCTGGAGTTGGATCGTTTTGTTTAGCCCAACCTCGTCATATAGAGACATGGAACTGGAAACCGTTGTATAAAATTTGGGTTATCCCGATTGCCTCTTCCGTCATACCAGAAAAAGCAAGTAATTGCTTTTGTGGTTCCCTTGCAGTTGAAAAACCATCCGCATTCCTTCGTTTATTTATTTATCCAGTCGGCTGCAAGCCTTCCCCACCTTTACCAGGATTTTGGCAACCTTATCAAGTTTGTGCGCCCGTAGGTAGCCGTCATAGGTTGATGCAACAATTAAAATGCAATGGCGTTATTTTAAACGATTCCATAATACTGCTAATAATAGCAGATGGTCTGATACTGTAATGATTCTAGCAAGACATAGCTCTTGCTTATTCGTCGCCTTTTTGCAATTTTCCAGCGGTTCTGCCACTATTTCTCTTGGTCAATTGTGGGAGATCATTATTACACTCATATGAATGGATGATTTTATAGCCTGTCGTCGCAGCGCTAACTCGTTTCAAACAAGACAATATAACGGTTTAAGATAAGGGAAACTAATATTACTAGACTTTCATCCAAGCCTCCAAGTTCGGGGCAAGTTACATAGCCAAAGACGCACAGATAGTTAACTATGCCACAGGATGCGTTGACACCACGTGACGGTAGCTAGAAGTTCCAAGATCCTTTTATCCATGGAAACCAGCAGGGCCGGGTCCGGAATATCCTATTCCGCCCGAGCTTGATGTTAGTTGGAGCTGTTCCATCATTTCCACGGTTACGCGTGAACTGACACAACTTCCAACTTCACTTCATCCGACTATCTTCAACCTCGAAACCTCCCGTCAGCTTCACTCTGCAGCTCTCTTCCTTTGACCCCTTCATCACTGCATCAGGAGCAACCCCCCTCCTGAGTTCCCACGAAGCTTGCTCTCGTCATAACCACCTCCGTTACCATGGATCCCCAACGAATGCTCTATCAGTCCTCGTGTAATGTCGACGGATAGCCTTTGACTTGCTACTCGACACTGCCCATATAGGTAGACCTCAACAGCGTTGTTTGCTCCAGGAACTCTCAGCTACTCTCTCCAGAGAAACTCTTTTAAGGCCCATCTATATTGGATTCCACGACCCAAGTTCTAGTCATGTTGTTAACATAGGACTCCGCTTCAAACACTCCTACGTGGGAGAGGCAGCTTTCCTCCTCCACCTTTCCTCACACTGTTTCTTATCTTACGCTCCTCCTCCTTTCCGCTCCTCCCCTCATTTCTACACTTTTTCCCTACCTCATTTTCTATTCCCCCCCCCGGATATATCCCACTTATATCTCTTCAATCCCGGCGAGAAATTTTCTTTACATCGGATCTACACACGCCAAGAGTGCCGTTCAGAAATAGTTCCCGGACCGAGCTATCAACTCCTGGCCCTAGTCCCTGATATGCCGTTGTAACTCTCCAACTTTACTTACTTTCCTATTCTATCGTCCTCGTCTTGCCCGGGGCCTCCGAGTCCTCTTGACGGGACGATTCTTCCCCTTCTCCGCCTTTCCCGCTCCCCCGGAACCCTTCATAACCACAGCGGTTTTCTCATGTCGAAATCCGCTCACGGGACTATGCCCGCTCAGTCTTGTTACAAAATGCCCGATCTGGCTCCCTCAACCCCCTTGGACATTGTTATCAAAGACGAAAAGCAAGGTATGCCTCCCTCTATGCAGTTAAGGTTATTCACTATCCACTATACCTCAACATTTTGCGTTTGAATTTTTTTCTTTTTTTCTTTTTTTTTGATATACGTGTTTGATGGAGACTTGAGTGGCCAACTTTCTTGCTCTACAAAATCATCTATGTATTTCCTTGGCATATTTATCTAACTAGGGACCGTCCATAGCAACAGAAAATGGATATCTCACTAGTGGTTTTGAAAGTGGACCAAGCCGTCCACCAACGCCGCACGGAGCCGGCCTACCCGACAACTTCGCGGAAGTAGTTAAAGGTGTATACAGAAGCAGCTTCCCTTTGCCAGTTCACCTTGATTCTATTGCGAAACTTCATCTGAAGACTATCATGTGAGTTAACATTCCCTACCTTTTGCGATATCATCTTTTATATACTGATCGCCAAATTAGTATCCTGGTGGACGAAGAATGGTCCCCCGATTATGGTGAATTCATCCGCAAGAATGGGATTACATCTTATATTATCCCTATATTGGCAAACAAAGTCCCACAGGTCTCCACGCCCTATGAGACAGTTGTAGAAGTACTCAAGATCATTTTGAACCCAAAAAATCATCCCCTTCTGATTCACTGCAATAAGGGAAAGGTGCGTAATGTTGACTAGAAATTAATATACTTATTAAACGTCTGATCCTTCCTTCATAGCACCGAACTGGGTGTATTGTCGCCTGCTTTCGCAGAGTTCAAGGCTGGTCAATCATGGCCGCGCTTCAGGAATATCAGAAATACTCGATACCGAAGTCGCGTGCACTGGACCGGAATTATATCGAAGAATTCAGTGCAGATGTCCTCTCAGAGCTTGCCAATAAAGTGGGAGCTCGCAAATGGCTTCCGACCATTGTCCCAGTCAACAACATCGATATAAATAGAGTCGACAAATCGCGTGTAGGGGCAACCGACAAACAATTTCCAAATGCTGAAAGTGCACCTCCTAGCCACTTCAGCGCAAGTTTAGAGGAGCTCCACCGGGTCAACACCATTTAGAGATTAACCGATTGTACTCCTTTGGCAGCTATTTTCCTCTGAGAGAGAGGAAGAGGATTCAACTAACTCCCGTTGAGCAATGGAGGTTATCCTTCAACTGAGATTGCCTTTTTTCTTTCTTTTCCAGCAAGGAGTTACCGGGTATGGGTTGATATTATAACAGCAAAAGCAAGGCGTTCCCTTTTCACCCTTGGTACAGTTCGTCACTAAAGGAGTTATTCATAGCTGGTTAGGTTGGGTTCCGGAGGTTCAAGCATGTGGAAAGCGACCTCGAGTCACCGGAGAGGAAAAAATAAAGAAAACGAAACGGAACGGAAAGAAATCTCAAATACGACTCTACATTGAACCCGGCGTTACGGATGTTGGATGTGAAGCTCGATCTACCGCCTTTTAACAGTGGATTAGTTCTCTCTTTTCTCTCCTTCCCCTCCTTTTTGTTTTTCCTTGCTCACCTTTTTCTCTGTTTGCATTCTTTTGAGCAGCTGAATCAACCTGCGATAAATACATTTCATGATTTGATCATGCCATCGTGGTAGTCCTACCTATACTTGGTACACCGTCCGTCGAATATATTATCTGTTCAGCCCTTTTCTTTACACCACCCACTTAGACAAAAGCTAACCGTTTCTTTAACTTTCTTGTCTCACGTCTAGTATCCTTCTTTCCTTTCCCTTTTGGTCTTCCACGTGCGGCTGTCTAATTTGCTTCTACCTGCATATTGTATTTTTACCTATGGAGTGTTTGCCGGCTGTTGTCTTTTCTTTTGTTGTTCAATAATTTTTCCTCGGGACAATTGCCAAGCTGAACGGGATATGGATGCAGGTGATTTGATCGGCGTGAATGGTCTAATACTGCAATGGGGGAAAGAAACAGGGCGGCAAAATTAATATTGTTTGCACTGTATATGTGTGGTTGTGTACTAATAATTTCTTCTGATTCAATAGTCCTGGGGGTATTTTATAAAAATTAATAGAAGAGTTTGTGGACGCAAGTGGTAAACCATGTAGGGACTCTTCATTTAGATGTGGAGTTATTACTTAGCAGTAGTAATCGATTCTGCAATAATGTCTTCATTTTAAGAGCCTTTCCCTTTTTCACTGGAGTGATGTGAGACTGGAATATTTCTGGGCGTTGAATATGGGTATTAGGAGTAAGCAGGTGGAAGAGGGGAAGTGTGTCCGCAATTAATGGAATGGCAATTTAAAAAAGTTTCTTTCATCAGACAAGATATAGCAGCTGTTCCGATCTAGAACTCAGCTTGAAAAAGTAGATATGAAATCAAATACTGTACAGCAACAGGGCGAGAAAAAATATCCCCTGTTCCTTCCTGCCATATATTCGTGTCACCCTGAGCGCCAGAAACCAAGAAGACAAAACAGTCATGCTTAAGTACCAACCTTTGTTGCATCATCCACATTCCATGAAAAAAGAAAGTGGGTAAAAGAAAACAGACAAGAAACTACCCCGTGTATACGAAACATATATGCGAAAAAAAAAAGCATCAGGGTGTCTGAAAAAAAAATAACACTCCTTCATACCAAGCCGGCCGCCTCCCTTGCCATTCTCAAATCCTTCTCCGAAATCCCCACATCCTCCAAATACAATTTAAAAGCATCCAGCAGCTCCGCCAAACCACCCCTCAACGCCTCCTTTATAATCTCTACCTCCTCCACCTTCCTCGCTTGCTTCTGCGCTTCGCCATCCACATCTGCCTCAGAAGGGAAATCAACATCCGTCCAATGGATATCGAGCCCCCCTTCGCCAACACTAGTAAATGTGTCGAGCACCGTTACGGTTTCTGTAAACAGGCGTACAACAGTCGCGATGTCCTGCTGTACTTTTCCGAACTGGTCCTCTCTCAGACTCGCGATGAGGAGGCGGGTAAGTGACTCCACCACGCTGACGATGGGGGCGAGACTGGAGTACGGAGTGCCAAGAACGAGAATGCGTAGTCGCCGTGCATAAGATTGTCGGAAGGGCATGCCCACGAGCGAGCTGAGGATTTGGTGAATGATAGGGTGGGTGGCAGGTCGTCCTGTTTTCCTGTTGGTGGGTGGGCCCGTGAGGAGTTTGAGTTCTTGTGCAGAGGAGGATATGCGCTTTTTCTGCTCGGGACTTAGGACAGCAGTTGCGGCACGGTTGAGCATGTTGCGAGCCTGGTGGCGCGCGGCTGGTGTCCAGTCTGGAGACTGGCCGTACGATTTGACTACAGAGCCGAGAGTGGATTCTAATTTTGCTGGGCCGGTGGTGGGTTTGGATGAGGCTACGAAAATGTTTTCTTGCCTTGGTGGAGAGGAGAGACGAGGTAAAGTTTGGATAACGGTTAGCTGCTCATTACTACTGCTGCTAGAAGTAATTGCGTGCTTTTGGGAGGGAGGAGAGGAGTCTGGAATCGTTGGTGGTGTTGGGTTTCGGTACTCGTTTATTCGAGAGGTCATCCCCTTGATAACGTTCACCGACGCGTCGAGAATTTGGCCCCATGCTGAACCACCGGTACGGTCTATGTCAGCAAAGATTATCTTGCGGCGTTCAGGAAACTGTTGGCTGATTAAGCAGAGTTCCCAGAATGCAAATGATTTGACGATGTCTTTCTTTGCCTTCAACCCGTTTATTAGGCTGCCATTGGGGTCTTTGGATTCGTTTGTCAATGGCTGGCCCTTTTTTAAAGGTGCTTGGCCCAAGAATGTGGAGAACAGAAGATTAGAGACCTGCCATAGTGCAACAAGAAGCGCACCAGAAGTAGCTGCTCGAAACAACAGGTGAATATGTAGTGGTGGAATGAAGCCTGGGGGTTCCGCGGCGGAGCGGGGGAAATTCCAGAAAAGCTTTGCGAAAGAAAGCGCCCAGCCCCAAGCGGTGCGTCGCAGGAAAATCATATAGATAAAAGGACCCACAACAGATGTTACTGAGCTCCTTATTGCAGCATCGTAGAGTATTTGGGGTAGAGCCTTTCGGATCTTGACAGTTGGGGGCTCCAGAGCATGTGTATTTTGATCCGCTGATTTGGTTATGGGAATGTGGAGCCTATCCCAGTCGAAATAGAGGTGAAGTAGAGCTTGAGAAATAGCTAGAATGGCGTAATAGCAATGAAGATATATTGGTCTTTCATTGAGCTTTGCTCGTTCAAAGGGTCTAGATATATGATTTCCATTTAGTATAGAGGCGCAAAAGAATTTTCCCAACACAGAGAATGAACTGACCTTCCTGGTTTGACCCAATTGAGTTCCGCACTTTCCGACGACGACAATATATACACTTCACTAAACCACCATGCGGAGAAAAGATACCAGCCAAAGGTTTGGAACATGGCAAAGGATAATATGGTCTGTCTCCACGAGCTAAAAGATGACCTCGCTGTCCGGGCCCCAACGTGCATCTGGCCAACACGGAGTATGAAAATCGCAAGACATGAGATAGAAAGGAGCATCGTTCGAACACCGCAAGCACCCAAGGGAAACCATGACCAGAACACTAACGGGAAGCTCACAGTTAGCCAATTACCTCTACAGATTGTTCCAATGCCTCTCGGGGGTATGGGGTGGGAAACAAAGAAAACCCACAGGAAGATTTAACGCCAATAAAAAAAGCTACAATATAGCATGCAACCAAGGATATTGCTGAAGCATGAACGAATTTGCGATGTAGAATCGAAGTTAATATCCGCCTATACTGCCTTGGGCGGGCCACAGACGACGATGGTAAAGTTGCCATGGCTGAATGAGACAAGTTTTCCACAGCCGGAGACAAGTGAGGGAGCATCAAGCATATCTGGAGAGTTTCGTAAACCCGCCAGGGTGTTACTGACAAGCAAGATACTGTATGGCTTGATCGTGTGCGCGAAGCGATGAAATGTATGGATTTATGGATGGAGTTTAGAACAGTTTTCTTACAGCAAAACAAAGCCAAGCCACAGATGCACCAACAAAAATGCTCACCAGCCACACTTCGTCTGCTTAGGGCTTAGTGCGGCCGAACTGCGGCGTTTGAAAGCCTCCCGTATATTACGTGATCGCCCAGTCCACTTGGACGTAAGACGCCGGGAACATCCTTCGACATACATCGTCAAGGCAACATCTGTAGCAAGCATTCCCTGGATATACGGCTACCATCACTGGCTTTACTCCGATGTTTATCTTAGACTTGGGGTTGTGTGCGGCGTCCTTCTTATTCTAATAGTCCTTCCGCTATTTGTTTGACCTTTTCGCATCCCCAACATGTCATTCGACCGCCTCTCAGCTCTCGAAGCGCAACCAACCAGACGACAGGACGAGTCACACTACCAGGATGACCCTGATTTCCAAAGATTGACAGAGTCTCTGTCAAATAGACTGTTTACTTTGACGTCCAATATCTCCCGCCTGTCAAACCAGATTTCCCTCTTAGGCACCAAACGAGATACCGAACGGGTCCGGGAAAGAGTACATGATTTACTCGAAGAGACGCGGGAGGGATTTCGGGAAGTGGGCGAAGGTATCAAGCAGGTTCAGATGTGGGATGATGTCAATGTGAGTAACAGTTATACGATGTGGAAACATCATTATGGTTGTAGAGTGGCAGCTTCCACTCAATCCCACGCCTCAATTAGCCCTACTGACTCCTCTAACTTTTATGTCGAAAAGCCCTCCCAAAAATGGACGCAGCAAAAGCTTTCTTCCGAGTTTAAATCTACCCTTGAGGAATTCCAATCTGTCCAGCGCCGCGCACTGGAGAAGCAAAGAGCCTCCGCAACAGCTGCACGCACCGCCCTGGAGGAAGATGGCGGCGTGCCACACTCCCCAACTGAAGGCCAGTCTCTCCAACAGCTCCAAGAACAGCAACCCCGCCTTGCATCCCAGGCCGAAGTCGACTTCCAGGAGTCTTTAATTATAGAACGCGAAGCAGAGATCCGAAATATCGAACAGAGTGTTGGCGAACTTAATGAGCTTTTCCGAGATGTTGCCCACATCGTCCACGAGCAAGGGGGACAACTGGACTTGATTAGCGAAAACGTGGAGCGGACGAGAGATGATACCAGGGGAGCTGACTCTGAACTGAGGACCGCAAGCAGATATCAGAAGAAGGCGCGTAATAAGGCTTGCTGCCTCCTGTTGATATTGGCTGTTGTTCTAGTCATCATTGTTCTGGCTGCCACCCTGGCTTGAGCAGTTTGGTGCATGTTTTGCTGATCTCCTATTTGTTTTCGTTTTTGTAACTGTTCCTAATATTACCTTGTCCGAATGGCATTTGCCTTGTGTTTACGGCCCTCTGGTTTTCGTTTTGTATTTTCTACGTGCCTATGATTCCCAACGGATTGATATACTGGTCCCCTTGTTTTCTGTTCTTCGGTTTGATCCTTTGAGGAATAGATTGTTCTTGATGTCGTTTTCCAGCATAGCTACTTAGGTCCTTATTGCCATCGTTAATATCGTACATATATCTGATAATCCAGAATATATACACACCCACACAATCTACAAATACAAAACTTTAGAAAACCGTCACTGGATCGCAAGATATGTAATAGACCCTTCTCCGACTTGCACACTCCGTTGTCAGAAGTAAAACGAGATACGTAATATCATCAACCCAATCCAACTAGCCGACTGGCCCTCATCCTCCACCCTTCCCAAGTATTCAACTTGGGCCGCACATCCAGATAAAAACTTAGCTTCCCATTATTGGTAGCAGCCCCCAACCCTGACCCTGCGGACCTTCCTTGATAGAAATCAATCACGTACTCAATTTTAGTCCCTCCGCACCTCTCCACAACCCAATCATGCCTATCGAATGGCCGCTGATAACCTAACCACCCGTTGATCCGCGCTCGGGGACTCAGAAACTGACTCTCGACACCTAATCCACGGAACGAATACAACTTGGGACCCCCGCACTTTCGACTACCTGGATCCGAGATTGGGGCGGAAGATTCCCATGCAAGTATCTCAGACCATGCGCGCTCGTTCACGGCGTTGTGGATGGGAATGATTGAAGCGATGGAGGTGGCTAGGTCTGTCGCTGACGTGGCTGATGTGGGGGTGTTTTTGCGCAAAAGGGCATCGAAGAATTGACGCTCTGAGGGATAGATCCAGTTTCCGGTGCGGGAGTCATGGCCTGTTTCGGCTTCATCGTTTGATGGGTTGATATGGGAGGCTGTGGTTGAGGTTGGTGAAGGGTACGGAGATGAAGGAGCGGGTGTTCCGGAAGTGGACGAGGACGAGGATGCTGAAGTATTAGGCAATGCCCGAGGGATACTGCTTACTTCCCGTTCGCAAGATAGAGGCCTATGTAATTTCGTCGGCTTTGGGCCACTGATGGGTTGCGCAGATGTGTCGGTTGTGGGATTTGGATGCGGAGCAGTGGGATTTTGACGTTGTGAAAGCCATACAGCACGAGTGTTGTGATCTACAGGGCATGTAGTTTGGGGGCTGTAGTCTGGAGCAGATGAAGGAGAAGTCGGAGGATTCGCAGTACTCCCGTTGGCGCCCATGGCCATGGAAGTATTAGGGCGGCGTAGGTTAAGGAAATAATTATGTACGTAGAAAGATGAATTTGAGAGCGGGTTCCTTCTCACATCTGCGACATAGGGAAGGGAGCAATTGATATTCCCTTATGCATAAAAAGGAATCCCACTGGCTCTCAAAGGTCCTGTCGTATTATCTCACATCTGTTGGTTTTGGCTGAAACTAGAGATGAAGCTGAAGCTCAAGCTCAAAGAAAAAACACGATTCCCAAGTCGATCTGATAGTTAAACTAGTTAACTAGTTAACGATTTAACTAGTTAAATAAGGTTCGGAGTTCGAAATCCTCCACAGAGCCTCCTCCAACCTTATTTGATTTTCACTGTTCTTCAACTTAAACGAAAAAGAAATCACAACTCTCCCACCTCATCTTTATTTAGGCTCTTTAACGGCTACCAAGAGATTGTCCTGCGTATCTCCTGCAAGTAATCGCAATTGAAAAGGGGCAAAAATGGCCGGTTCTACTGAGGTCTACCGTGCGAGTGTCACGGCACCTGTCAACATCGCTGTTATCAAGTGAGACCACTAAGTTTACTCAATTCTTCACATTTAAACTTACTATGACTTTTCGCAGATACTGGGGGAAACGAGATGCTGTCCTTAATCTTCCCACTAATTCTTCGCTTTCCGTTACCCTATCACAAAGCTCTTTGCGTGCATACACCACTGCATCATGTTCTCCTTCCTACCCCACTGACGCAGGCGATACTCTGACCCTTAACTCGGAACCCCATAGCATTCAAGATTCAAAGAGAACCCTTGCATGCCTGGCTGATCTACGAGCTCTCCGCCAACAGCTGGAGAATACAGACCCATCTCTACCAAAGCTCTCAACTTTCCCTCTGCGCATTGTGTCAGAGAATAACTTCCCCACCGCTGCTGGCCTCGCTAGTTCTGCTGCTGGTTTTGCTGCGTTAGTTTGCGCAATTGCCAATCTTTACAAGTTACCCCAGTCGCCCAGAGAACTCAGTCGTATTGCACGCCAGGGATCGGGCTCAGCATGTCGCTCCATGATGGGTGGATATGTTGCATGGCGCGCGGGTGTTTTGGAAGACGGCATTGACAGCTTGGCAGAAGAGGTGGCACCAGCAAGTCACTGGCCCGACATGCGTGCTCTTATCCTTGTTGTTAGTGATGCACAAAAGGAAGTGCCCAGCACAAAAGGAATGCAAGCAACTGTGGCAACTTCAAGCCTCTTCCCAACCCGTGCTGAAACAGTTGTACCCGCACGAATCACCGCCATCGAGGCCGCGATCCAGAACCGGGATTTCCCCAGCTTTGCCGAAATCACTATGAGAGACAGCAATAATTTTCATGCCACCAATCTTGACACCTGGCCCCCTACTTTCTATCTCAATGATGTGTCCCGTGCTGCAATCAGGATAGTCCATGATATCAACCGTGTCGCTGGCGAGACCATCTGCGCTTACACCTTCGATGCGGGTCCGAATGCGGTTATATATTACCTGAAAAAAGAATCGGAGCGTGTTATTGGGACTTTTAAGTCAATTCTCAGCGCTGAAACTCGGGGTTGGGATGGGGTGTATGGGGATGCAGTTAAACAAGTAAAATCAGGCATTCCAGTAGAACTTTTGGATTCGAGGGCTGTTTCTGGGTTAAGAGATGGTATCAATACTGTTGTTCTAACTGGTGTTGGTGAGGGCCCTATCAAGGTAGATCGACACCTAATTAGCGAAACTGGTGAGATTTTGGCTGGCGCCAATTAGGTACATGTCACACATATTTTATTGGCAAAAGGAAGTAAGAAAGTTTTACTGGAATACAAAACAATCTTCAGTCATAGATACCCCTTGCATCTGGGAGAAGAAACAGCGACCCGTTGAATTATTTCAAAAATTTCAATATCTCTATATAGCGTCATTAGGCGATTTGCATGGAGAGTTCAATACCTAAAAAGGGAGAAACATGACTGCACTGCCTTCTCCAATTCACTTGTTTCCTTTTTGACAACCCTGAACATGAAAACGCCTTACTTATCCTCCAAGAATAGCCAATTTCTGAAACTCCTTTACAACCGGGCGTTCCCTCCCTTTGCCCCGAACAATCTCCTGCAAGCTATCCCAGAACACTCCATCCCCACCAGGCGGTCGCTCGCCTCCCACATCGCCATTTCCAAGAATACCCCTCGCATCAACGCCATTAGCACCAACAACTGCCTCCTTAGGCACTTCAAACACATCATCCAAGCAATCCCTACACATTCCCAGAACCTCATCCAAGTGATGCTGCACCAGCGCCGCCCGCTCCCTCATCCCTCTCCTCAACAACGCCTGGATAATCGTCTCCCCTTCCACAACCGCACCATTAACCCTCTCAACAAGTCTACGCACACTATTAACTAGGTACTCTTCTTCGTAAATAGTTCCCTTCTTCCCACGGGCGCGCTTGCGCTCCTCGCGCCGTCTTGTCTTACTACTTTGGCGCGACGAAGAGGTGTTACCGGTATACCGCGTAAACATACTCCTGCCCGCCATTGTAGTGGCATCTGTAGCTGACAGGGATACGTTATCTGGAATATCGATCCCACTTTCTACCATACCAGCAGCTGGATCCCCGCCGTAGAAACCCAGTGGGTCAGTAGCGCGCCGTACACGCAGTTCTTCAATCCTGGGAACCTGGGCGTTTAGCTGCGCCTTGCAATCTGCGAGCAGGTCGATCATGCTGCCCATTGCGTCCCCCAAGGCTGAGTCGACTATGTCGCTGATGAGGGATTGTTTGCCGTGTAGGGCGAGGAGACGACAGGCTTCCCCGAATTGGTTGCCGCGGCAGAGGAGGCGGGCTGCGGTTGGGATGTCGTGGAGGTGCTCGGAATGGATGCGGGCGGCAGATATGTAGTCTTTTGTTTCATCTGTTAGGGTTGTGGCGAGGGATTGGGCGAGGGAGGTCATTTGGGCTTCGGGTAGTGGAACGAGGCTGGCGCAGTAGAGGCATTCGCGCCACTGATGGGCCAGATTGTAGGATTGGTAGGCAGGTTCGTATACGGATAGGGATTCGTAGACTTAGGGTGTGTTAGTTCGTAACTCTTTTTCTTGTGTAGGGGACATGTTGATTTGTAGTTAACGGGATATCACATGTGGAGGGGCTGCGGAGAGCATACTGATAGCGGCTTCCTTATAGTTTGATTGGTCATACAGATAGTCTCCATATAATTGCGACATATCCCGAAGCAATTCGGGCTGGTATTTGTATAGCTCCAAGGCATCGCTGTATAGAGTATGTTTGATGGCATAGAGTTTCAGTTCATCGTACGCATGAAGCGCATACAAGCTCTTGAGCGCCTTCCGGACTCGTCCAAGGTGATTGTCGATTTCATACTGACGGCGAAGCTCTGGCATCGCTTGCAGCTTCTGAAGGAATGGAAGATACTCTCGAGGATCCTGGGTGAAATTAGTATGCCTGTGGCTCTAAAGGCCAGGGGAATTCCTATTAGCATAGAACATACCTTCTGGGCTTGTTGGGCTACCATCAATGTTAGCTCTAGATCATACAAGCCTAGGGCATGGTCGTAAAGTCTATATGGATCAGTGAGGAAGCACATATGCTCGACGGCTTCCTCCGCTTGTTGCGTGCTTTGTTCTAAGACTAGGTTAGATTAATCTTATCTCATGTGCTTGGAGGGATGACCTACCCCGGAGCTTCGCAACAAGTTGAAGCCCAGAATCCAGGTCAGGGGGTGATTTGCACAAATGGGCAGTGACAAGGTTTTGAAGATTGGCATCGATTCGATTGTTCAGCACGGATAAGAATGCATTGCAAATTTGATTTACTTTGTTGTCCTTGTTGGATTTTGAAGCTGTCTTTACGACATCACCAGGCGCTACCTCGTTTGTTATATCGGTGGCACCAGTATCAGAGACTGCTATCTTAAGGGTGTTTTTGTATAGCGTTTCAGAAACATCCTCGACGCTACAACCAAGTGTCAACATAAAAATCCTACAGAGAATGACTAGAAGAGAGAGCATACCGCAATCGAGAGAGGAATTCATCAATGTACTCAACCTTCTTCACCTGGTCAATGAATAGGGAAACATTCGCCATGAACTGAGCGGGGGAATAATCATGAAGAATGTTCATATCCACCATGTGGCTTCTGCATGCAAGGTATGCCGCGCGATAATTTTTGTTGTCGATATAGTTGCGGATTCCAGCAAGAACAAGCGCTCGGGGATAAATGGTCTCGGTATTACCACGAGGCATCTGTAAGGTAACGGCGAATATCGAAGGCATGACAGAAACCAGACGAGCTCCCCGCTCGATGCTTCGACATCTTTCATCGATTTCAGGAATGTCTCCGGGAATATCAAGTTCTGTCACCATAAATTTGAGTAGATATTCAACAATATCTCCAAGGGGATAGGAGCATACCATCTACTTTAGATAAATGAACGAATTTCAGTAGGTGTTGAGTTGTGGTGAAGATAAGATGGGCCCTGGTGATTATGAATGAGGTACAGTTCTTTGCAAGGAGTCGCTTATCTGCATATAGAGCTCCAGACTTCGATATGGAGAGGAGAATATCCTACATAATTAGCGCCGTCTGAAGAGAGAATATCTTCTGCAAAAAGCTTACCTGTCCATCTGGGAGCTGAATTGCATTGGCCCAGCATGTTTCCTGGGTCGGACTCTCGTGGAGAATCTCCTCCAGAAGCCCGCTGGGCCCCTCTGAAGAGAGCTTAAAATATAAGCCTGGTTTTCTAGTCCGCCCTTCCTGGCAAATCCACAAAGAATTCTGCAGTGTGTTGGGAAATATAGAAGAGAGCATGTTTGCATCCTTTGACTGGTATACAGTCGTTGTCTCCTGCATGTTGACGAGGGTTTTTTCTATATCTTGTTGGGAGTATCCGCGCTGATTCAGAACATATAGCTCATTCTCTTCCAAAAATGCAATTCGTCTGGGTCTTGATGATGCATTCAGGAGAGGATAAATTGCTTTAAGTTCAGGGTCCGCAGTGGGGACGGCTTTAAGGTTCCAGGCATATAAGTAAATCCCAGTCATGGTTAGGACTGCAAATTGGGAACTGGATTTGCTGAATGCGACATCTATTGCATTAGACTCCAGAGATATATCATAGGCAGCCATTGGAGGAGGGACATTAGACAGTTTTAATGGCGTTATTTTTAATGATCCTAATTCCGAGTTAGCCATATATTCAATAATAGGAGTAAATTCAACTCACTCCCATCGACAACAGCAACGGCCCCAAAATCACACGGAGTAAGCGTGGATCCTCTCGATATATCAAAAACCCATTCAGTATCTAACATCGTATCTATGATTTTGTGTTAGCTCAGTGCGTCAATTTAGGAAATTGGGATATTTGCGTACCAGAAGACCCGGCAGCAAAACGCAATGCTTTTTCCTGGTGCCATCGGAAACATTGAAGCTCTCTTCCTGATCCCGCTTCCACAGAAATAGGGACCTCCTGTTTTAAATAATAGTGGTAATTTCCCATCGTCCACAGCTGCGTTCTATCCTTAAATTGTACAGCAAGTACAGTAGAGTCGACATTCCACGCCAAACCAATGTTCGATGCCCAGCTGGTCATATCTTCTTTGGTTAAGCGTAACGTGAATTCGCCATGTCGGAGTCCATTCCTTTCAAAAAACACAACGTCCACTCTGTCCTCCAATCTCTGTATTCCAGAAATCAAATTTCCAGATGGCCTCCAGCTTAACGCACCCTCTACCCCATCCACCGGCTCACTTACGCTGTCCAAAATACCCTCGCGCGAATAAACCCTAATCACACGGCGAGTGTCGGATTGAATACTATTTACAGCAATGAAAGCCCCGTCACCCCTCCAGCTGATAGAAGTCCTTTTGTCATCAAAATCACTAAGCTTCCCTTCATCAACTTTTTCTGGGATCGTCGGGTCCCTCAGAGCTTTTGCTCTCTTGCCCTGAAACTGTGTCTCCTTTTTTCCCCAGCCAACAGAAACATGTCTTGACGCCTTGAGATCGTCGCTTGTGAATGCAATGTTGGCCACATTTTCGAAATCCCTTGTCATATAGAGAAGTGTGTTGGACCTGGTGGTGACTGCAAGTAGCTCTTCATCCGGAGACCATGCCGCTGCTGTAATTCCCACGTCAACTGACCCCACGATTTCAATTTTGTCCTCGCCCGGTTGGGGGTCTTCACGCACAACTATGATATCACCGCCTTCTAACACAAGGCATGTAACTAAAGTATCTGCAAAATATTGCAATGATAAAACTCTGTCATGTTGCAAATCTGGGAGCGGACATGGTGCATCCCAAGAGGTGATCAACTGGATATCCCCCGCCTCCTCGTTTGCATCCTGCACTTTTCGTTTCAGTTCAATGACAGCACTTGTTTCCGTTGGCCCAAATGTGCAAAGGATGGAATCCGTCACAGGATCCCATGCCGTTGCAGTCAGAGGCAGCTCCCCCCCAAGCGGAGTCTCGCGCAGGTGTATGTTCCTCAAATTGCGCATTTTATATTGACCGTATGCGCTGTACCTAGGTTCGAGAACACCTTTTTATTTTAAATACTATCCCATACAGTCTGGTATTTTAAGGCGACGGCGTCATAGTCTATTATGGAGTTGTTGGTTGGGATAGATGTAATTCAAGCGAAGGTGAAATAAATAAATGTGCTTCTCAATTTTTCTTTTGGGGTGAGTAACAAGTTTTTTCTGCATCCATGAACTGGCTGAACCAACACAAAACTCCTTATAAAATAGTCTAATACAGCACCCACCATACAATATTTTGCAATTTACACATATCTAGCTATGGCAACATGGGAGATTTTGACTTTATGGTAATTCTAGCTCCGCAACTATGTATATACACATTACAAAGTCAAACAAACAACCTATGTGAACTTTAAAGAACATCTTCCTTGTCACATCACCACGGTCCAGATCAAATAAATAAACTTGCCAACACGTTTACTTGGTTTTCTTAGTTTGCCAGACTGTTTATCATTGTATTAGTGGTGTTTCACTGCACATATATGATGGTACATTGGGTTTAAGTATTACCAGCAATAGCGAAGGGAGCGCCGAAACCAACAGCTACAAGTTGTCAGCAATCGAATAGTGGCCACATAATTCGGAGAAATTCCTACTTACCCACAAAGCCCCAGTATCTCAAGAAGAAATACTTCGTCAAAGGATTAAAGGGGAGATTAGAGCGAGGGCCCTCTGGGTAATGGAAAGGACTGGCCATCTGCGGGCGGGAGGAGTGGAGGCCACGGCGGGCAATGGTGGTGGCCATTCTGGCACGGGTTGCGGTTTGAGCGATCATCTTGAACGGCCAGTTAGCAACAGACTGAGCGGACTGATGCCACTAGGGACTAGCCCGTACCTTTAGGATGCTGTCGAGGCAGAATTGACTTGGAGTTGTGTCGTAGACGGGAATATACAGAAGAATGTCTCTTGAACTCCTCGGGACGTTAGTTGGGCAACTCTTGCTGACTCAGCCTGAGTCCATAACACGTGATATAACTAGCTCCCAGCCAATACGAATCGGAGAAACCTTATCGGGAGAGTTTCGCCGATGCAATTTTGACAATTTTAAACAAACTTAGTCGCATAAAGAGTTGTATATAGATGCAGCTGGAGACTTTCCACAACGCAGCGTCGGAGGAATTAAAAGGGATTTCAGTGGACTGTCTACCCAACATGGACGATCTGTTCAATGTGTTTGAGGATAAACCCCTTTCAGGAATTCCTCCTCAAGGAGCCCCCAAACCTCGAGCCAAGAAGGACAAGAGCAGAAAGAGACAGTCAAATGGGCTTGTGAAGGATGGTTCTAATACGGCGGGAGATCAGGAGAATGGCGAGATTGTAGATACCCCGATGGAAGATGCAGGTGCAGCGGAACCTCCTGAAGCGCAAAATGGCCTACCCGACGCGAAGCGACAGCGCATTCAGGCAGAACCAGAGACTGTCGTTGCCGATACCTTCGAAACCGAGCAGTCGCGTGAGATCGCAGGCTCTGCCGGTCTTCAAGGCGCCCAGGATACCAAAGCTGTCGTCCTATCCCATCAAGTGCGCCATCAAGTAGCCTTACCTCCCGATTATCCATACGTCCCAATCTCGGAGCACAAACCTCCAGAATCTCCGGCCAAGACATGGAGCTTCACTCTTGACCCTTTCCAACAGGTCTCTATCGCGTCAATCGAGAGAGGGGAGAGCGTTTTGGTATCTGCTCATACTAGTGCTGGAAAGACAGTGGTTGCAGAATATGCCATTGCGCAAAGCTTAAGAAATAACCAGAGGGTTATATATACGAGTCCTATCAAGGCGCTGAGCAACCAGAAGTACCGAGAATTTGCTGCTGAATTTGGCGATGTGGGATTGATGACCGGTGACGTAACGATAAATCCCACAGCAACATGTCTCGTCATGACAACTGAAGTGAGTGCTATTTATACGTGGTTTTCGAGGCTGTCATTAATAATGTTACAGATTTTGCGATCCATGTTATACAGAGGTTCTGAGATTATGCGCGAGGTGGCCTGGGTAGTTTTTGACGAGATACATTACATGCGAGACAAGAGTAAGTTTTCTGGAATTAGAACAGCCGCTGGAACTTTCACAATATTAACATCTGCACAGCGCGTGGTGTTGTATGGGAAGAAACTATCATTCTTCTTCCAGATAAAGTTAGATATGTTTTCCTCTCCGCAACAATTCCGAATGCGATGCAATTTGCCGAATGGATTACCAAAATGCACAATCAACCATGCCACGTCGTCTATACCGATTTCCGACCAACCCCTCTACAACATTACTTTTTCCCTGCTGGTGCTGACGGAATCCATCTAATTGTTGATGAGAAAGGGGTTTTTCGTGAAGAGAACTTCCACAAAGCCATGGAGTCGATAGCAGAAAAGCAAGGCGAGGATCCTGCTAATCCGATGGCTAAAAGGAAAGGCAAAGGCAAGGATAAGAAAATAAATAAAGGAGAGGGTAGCAAGGGCCCTTCAGACATCTTCAAGATCGTAAGGATGATCGTGATGAAGAATTACAACCCGGTTATCGTTTTCAGTTTTAGCAAGAGGGAGTGTGAGGCCTTTGCCCTACAGATGAGCAAGATGGCATTCAACGATGAATCGGAGAAAGATATGGTCAGCAAGGTTTTCAATAGTGCCATTGAAATGCTCTCAGATGAGGACAAGGAGCTGCCTCAAATTAAACATATCCTACCGCTGTTGCGACTGGGGATCGGGGTTCATCACTCTGGTCTTCTCCCAATTCTCAAGGAAACTATTGAAATCCTGTTTCAAGAAGGCTTGATCAAAGTGCTCTTTGCCACAGAGACGTTCTCTATTGGATTGAACATGCCTGCGAAGACCGTGGTTTTTACGAGTGTCCGGAAATTCGATGGCGTAAGCCAGCGCTGGATTACTCCGTCTGAGTTTGTGCAGATGTCCGGCCGTGCCGGACGTAGAGGTCTGGACGACCGTGGCATTGTCATTATGATGATAAATGAGGAGATGGATCCGACAGTTGCGAAGGAGATCGTCCGTGGAGAGCAAGACAAGCTTAACTCAGCTTTTCATCTAGGTTATAACATGATATTAAATCTGTTACGAGTAGAAGGTATATCACCGGAGTTTATGTTGGAGCGATGCTTTTATCAATTTCAAAATACTGCTAGTGTAGCGGGATTGGAAAAAGGTATGTGTTCAAAACACAATATGTCAACAACTGTTCCTTTCTAATAGCAGTAGAACTCGTCGAACTGGAGAAGGAGCATGCCAGTATGGTAATTGCTGATGAAGGGACGATACGGGAGTATTATGAGCTGAGACAAAATATCGCGACATACACCTCAGATATGCAGAGCGTGATCACTCTTCCCAACTACTGTTTACGTTACATGCAGGTGGGGCGCCTTGTTCAAATACAATACATGGACTACGACTTCGGATGGGGCGCTGTTGTCAACTACCAGAGACGGAAACCTCCTAGAAACTCCCCGAATGAACAGTATCCCCCGCATGAGAGCTACGTTGTCGATGTCTTGCTCCCGATTTCGGAGGATTCGGCATTCACAACGAAAACCATAGAACCCCTGCCTCCTGGTATTCGACCCACACAACCGGGGGGGAAGGTCCGGTTAGAAGTTATTCCCGTGCTCCTTTATTGCATCAAAACAATCTCCCATATTCGACTTCGTTTGCCTCAAGACCTCAAGCAAGCTAGCACAAGGAACGGAATTCACAGGCATATTATGGAAGTTCAGAGGCGATTCCCCGATGGAGTTCCACTTATAGACCCCATTGAGGATATGGGCATCAGGGACGACTCCTTTAAGAAACTCCTAAGGGTACATGCTACTGCCACCACTGTTTAGCCTTAGCATTCTTTAGTTTTATTTACTAACTGCTCAAGCAGAAAATCGAAGTGCTCGAATCGCGTCTATTATCCAATCCACTCCATAACTCCCCTAGACTTCCAGACTTATATGACCAATACGCGGCTAAAACCGAACTTGCATCAAAGATCAAAGCGACAAAAAAGAAAATCACAGAGGCCATGTCGATAATTCAACTAGACGAGCTAAAATGTCGCAAACGTGTCCTTCGTCGCTTCCAATTCATCAACGAGGCGGAAGTCGTCCAGCTGAAGGCCCGTGTCGCATGTGAGATCAGTAGCGGCGATGAGCTGATGTTGAGCGAGCTCCTTTTCAACGGATTTTTTAATAACCTCACACCCGAGCAGTGCGCGGCTGTTCTTAGCGTGTTTGTCTTTGAAGAAACTTCCAAGGAAACACCGCCAATTTCCAAGGAGGAGCTTGCAAAACCGCTGCGGGATATCCAAGCTCAGGCGAGGGTTATTGCTAAAGTGTCGCAGGAATCTAAGCTGACTGTCAATGAGGACGAATATGTGAAGGGGTTCCGATGGGAGTTGATGGAGGTTATCTATGAATGGGCGAAAGGGAAATCATTTGCGGAAATTTGGTAAGCTTTTTATCTATTTTCGACACTTTATGCTATGATAAAAAAAATAAAAAAAAATACAGCACTTTTGCTAACTGGGCTTTTCTTCCCCCTATTTTTGTAGCAAAATGACGGATGTCTATGAGGGAAGCTTGATCCGCACATTCCGCCGGCTGGAGGAGTGTATGCGGCAGATGGCACAGGCTGCGAAGGTGATGGGTAGTGAAGATTTGGAGAAAAAATTCGAGAAGTCGCTGGAGATGGTGAAGCGAGATATCGTCGCAGCGCAATCGTTATATCTATAGAAACAGACTGCGGTGCTGCCTCGGCTGGAATGCATCATATCTCATCACTGATACTGTTCTCTCTCTCTCTCTTTTTTTTTTTTTTTTTTTTTTTTTTTTTTTTTTTGCTCCCTTTTCTCTTCCCTTTTCATTCGTTTCGTCCCCATCATATGCCCATCTCCCATCTTGCAACTGCATACAATGAAAACAATGTTGTGTATGTTGGCATATATGAACTGTATGCCCAGAATCGCATTGCATTGCAGTGGAGTTCAGGTAGGTCGTTTTTTTGCCGGTCCTTGGAAAAGAGGAATAATCGCCTACTATCTTGGTATAATTCTTTCTCCAATGTAACTCCGGTTCATCAGCAATAACTATTTTTCCTGCCGAACTATTGGCAGAATGCATTTTCAATGGCAGGTTATTTATCTACTTGTTGATTCTAGACATCCTGAGTCTTCCTGTGCACCTTATCATAGTTATATATTATGTTCATGAAGATGCCTGGATACGTGTATTGAAACAGACTAATTACAGCGTAATATTACAGCCTGTTTTGCCGCATTGCAACCCCAGATTCGACGTATTGTCACGTTTTACCAGTCTTAAGATTCGAGCAGTCGCGGTTGGCTGTTGCTGTAAATTACCGTACTCTCGTGCTCTCCGCTGGACTTTCTTCTCACCAACCAACGGCTACAACTTCAACTTCATCAATTTCTTCCACTTCTTCTCATTTCTACATCTCTGTTCTCTGGTTATTTCCCTCTTTTCCCCTGATCATCCTCCAACTCCTCCTTCTCTTCTCCATTACCAGTGCCCGAATAACCATCTCCCTCCCCTGCTCTTCCTTGCTGGCACACTCAGGCGGTTTGTTGTCAGCTGGACTTGGCTCCCCTCACCTTGTCTCTCCAAACATGAATAGCCTGCTGGCAACGCCTCCTGTTCCTCCACACTTCTACGAGCACGTTCGACTCTCCCCATCCCGGTCCAGTGAGTTGCTCTTGAAGAAACCGAATCATGAAGATGTGACTGTCCTGACCTGTGCGCTTATTTAGTGTCCTCCGCCAACTCCAGTGGCAACCGAAAACGAAAAGCTGAGGATGATAACCCTAGTGACCATGACACTCGGATGTCTGCTTCTCCCTCAAATTCCCCAGCCCTTGCCCCGAGACCTTTACCTACTGCTCGCCAAATAAAACGACCGAGGCCAAATATCTCGGGACGCCCTTTGCCTCTTTCCCGCCTTCTGGAGACGTTGGATACCGATGCGCTCCGTTCTGTCCTACGATCAATGTGTAACAGACACCCCGAGCTGGAGACTGAAGTTGTACATACCGCTCCTCGACCAAGTGTCAGCTCTGCCCTGCAGGTATTGAGCAACTACGAATCAACGCTTCAGTCCTCCTTCCCGCTTGGAGGGAATTCTTCCTCAGACTATGCATATAATCGCGTCCGCCAACACATCACAAACCTCCTAGACGCCTTGAATGATTTCACACCTCACTTCCTACCCCCCAACGAATCACAGGTCTCAACAGCTTTAAGCTATTTAGATGGCGCCACTGAAATTCTTCATCGACTTCCAAGATGGGACACGCCACAACATAATCTGGAGAAGGATGTTGCATATGAGGAGATTGCCAAGGCATGGATAGTGGTTATACGGGAGGCGGGGAAACGGGGTGGAGGCATCCAGCTGCAATATGGTGGATGGGATCTGAAGCTTTCAAAACACAACCAGACAGCGGGAGGAAAGCTTCAGGATGCTATCAACGTCCTTAGTTCCAGTCTCGGTTGGATGGGCGGTCACCAGGATTCATCTGCTAGTCAGGGAGGAGATCCCTCATCCATACGCCACCAGCTTCTCTCTGGGACTTATGGCAGTAGCTCTCCGCTCAAAGTTAGCAAGTGGTGACTAAGAGACACATTCTTCTCTATAGAGCCTACTTATCTTTTTTTTCTGGCTAATCTGTTGTACCATTCTACTGTCTATTTCCCGCATTTTTTCCCTTTTCTTTCTAGCTTTTATTTCCTCTTTTTGAAATCACCTCTTATGGCGAATGACACCCCTCTGAATGGGCATAGGCCAGTTTCTCCCTTGCATATTTTGTGTTTCTTTTGTCATCTTAACGACACGGTTACGATACCCACCGTATAGGGGATTAGAGTGATACATAGCCCACCGCTGGCGTTTTTTAAAAAATATTAGTTATTTGATTTGAACCTTTCCCCTCCCTTTTTCTTCCGCTTTTTTCCCTTCTCCATATTTTTGTTGCTGAGAAATTCACGTCACAAATCATTTCCATGTCCTACATGGGTTAACGGAATATGTAGGGGCTTTCTTTATCTCCACTTGTTTTCTTATATATGTCTTCTTGACACCCGCTTTCCCCTCATTTTCACGAAAGGTGTTTTGATACCTTTCCTTGCATCTTCCACTTTTTCATGCCATTTTCATTTTTCTTCCCCTTTCTCTGTCCGTGGTGATTTTGGCCTGCGCTGCCCCGATTGCATGGTTATTGTGTAGCTAGAGTACGCACATATATAATCTTCCTGATACTGATAAGCACACGCACAAATACGAATCCTTCCTGATGCTGTTTGTTATTAACCACTTTTACTGCATTCTCCCGAAGCGCCAAGCGCCATGAAACCTGCGTCTATATTCTTGTTCTTTGGGAGTCTTCTGCTAACCCTTGTTCCTCTGCTGTTTTCGAAACTAAAATGCAGGCGTTGTGAACTTTTTTCTTCTTAATTCTTTCACCAGCGAGATATATAGTAAACACAAATACAAAGTGGATATATCTATAGTAAATGAGTGTTCCTGTCCTTGTATAAAATATTTCGCAGCGTCATATTTTTATATATAATAATTTTTATGAGAAAGGCTTATGTTTTATTAGTTGTATATGAAAGATTCATTTGAAATGGTTCTGAATCTCCTTTCACTAGTCCTGGGCTGTTTTGCACAAATGTAAGAATTGCATTGTCATTGCCAATCAGTCTAATAATTCTGCTCTATCTAGAAGTTCTAACTACACTTGATAGATGGTAATACCAAGAAAAGAGAGAGGGAGAGAATCACCAGAATAGAGACAACAAAAAGGAGCAAACGAACTTATCCACAAACCCAATAAACACACCTCATTCACACTCTCGCTTAATCAGACCGATATCTCAACCCTCTGTTTACAGATCCTTCAAACCTCAACCGCAACTCCTTCCCCATCACAACTCCAATCTCCGCCTCTTCGTCCGCCAACACCTTAGCACAATTGCAAATCTCCAACTCCTCATCCGGCCTCCGCACCCTTGCCTCCGCAAAATCAATCATCACAACTTCATGCTCCACACGACCCCTATGATGGCCCCTGCCCAAACACCTCCTCCTCACACACAAATTTCGCGTCCGCAGCTTCTCACAGAGAACCTCATAATCGCCCAGCTTATTCACTACATTTAATAAGGTGCGGAAGATCGCCAGCCAGCACTCTGATGGTGCGTGTTTGCGGGTATCTTTCAGTGGGAAGCTGTTGTCGATGTATTTTATCAAGATGGCTGGGATGGAGAGGTTTGCGTGTGCGATGCCTTGGAGGTTCAGGTGGAACTAGACGGCAGTGTAAAATTGGGGGATCTGCGTACCTTGTAGCCGAGAGAGGCGGGTGTATATGGTACATTCTGCTTTGAAGTGTTTTAGGCAGGCTTTGCGGGACATGGCAGGCTTCTTCCCGGGAGCATACGGTGATAGAAAGTAACAACAACTGGCAGTTGTTTGTTAAGTTCAATGGGTTTGGCAAACAGAGGATATCAAGTGCAGCCAAAACGGGGAATGCCGTGGACATCGCTAGATTCATACCAAGAATACCCGATTTCAAATGTTGCATTGGGTATGGAAACTTCTACCTGAAGCACCAGGTATTGGAACGTGGTATGCCAATGATCATGTTATAACTTCATATTTCTTCTAAACTCCTCCCGAACATCGGGAGAATATATATTCTAGGCGACAGGCACCTTTTCCCCCGGTACTCGGTTTTATCAGCTTTGATAAAAGCTGACGGGACAATGTGCGTATAACACTACATTTCACAGATCCTCAAAGAGCAAATGTTAGAAACTGTTTTTGACTCTTCAGAGCATTCCGATAAGAGTTGACGATTGAAGAAATCAGAAATCCCGGTCAAAGAGACGTTGTTTCTTGCCGTGAAACCAGTAATTGGAGGAAGCGATGAGTGTATTTGCTCAAATAGCAATACGGAGTACAGAACTTCGTAATGAGACTAGGTAGCTTCATGGATAACTAGCAAGATCACTTTCAGAGTAGCAGAGATCCCAACTTTTCTCTTATTTTAACGGAGGTTGAGAAGGTTTGAAAAGTGACAGGTAGATGATCACCAATTACCACAAAAAGGTAACCAGTGGTAAATAACTAACCAATCAAGCTTATCTCCGTCGTGATGCTAGCGACAGGCTCGATAATGATGCAAAAGGAGAGTCGTTGGGCGTCAGTACCACCAGAAGGGTACAGGGAGAAGCCCTAGGACTTGCAAGATGCAGAATTGCATTCGAATCCACCCTTACGAGTTTGGGAACGACGAGGAAATAGATTAACTGTTGAATTGGTATGAAACACCGAAGCAAGAGAGAGAGTTACATAGAACCCCAGTGAACAGGTCTTAAATTGTTGATATATTGATGCTCCGCATCCCTCGCAGACGACTCCGAACAAAACAGGAAAATAGTAAAACTTCCTCATGTTGATATTTAATGAATGGAGTGGCTTTGAAATAAGCGATTAATAGTGCAAATTTTTCCATCTGGAATTTAGAAATGAAAATAATATCAGTAAATAAATACGGAGTGAATGAATATAAACAACTCTCGGCTTGTGGCTTCATCTTGGGCCAACCACCACGTGATATCAAAATAAGAGGGAATATTAGGTATTAATAATAACTAACTAGTTAATTGTTCGTTTAACTAACAGTTAAGTAACCAGACACCAACAACTTAACCTCGACGCATTCCACTCTTCACCCTTTAATCATACCAATGTCAAATTTTGGAAGCCGTCGCTGTCAGGTGCCTGTTTTCAACTTTGAGAGTGTCCATCCAGGACCCTAGTCTTCTGAGGTACTTCATGATTTTATATTGAAGAGTTTTTAATGCTAAGCCTTTCTGGTATGTGGGATGATTATCTAGAAGGAGAATTATATCACCAGACGTCCATTTGCCCTATGATGAAATTTAAACTGGGTCAGTCCGGCTGACTGCACAATTACCAAGTCCTATTTGGCGCTGCTAAAATGTTAGCAATGAAATCAGGTCCCGCAGCTGAACTCTGTTGCTCATGGTAGTTCCCTAATATTTGCACAAGCGAGTTTTGAGTTGGACCAAGCACTTGTATCTAGTTGGGCACACTCTTTAACGTCTTGGCAGCGAAAAAGCTGCCTGGACCCCCTAGATCTGCCATCCATACCATTCCGCATATTCAAACCACGTCCACATGCTGGAATTTCGCCAGGCAGGTTGTGCGTCAATACAGCAGTGGTGATGTGAATGAATTATCTTCATTCTTGTCATTCGCTCTGTCATTCCCTTCAGACGGGAAGTCAAAAGGTTCAAGCTTGAGCCTCAACCTGAGCCCGAGCCCGAACCCGAGCCCGAACCCGTTTGGGTGACCTGAGACCATGTCATCGGGAATTTTCCCGATCAGCAGCGATGGAAACAAAAGTAGCTACCGCGAATTGATTGTGTCTTCCATAAAAAAGAGATCTACCCTGTATGCCATTATCGCCTTATCGCTCCTGAATATTGTACTCCTCACAAACACACTTTATCGGGCCCAAAACTCGGTACAAAAAGTGTCAACGGGGCATCCGACACTATCTCCTAGACCACCAAATGTCCATGCGAATGCGACGGAGTTCATTAAACCACAGAATGTTGTCATTAGTGGCCTTGTCTTCTACGGTCGTCCTGATCGTGTCCAGTCCATGCGCTGCTACGTTGATGTATGTCATTTCCTTGCTGCTAAGATACTGGGAACAAAGGAGGTTGGGAGACCGGATGGAGATTGAGGGAGGGTGACGATATTCTGAAAGTTATGCTGACCACAAGGCTACTCATACAGCGTAACTTAGTCACCAATGGTGGCTGGTTGGATGAAGTTTTATGGGTCGTTAATACCGAGAATAAAGACGACTTGAAGTACCTCGATGAAGTCCTGGCCAGCTCTCCACGATACAAAAAGCTTGACCTTGGAAAAAAGGTCCGGGGACCAGAATTCAGGAAGATATGGAAGCATATGGAAAGGGGGAAGATATACGTTAAAATAGATGATGATGTGGTGAGTTCGATAGCAGAAAAGAAGCAATTCTTTTTGTCCTCCTCAGAACTAGCTCAGTTAGCATCCTGATTAACCATGCCTTTGCTTTCCGATATTAGGTTTGGCTAGCGGATGACACCATTCCTCGAATTGTTGACCGAAAATTAAGGCACCCCAATGATTTCGCTGTATCTGCAAACATAATCAACAACCCTCCGTTGAGTTTCATGCATTACCATGTCGGTGCCCTCCACCCTTACTTCCCTGAACTAGAAGGTGGCAAACCATCGGCAAAAGTCAGCAATAATACGTCATGGAAACCATCCGAGCATCCAGATTGGGAAGGGCCAGATAATTTCGAATGGGCCCTTGATGCTCCTCCTCCCGCAAAAGGTCATCGATGGCTGCGTGTCAAAGATGACAGGGCCATTGTCCGCACGCCGGTGACTCACTTGAAGTATGAAATGTGGGGCGATACGTATACAAGCTGGGCAATCGCCGCCCAACAGCATTATTCATTTTTAGAAAATCTGGAGAAGGATCGGCTTGACGTGTACAAATTCAATCTTCCATGGAATATGGATAATGAGCGCATCAGAATTAACCTCCTCGCTATTTGGTCCGACGATATACTTGACAGCAACATAGATAGCTGGCCTAAGGAGCGCAGTGACGAGGAGATGGTTGTTATGGAGCTTCCTAAGATGTATAGCCGACGTGAGTTCCCCGAGATATGCTCGATTTCTCAGTCTATATATCCCTCTCTTTTATATGCGTTAGCCCTGCCTCTCATGATGACCTTTCACAAATATCTAACATTTGACATTTCTCCAGCTGTCCAAATCGTGGGAGAAGCTCTCGCCGCCCATTTTAACTTCCAGCATCAACCCGGAGTGGCAGAAACAGATCTGTTGAGTCGATACAGTTCTCTCGCCAGGGAACGTTCATGTCTTCGGAAATCAACACCGGAGTCTTAAATCATTCCCAACACATGGGAGTGAATCTGTGAACTAGACAGGCCACCCAACGTCTCGACTAATTTATGCAATACGTCACGTAAGCTGCCCAATTCCAGTCTACCTGCACAAGCAAATGAACGCCACGTTTCATACAATTGAGCGGGTGAAGAGTTGAGCTTGCCCTAATTTCGGTGCTCTAATTCGGTGTACACGGAGCCGCCGTAGCCATGTCCTCTATATCCCATAGTTCATCAGAAACATTGTATAGCTTTGCGCTTTAATGTAACGTTAACTTTAATCTCTATCTTATTTTCGGTATCCATGGACACCCAGAGGCTAACCCCACCAGCTCTCTCACACACATCCATGGCAAAATTTGAGGGTGAGATCATGAAAAGGTACAGTTAAAAACTGTATATATAAACTGTATAAGAACAAACGGGACCCCCATGCCTTGACTTTTGCATATCATCCGGAGAACGGAATAACTCCGATCACCGATTCCCCACGTGGCGTCCTAAACATTTAAAGGTTTGATACCCGCAGATATGGTTTGGTTACATAATAACTTTAAACCGTAATTAGATCTGAGCTTAAACTCTCTGCATGTTAAGGGAGTTCAGACAGCACATCATTGCTGAACAGGAAGACAAATGAAAATGAACGTCGTAAGCCAGCTGACAGCAGCCTCTACACGATAAGTGAGTGTGAAATTGCATCGTTTCTCTCTGCTCTGCAAATAACTGGTAATCGTAGATTTGACAGTCTATTTGACCAGGTTATCCTGTACAATGGACATATCAAATGTGACACAACTATTATACCCATGGTGTTGACATTCTAAATTGTGAATACGGATAATGCCATTACATCTTGAATTAGCCGCGGAATGAGACCCAGTCAATGGGTTTACTGCAGGATAAAATGCCGTTGTCCTTCTCCCTCTTGGCATCAAACCTGTTCCCTGTCTAATAAAATCAAGGGTAGGAGGTGACAAGGAGGTGACCAGATCTGAGACTCATCAACCTGAGAGTCCTCAACTTTCGCCCACACATTCTGCAAGTGCTCCTTCTCTTTGGGGGAAAAGGGATATTGATTTGCAGCTCTAACTAGCTGGGCTACGGTAAGCTTGTTGGAATCGATGACTTTGCCGTTGGCGTCTAGGACGCCATCATCGCCGAAATGACTAAAACTGAAGCCGCTGGGATCCCTATTCAAGCGCTTCACAATGTCCATGGGATCTTCGGATTCTCTCCTTTAAGGCTGGAGTTGTCAGCATGGTGTCACTACCGGACTGAAATGGAATGAAGGAGTTAAAAAAAGAAGAAAGAAACCTCATGTGCAGTTAACTAGTTATCTTACCCGCCATCACACCAGTTAGTACGGATCTAAGGCTGAGAAAAGCCAAGGAGAATTTCATTGTTGCGGTTTCGTAATGTGACTTTTTAATGTAACTTTTTTCTGCCGGTACGTGCTGATAAACGCTCGATAGCCACTGCTTTGCTCGACTGGTCCTCCAGGATGAATTCGGCATGGTCACCCAGCCTCTATATATGGCTATCTTCTGAACTACTTGATGGCAAGTCATCACCGACCATCCACCCAGCGAAGGATCATTACTGGTAACTTCGCGGTTCGGGAAAAAGATCTAATGACCTGGGCACTTGGATAGATTGCCGTACATATGGACTCTCTGGTTCCGGATTAGGGCCTAATCTCTCACCTCTCTGCCTCCTGCTGGCTCGGTTCTGCCTCTCCTGAGACTCACCTTAATCTCGACGGTACTCACCTGCAGCAATCACCCCAATCCCACCTCTCAATGTATCCTTTTCAGTTTCTGTCCAAATCTGCGCGATTGCGAAATGCAATCGCTCGGTGGCCAAAACAGTAAGGATAGCGTAGCGTCAAAATTTCTCTAGAGCTATTGTTATCAGATGCTGCCTGCGTTTGCCTAAGATGGGATGAAATTTCCCTTCTGTCTTACGGGTCGACCGGCATTGCTACTTTTGAGGATTTTATTGAGAAGCTTTTATACTCATTGGATCTCAGCCCTATTGAAGAATTCTTATATTCCCCTATCCCCTGTCCGTAAGTTCTTGCTCAATTAGCGTGATTTCAATTAGTGTATGGAATTTTGCACCGGCGCCATTCAGTAGCCAATAAGATCCCATCAAAGTTTTTATGGATGATAATTGGTCACTTGGTTTGCGATTCCTCCTTGAGCTGGCGGATGTGTATGGAATTCAACATGTTTGAAGCTGCCAACCAACAATGGAATCCACCAAAAAACCTATCAAACCCAGTGGCAATACTCCATATAAAATTAAATCTTATGGGCCAGCTAATTAATTGATTCTCCAGGCCATATGAAGACACCTAAGAAATAGCAAGCAATGGGTCTCTTTATTGACCACTAAGCTACCTGCTGAGCCCGCCATTGAATCCTCTATAAGCACTGAAATTCCTGTCATTCAGTAGGTAACTCCTTACTCAGTTTACTTTGACAACTACTTTACCTCCATTGCTGTATTCAAATTACTACGTGAGAAGGGATATGGTGCTTGTGGAACTACTCGACCAAATCAGGCTCCATCTCTTCTATCTGAACTTAGAGAGCATACGGCAGCTATTCCATGGAATACTCTGCATGCCATTGAGAATGAGAATGTTCTCTGTCTTGCCTGGCAAGATAATATGGTATTAGCACTGACTACAATCCATTCATTGGACACCTTTATTGAGCGTACTCGAAAGCGGCCTGGAGAGCTCTCAACAAATGCTAAAATTGTACAGAAGATCTTTGAAGGTCAGCCACAAAAGAGATTGAAAATTCAAATTATAGATGACTATAATCATAAGATGAATGGGGTGGGCCTAGCAAATCAGTTCTGCACAGCATATACTAGCCATAGAATCACTATCGAACCTGGCTCCCTATTTTCTACTGGCTTATTGATTCTGCACAGCATGTCAAAATATGCCTCTCTGTTTGAATACTTGGTGTTGGGAGGAATTCTATGCGATTACCCAATCTAGTAGTGACACCTTAATACACGGTAATACGAAAGTTACCTTAATAATTCAATGAGAAATCATATAATATACACTAATTGAGACCGCGCTAATTGAGCAAGAACTTACGGACGAGGGGATAATCTTATGAATATATAAAAGTTGACGCATATATGGGAATAAAGGTGATATAAAATATATAGTTCTGCGGAACTGAACGCTTTCAGTAGACGCAACTAGAATGTCTACGATAAAGATTCGAGAAGAGATATTAATGATTTCCTTAGATAGGATGATGGTGTGTGGGGGCAAGAGGTCACTAATGGTATCAAATTTACAGACACTGGACGGATACTGGACGGACACTTCCACTGGCAAACTTCTTGTGAGGACATTGATTAGGATAGAATTGTCAAAATAGCAGAGAGCCGATAGTGAAAAGTATCAAGCAATGCATTTGAGGCTGGAAAAGAAATTGGCCATCTCCTTGTCAACCCAGCATTTAGTATAAACTCCTGCAAAATCAATCAGATATGCATATGCATCCTTCTTCTATCATTGAATGCATGGTTGATGCAACTAGCAAGCTAATGAGTTATGAAGCACTCCAAATAACCAATCAATTAACTGGTCATCCCCTCACTTGTTAATTGAAATTTTTGGAGCCGAGGGAAACCACTATCTCCCTGTGCTGCATTAATCTGTGGAACGTGGTGAAACGATATCTCGTAGTGTGTAAATTTCCACGGAAGATAAAAGCCATTTAGAGACCGCTCTGCTCTGTGAGTGATCAGTAAATAAGCAAAGCTGTTATGACTCACATCAATGTTATAGAAGGCAAAGTTTTATAAAAGGAGTGTATTTGATATCTCGAGATTCGTTATTCAGCAGTTTCTAGGGGGGGGGGGGGGGGGGGGAGAGGCATCAAAACCATTGAAAATAGAACTTATAGATGCAAATGCAACAGCAAAATATCCAAGATATGGCTGAACGGAGCCAGGAAAGGCAAACGACGACCGTAATATACATTGACATTTCAATCCCTGGTAGAAGCGGATATAAATAACTAGGACCAGTTCGTCAAGCAAAAGACAATCCTAGAACCTCAAAAATATCGAAAAATCCAGAGAAGTGAACTGCTGAGCCCCAAGGAAGATCTCAGGCTCCTGGCACGTCCTGAGGTTCCAACTTGTCGTATATAATGAGACGGGATATATGACACTTTTGGATATCCCTATACGGATAAGGCCGTAGTTATCAGGCTCAAGAACTCTGCCCCACGACTACGGAGCTCGAAGAAACGATTTGTTTATTCTGCAATGTTCATCACCTTTGCCATTCGGTGCCGAAACATTAGCTAATATCGTGCTGAATGAGAAGCGTGAATCGACTGAAAATAAACAAAATCGTCATTTCATTGCTTCCAGGCATAATTGCAATCCCAGGGCCGCGGATACTTCATGTCTGGTAACAAAGAAGTTATCCATTATTTGATTTCTTGATTGTATCTAGGATGGTGGTCATGAAAATGGGTATGTTCTAATGCTGGGTAGGCAAAATAATGGCCAATAAAATGATGAAGGCGACAGGCAAAAAAATCTCCTCACAAATCAAGCTGTGCACTGAAAAGATAAAGCAATAGTATATAAATTCTCATGTAGTTAAGCTAAAAATTAGTACCTCCTGGTCTATAAATAGAAAAATGGAAAATGGTGAAATCTGTATCAGATACCTGGAAGCATGCTGTTTTTTGAGAGTTGTAGATGTCCCTTTGATTCGCCGAAATAAAAGTCAAAAAAAAAATATAAAATAAAATAAAATAAAGAACCTCAATAAACCAATTTGTGAAAGAAAGAATGAAGTGGGTAGCAAAACGAAGTGTTTACAATTAAGGGCTGAAATGCCTACGCAGATGTCTAGCTGAAACAGCCCAGTCACACACACGAGATCAACCTGGAGAACGGGAAAAAGCCCCACGATGGAGAAATGGAATATATCGGCTACCGCGTGGAACTCACACAAGGGCTGATGGGACTTGAGGCAGCACTTAGTTGTTGATACCGCTCTTCCACAACAGTAGGAAGTTCCTGTGCTGGAGAAAATCCACCGGAGTGACTCAGCTCCTCAACCGATTTAAAGCCCTCCCGTGACATACAAGTTCGTTGAGGACCCTGCCTTGAGGTCTGCCTTCGGGTGGGCACTAGTGCAGGTCCATTCGATCCCTCATCTTCATGAACCTTGCCGGACGAGGGTAGCGATGGAGGTTTATTCCACTTGCTACGGCCAAGCAAGAGTCCCAGAATGATAATCGAGATGAAGAGAATAGTTCCTACAATGATACCGGATATCTTTGCTGCTTCTGTGTTCTGTTTCTCATGTGGTTTTCGGCTACGTTCTCCAGTGATCCGACTTGTGGTTTGCGAAATTATGGGCGCAAGTGGAGCAGTTGGCATGGCTTGGGAAGTGATGGAGGTTGTAGATAGATTCGAGAATAGATTCGTGTATAATAACCCCTGGGAGGTGGTAGATATTGTGGCATCTGGAAGTATAAAAAGGTAAGCTATTGTTCATACATAATAATTACGTGGCTCTGAGGGTATACCTGTAGGCATGACTGTTCGAACTTGGATATAGCGATATAGCGTCCAAGACTGCGACGTAACCTGGCAGAGGATTTGCTTCATGGACGTAGGCACATCGAAGTATTCATAGATAGCCACTGTCGCGCAGTTCGAGCTATGAGCATGGTGTTGTCATATATTGATTAATACCTGCCCAGGATATTTCTAAGTTTCCCTGGGAGAGCCACCTTACCAGGTAGTTTTCATATTGTTATCAAAGGCCATTAATCCGTTTTTGCACTCCGTCGGCATTGCACATCCTGCCGAATCACGCGTGGGGCAACATCTGGCATATCTACCGGACGTTGTAAAGGATTCACCCCGATTGCATTTTAAAGGCACATCTGTGAGGGATAAACAGGTTAAACACGTATTTTGTCCTCAAGAAAGTTCACCCCGGGAGCAAACCCCATCTTGCCCGTACCTGAAATAGTTCCTGATACCTTGGAGGTATAGTACCCTATAAAATCTGACGGGAAAGTCGTGATCGTAGTGGTGGCGGTACTCGTGATAGTAGCACCAGCAACGAAACAGTTCAAAAGCAGACAAGCGATTGAAGCAAACCGAGGTATTCGGAATCGGTCCATTGACCCATTTGCTCCAAATGTATAGAGAATTAGGAGGAATAACCTAACAATAGCAAAGAACTGAGGTTGGGCAACCATTGAAGGAAAAGAAAAGGAAATACCCAAGGGTGACTGCGAAAGACCTGTTATAGCATCTAGTGAGGAAATTGTCTTCCAGTCTGGGTATCGTGGGACAAAAATTGACGATGCAGCCTCATATTTCTTTTTCCAGTCATGAAGAAATTATAAAGGGGTAATAATGTATGTTGCTGAGAGGCGTATCCGCGTGCATTGGAAGCATTCAGATCTCCAATATTAGCTGGGGTGCCGTGTTGAGTGCACCGCGCATTGGGAACAAAGGCTTGATATGGGATGTGGGCATCCACTCAGACAAGAAGTAGTGTTCCATTAATTCGCTATGCCGATCCGAATCGGGCGCATTTCATGGATTGCCATGTTTAGTCGAACAGCCTAATGGAAATAAAGGAACATTCACAGAACTATGATGCGGGTTTGTACAATCGAAGGAACAACCTTCAGTTTCCAGAGGGGAATGAATCTGTTTTCAGGCTCAGAAGCGTGGCTCTGACCACAGCAGTGAGAAGATATGGAGCAGCTATTTTTGCTTTGACGGGAGCATCGAAGAAATAAGTAAAGCGGATGAGAAACGAAAATGCGGGTTAGGGGACGATCCCTAGGTCGTGGCTGAGAAGTTGCATGTTCAATGACCAATAAAGTCGCGATCCCTTCCATCTTGATCAGCCGTTTCTGCCCCTTTCTTTTTCCTTTATTTCAGCCGGGGCAATAAATATTAGCTAGCTGCATAAGATTGTATGGGCGTTGCTCAAGATACCGTCGCCGCTTGATGGATTTTTGGTAACTATCCTGTGCCAACCAAGTCATTGTTGGAGTGCTACGAAGCGTCTCTGCCCATCTCGCGGAGTCCAGGAGAACTATCAGATCCTCGCAGATATTAAGCAACTAGTTAAACGCCATGATGCGCAATATCACTCCCAGATAAATATAACTAACAAGCATGCTTCGCTCGCTACGCTCACTGCGGCCGGATAATTATACCACTGATCATGTGACCTGCTGGCACTCAATCGAACAAATATACATACAGTGTTATATCTTAGAGGATGTTGGCAGGTTCTCATGTCGTCAATCTTTGCCTACCTCCGGCTGTAAATTGGCATTCAATTGAGTGTGATGTCTGGATTTTCACTCAACTTTTCAAACGCAGCCTGATACAGAAAGATATCAGCAGCTGACAGAAAAGAGATCAGAGAACACACAGACTGACTGAAAATTGTCATAGATGCTGCAAGATAGCAGGATCAATTTTGACATCACAGCTATTTTGAATGTTCTGATCAAATTTTGATGGGTGTTACATGTGTGAAGTGTACGCCCAAAATTGTTTTTCAATTATATATTGAGAGAAGAGATACAAATGAAAGGCAACTATAATTTTGTTTGTTCACCTCATCAGGTTAAATACTCAACAAGACTTTTGACAAAACAATATAATAAGAGTCAAGAACACATGGACAGTGACACTTCGGTGAGGTCTGGACGGACTTAAGACGCTTGTATTAATGCTCACATCATACGGAAATGCCCAAATGGCAATTTATCAACTGAACAGTTAAGAGCACACATCATCATAAGTCTTTGGATCCATTAGTTGGCATAGCCGCGATACCAGACTGTAGACCCAACAAAATGAGACAAAGAAAAGAGAACAAGGAAAGTGGTTTATACATACCACGTGCTTCCATGATCAAATAATATAAATGCAAAGGGGCGACTATTTTGGAAGTGAGATGAGATAAATTGACGCAGAAAAAAAAATCCAAGGGCAAAGCAAAGGAGACTCCTGGGTAACTTAGATAATGACACTCTTCGCTACGCGAAGAAGCCAGCTAACGTCAGACCATCCACCCTGATCACCCGGCTTTTCTATGGGTGGCATGGTGAGAAGTTCTTCTGCATCCCTCTCAAAGGTTGTTTCACTTGCGGGTTCTAAACCTTCTGGATCCCGCTTCAAATCGTTCCCGTGATCTTCATCCAAAGATTGATACTGGATTATGATATCGCCAACCCGGCGCTGTTGGCGTGCAGGCTCAGCAACTACTCTGGGGCCTTCCTCCTCGACGCTAAAAAGTGTCCATTCAACCAGACTGTCTATCCATCTACCAAGGCCCAAACTGCAGTTGCGGTTCAGACGTTGCATTTCAGCCTCATCCACCTCATCCTCCTCGTTTGTTTCAGAATCTGAGAATTCTGAGCCCGACGGTGAAAACGAATGGTCAATAGTGGAACTTCTTTGTGACCCAATTGTGTATCTTCTCTCATTCATCCCATGGACTCCTCGCTGGCCCACCGTGTTTGTCTGGCCCAAGGACCACATTTCATTCCGTAGGTTATCGTCAACAAAGTCTGGGACAAGTTCAACTGCATCATCAGTTACTGATGCATTGACCTCTCGGTCTTGTCTTTCGAGAGCTGCTGCAGTCATCGAAAGTTCTACTCGACTGCCGAATCTGCTGGCAGGATGAGAGCTGGAAGGTCGCCGTGAAAGAGCTATGGGTGTTGATAAACCCGAACGTTGCCTACGGCTGCGGCCACGGTACGAGCTATACGAGCGACGTCTGAGGTCATCATCAGGATTCGCCTCAGAGACAAGGCTCGTTGAACTATCTCTTTTCACGAGCCAGCTCTGTCCTTTTTCTTCTCGTGTCGACGATGATAACGCCAAACCTGTCCTCAAAAGCCACTCTGGGTCCTGACGTGCAGTTGCACTGAATAGCTTCGGCCTATGTGTGTAGCTTTTAGCCCTACGATGGTGATGGATTTGCTCGGAATTCATTTTGTCCAGGTTTGTGTCGCTCTTCTGACGTGCCATTGACTTTCTTTTTGAAAGATTGGTGTACGACGCATTTCGAGAGTCAGAGAATAGGGGTGGAGTTGTTGGAACGGAAACACTGGCAAGGTAAGATGTTGTAGCAGGGTGGGGACTATATGCATATCGTCTAGGGGGTTCTGAATCGTCTTGAGGAGAATGAAATGTGTCAAAATAGGATCCATCATCATCATCATCATCAAGCGGGAATCTGGAGGTCAACGGGGCAAGTGAGACATGTTGAAGAGAGATATGAGAACGGCGGGAGCGAAAAGAAGGTGGTGTATTAGAATGCGGTAAAGACTGCATTGGAGTTAGCAAACAATAGAACAGGCTATGAAACATTTCCAGGTTATATACCTCCATAATTAGTAGGTAATGGAATATGAAATTTGTAGTATATTCCACATGTATAGGTTGCTCTAGAGGGACAACGTGAGGCACTGAAGATATAATATCGTCGATGGAAGATCTGACGAATGATTTCCAGAGACTCTAACCCGCAGGATACAAACAAGCAGACAAATTATGGCACACAGCATATAAGGCCAGGCCGTAAGAACTAGAAGGGTTAGATTGAGCCCCCAAATATCCTGCGGAAGAGAGAATGTTGAAGAATAGTGAAAGATGTTTTGACCTCTGAAGTCAAACTGCGGAGTGCGTAAGTATGATGTCGTTCAATTTAGATGTGCGGCTCGATTGAACGTTAAGCCCTAAGTTTGTCTGAAAAACCATCCACGTGATACGGCTGGAGCCCGCGAGGGTTAAATTTTTCTATAAAAAAACCTGTAAAGGAATGAATGCTCTAAATGTGATGAACTGATGATGACGGTTACTGGAAGAATTCGGCGCTGCCAAAGAAATGATTTTTTAAAAGAGATGGGGATGAATTCATTGATGTAACTATAGAAACAGCTCCAATCGTGCAAGTATTTTCTCCATCTGCTGTTGACTTTATTAACCAAAAGTGAAAAGTGAGATAAGATTAACGTACTTCATTAGTTACTATTTGAAGAACCCAAGTCTATTCTATTTGGACGAAGTTTACTCATGAGTGGATGCCGGACTATCTCACAAACATTGGGCAGAAGAACATAAATCCATGAAGTCGAATGAGGTAAAAATTTTTATCAGGACAATATCTCTTTCCTACGGTGTTGGTATGACCAATATTTATCCTGACTATTGTGCATTGCGCCAAAAAGGTGCTTGCATCTTATAGACTAATTGCAATCAGTTAATTTTCTCTTTTGCATTTGCCAACAGTTTTGATGACACTGTTTTCAACTTTTCCATTTTTTCTCATCGTTTTCAGCAAATTATTGATAGTTGTTAAAGAATGTGTAACCCGTGGATATTTCAAGAGACGATCGTAGGACTAGATTAATCCGTGCACGCCCGAATATTATCTGCAACGTTATTTGATTATTTCGATGCTCTCTTTCAACGTTCGTTTCATTGATAGGAGCGCATGAAGTTCTATTTTGATAAGCTCTAGGCATTGAATAGTAGACCATGTTTATGCTATACGATCTGCCCCTTGTTAACAACAAACGACTCCAGTGCCGAAATAGCAGCCCACAGTCGGTTTTCCGCCTCAAGAAATACTAGGGACCGGCTTTTGTCATAAAACACCTCGTCACTCACTTCTTCAGGGTGCCGGGGTAGGCAGTGCATAAATCGCCAGCCTTCTTTGGCTCCGCTGCGCTTTGCTAGGTCTGAAGTAATTTGGAACCCCTGGAATGCCTTGATTCTCTTTGCCTTTTCATCTTCCTGTCCCATAGACACCCATGTATCCGTCACAAGAATGTCTGCACCATTAACAACTTCCTCCGGAACGTTAGTGTGAGTAATATTTCCAGGAGACTCGATTCCGATGCGAGCTTTCTGAATTAATTCCTTAATATGCGACGGCATTTCATATCCCTTTGGAGTTGCGACGGCCATATCAACACCAAGCTTAGTAGCACCAATTGCCATATCGAATAAAACGTTGTTTGCATCCCCGACCCATGCAATTTTTCTTCCCTCTAGGCCTAGGTTAGAAGTTGATGATAGACTAGACTTGTGTTGCGGTGGGAAAGCCTCGTAGATAGTGAGGAAGTCGGCAATGGCCTGTAAAGGGTGAAATGTGTCGCAGAGGGCATTGATGACAGGGACCCTGGAGTGTTTGGAGAGTTCTGCAATGTCGGAATGTGGTCCAACCCGAGCGATGATGCAAGACACCATGGAAGATATTACTACTGACGTATCGTAAAGTGACTCATTCACGCCTAGCTGGATATCGTCCTTCCCAAGAAACATTGGATGTCCACCCATAGATATCACTGCAGCTTCTGTCGACACGCGCGTTCGTGTACTTCGCTTGGAAAAGATCATGGCGATCGTTTTTTGGGACAACGATCCCATAAGAGATTGGGGTATTAATCCAGATTTCATGGAATGTTTATGTGTGGCGGCATTGCGGATGAGAGTTGTAAACTCCAAAGGAGTAAGGTCTGCGATAGAAAGAAGATGCCGGGGACCTGCAGAACTAGAGCAAGATGAAGATTGCCGCAATTGCGAACTCATATAGCGGAGAGCCCTGGCTGCACAACGGGATGACAGCATCATGGAAGCAAAATTAGAAGCCTGAAGGAGATACGCCGGTATTTTGGGAGAGAGGTGGAAAAGAATGCGCTGGGGCACAGGTTAGAGGAATGCTGGATTCTGTGCTTTAACAATCCGCTGCAAATTGGGGGAAATACCAATGTGGGAAAAAGAAGAAGTTCAGAAATGAATTGAGAGCAATTCAATGTCCGTAGCTAGGGTGATTCTGGCAAATGGGCTATCCTTGAAAGATAGCTTATTAACCCTGGCCGTTAGAACTGCACCTAGCATGGATGGAGGAAAAGCTCCAAGGTTAGACTGATGGTGGATTGGCGTTGAAATTTTTAGTCATTGACGTAAATAACTAGTTAGTTAACTAGTTATTAACTAATATAATTCCCGACTGAGCAAATTCAAACGCCGCAGCTAATGTATCAACATACATCTTTGATGTGCTAGAATGCCACCAATTCACAATAAAAACCATAATTACTCTGTAAAAAGAGAGGACGGAATTGAGCTTGCAATTTACTTCTTAAAAGATGAAAAACCTACTTCAATTCGTTAAGCAGCAAGGCTGCCTGGTGTTATATATTATATTTTTGGCAACTGATTGAACAGTTATTCTTCAATTGGAAAATGGTCAATTGCTTATGCCACAGTCAGACCTGGATTGTATACACAACAACTTCATTACATCCTCAGCTTTCTGGTCAGTGTTTCGTGCCAGTCTCTTACAACATACAGATATAACAGATTCGGCACCAACTCCTGCACAATCAATGGTTTTGGAAAATTCTCCCTCTGGGTATTCCTCTGGACAATACCCTGAGCAATTTCTTTCTCTGAAACCACATGCAGATATTACTGATTCAGCACTAACATCTGTACAATCTTCAGTCATAGACGTGAAAGAATAAACATGATTGTATCACTATCCATGCAGCGGACTCGAATATTTTCCTGCAGCCGCGTCAATCCAAAACCCACTATTTCTCATCATAAGCAATCATCCTCATAGGTTTTCAGTTTCTGGAACCAGAACTATCAATAAATCGAGAGCCGCGTCGAAGGTCTGGGAATTCGAGAATCGCATGTACTGTCCTGGCTGGAGGTGGTGACCAGAGATAACAACAGTGTTTGATAATGGAAAGAAGATATTATCAAGATCGGAATCTTTTGAAATCATTATTCTCCCAGAGTGTCTCCACAGAATGTAACCATTGCCCTACATATAGTCAGCTTTTCTCTTCTTGCTTCTTGTACCCCGCTGAATTTTCTGTACTGGTTTAAAAAGGTCTATTTTTTTAAGAAAGGGCTCAAGCTTGGCGTTACGCTCATCATCATCACACAACGCCGCAGTTTCATCGACTTGACTTTTTTTTTTTTTTGAGATTGTAAATCATGCCGCCAGTGCATCCAAAAGGTTTTTAGCATCATCACTCATCGAGATTGGGGGCATTTTTAATGTAGATTTCCGGTGAACTCGTTGAAAGACTCCAACTTGACTTTTTTTATTTTTTATTTTCCGGTTAGCCCGATATCCGGCATTCTATTAGGCACTCCAGGTGATTTCTTATTAGTTCACCTATGACATGAGCAACAGACAGTACGAAATCACCGTATATGCTAAGATAATACGATCTGCCACAGTGGATTTAAACCCTGTGTTGCACGAAAACAATTGCCTTTCCTGAGCGTCTCCGTAGTTTTGGTGCGATCGGTTTCCCGGTCGTTGTGCTTGACAGCGGAGCTCCTTTCATTGTGATTGTTAATCTCCACCATCTCCATATCCAATCTCCGCTGCCCTACCTGGGATCTGCCGTTGCTACGGAACGGAACCCGGGGACGCCAACATAGCGCGTTTGTAGTGAAGAACGATCGAAATGGGCGCCAGCAAATTTGGGCACACCTCTCTCATGTTACAACCCCGTGTCCAGCCGAATCTCGCTACATGTTGAGTGCATGCAACCTTAGGTTCCGCGGACATGAGGGATTTCTGCCATTGATCAACACGCGTGCGCTGAATGGCAGTTCGAATGAAAAGAGAGAGGGAGAAGGATGAAGGCAATGTGGATGTACCACAAGAGAATATGACTTTAAAAAGATAATTCAATATAAAAAGGATGTTACAAGAAAAAAAGTTAAAAAGTCTTAATTATTTCACTCAATTTGTCCGTCGAATAATATCATATGATTGTATGAGAGCGTCTTTCCTCTCTCACGCTAGCCCCATTTAGGCCTAGCTCATATATCCGGCTGGCAAGCTCTCACTTATCATACAGGATATAATTAATAGTTAAACTAGTTAACCCATTCCCTATTACGAACCTACAGTCACGGTAGTCATGCTACACCTGAATTCGACTGCTACTGCATGGATAATGCTATTATACCTCTTTACATGCCGCCTCATTCATCACATCTATTAAAGCCATTAAACGTGAGCTGCTTGGAACCGTTAAAGCGAGCATTTGGTGAAAACCACCAATCAAGCTCTTGATCACCTGGTTAAGGGGGTGTCAAATGGCTATACACGAGGCGGCTGCTATATTCACCAAGGAAAACGAGGAGCTACGGGCTGCAGTTGCCAGGCAGACGCGAAAGCGTGACCAAGGATGCGAGTATATAGTAAATATTTGTAATACATTTATTGATTTATTCAATTTAAATAAATTTCAATTGAATAAATTTAAGACGGTACAAGAAGGTATTTCTAACAGGAGGAAAAGGATTGGCTAGAGTTCAAGCCGCTCAACACGGCGTGGAGGAGCCTGAGGGGCGGATGAACCGCCAACCTGAAGCAAATGTAATATAGCGAGACACGCAATTAAACAGTGCAAACAGCAGTAAGGAATAAATCTACACATTTAAAATGAATATTTTCAATATTGGTGGGTAGTTATCAAAGGTGATGAATTATTACGTTAGGAGGAATGCAGGCTAGCTGAGTACAATAAGTCACGTCACGTGATAAAGAGTAGCTGCTGTAACTATAGTTAGTTAACTAGTTAAACTAAGTTGGCTGACTAATCGTCGTCATACAACAATGACTTTTACAAGGTTCAGGCTGAGCAAACTTGCATCTTTCCAACTTCTTTACTGTGTACATTTCAGTTTCGGAGAGGCTCGATGTTACAGTTAGTCTCCTACCGGTTCAAAAATCCCCTGTGAACTTACATTGTTGTGTCGGTCAAAAGATCTCAACCAGCATGGCTGGGGACCTCGGGGACGAAAGCTCTCCGTTGTTGGGTGAGACCGCCCAGCAAACTCCTGATCCACCAGCCTGCTCTGCCACAACCTCCATCTGTTCTAACGGCAAGGCCAGGGCTACGTCGTACGAGATTTTGTCGGAATCTACACCACTTCTTGCCCATCGTGGTAGTGAGGGTATTCGGTATTTAGATGATCGCGACACACCATATTCGGCCTCTCGTGAACCATCCCCTGGTCTGTCATCTAAACAATGGAAAAAATTACGGATCGTGCGACTGTTATCTATCGCATTCATGAGCCTTATATTGGCAACAATCGTTGTTCTGGGGCTGGGGTTTGCTGCTCCTGCTGTCTTCAAACAGTATTCTGAACAGGCTGCTGTCTTCAAAGTAACTGGCTTGTCCATCGATTCATTCACACCGGATGGAGTAAAGGCTAGATTTCAGGGTTCTTTTGTTCTCAATGCATCGCAGGTGTTGACGAAATCTGTGCGCGATCTCGGCCGCCTAGGAACGTGGTTGGCAAGAGAAATTGAAAGTGACGAAACTGAAGTGCAGGTGTCTCTTCCAGAATATGGCAATGTTTTGCTAGGAACTGCGACTATCCCACGGATGACAGTCAATGTTCGCAATGGCCACATGAATAGGATCGAGTTTATAACAAACTTAAATGCAGGAGATATAGATGGAATTAGAATTGTGGCAAATGACTGGCTTCAAGGTCGCCTTGGCCAGTTGCACATTAAAGGGATGGCATCTGTGCGCCTGAGGTCCGGTATTCTATATCTAGGATCTCATACAATATCGGAGTCGTTTGTTTTCCAAGGTTAATATTTTTTTGTACAGCGCTTTTCATATTCCCTCCCCGATTTAGACATGTCGAGCTAACAATTCTCGTAGACCAAGACCTTCCCGCTTTCCCAGAGTTTAACATAACGAAACTGAACTTCCATGAAATCACGAACCCGGGAAACCAAAAAGCCATGGTAGTGGACATTTCAGTCCTTGTGCTTAATCAATATCCTATCGCCCTTGCCGTGCCCCCGATGGGTTTCAAAATTTCAGTACCTAACTGTTCACCTGCGGACGCTTATATTCCAGTGATTAACGCGGCCACTGACCTTATTCAAGTTATCCCCAATGAACCAGTGAACATATCCGCGAAAGGATCTATTGGAAGACTTCCGGATGTTTTAACGACTGTTTGTCCCGGAACCAACTCATCGCCTTTAGATTCATTGGTTGAAAACTATATACACGGACTCAAGTCAAAAGTTTACATTCGTGGAGGGAAATCCCCCTCATCAACCTTACCGAGTTGGATGGAAGGCTTCTTGAACAACGTTACCATCCCTGTGCCTTTCTCCGGACATGCTCTTGGCCACTTAGTTCGGAATTTCTCCATGACAAATGTCTATTTTTCCCTACCTGAACCATTTGCCGAACCGGACACACCTGAAGCGCAAATGAGGGTTTCAGCGTTGGTCAAAGCAGTAGTAAACCTCCCTAGTGAGATGAATTTTCCTTTAAATATCTCTCGCGTTCGGTCTACTGCGTTTATTTATTACCAAGGAAAAGAACTTGGATATATCAACTTAAAGAAGTGGCAACAAGCTCATGCAACTCGCATCGACAACGAAACCACCCCATCTTCAGCGTTGCTCCTCGAGTTCGATATCGAAAAAGCACCACTACAAATTACTGATGGAGATACTTTTACGGACGTTGTGCAGGCATTACTATTTCAACACAAGCCTATTCCTTTACATGTGAAGGCCAAGGTGGATGCTGAAACCGTCACTGCCCTAGGACAATTCGTTATTCGTGATATCCCAGCCAGTGGTAACATCACTGTTAAGCGTACGTTTTCAGATGTTCGGTCTATGATAAAATGCCCAACTAACTTTGAATTGAATTCTAGCACCGACAAGCAGAGGATTGATTGATCTCAAAGTAGGCATGGACGCTTTAAAAATAGTGGAAACTACAGAATCATCTGTACTTCTTGAAGCAAATCTAAACCTGACGAACCCGACTAATTATTCTGTTATCGTCCCTTACGTTAATCTGCTAATTGCTCATAATGGCACAAACGTGGGCGATGTCACTGCTCAAAATCTATCGATATCTCCAGGGCTCAATGCCGGCATTAAAGTAAATGCTCTCTGGAATCCATTGCAGCTAGCTGGAGATGACGGAGTTGCTGCAGGACGAGATATGATATCACGTTATATTTCCGGTGTGTTCGTTAGTTTTACTTTCAATCGGGCCCACGCTGACTGGTTGCTAGGTTTCAATACGTCTATCACTCTCAAGTCACACAAAGGCACGATTCCCGCGGTCCCTACATTTGGTCTAGCATTATCCCCTCTGGAGCTTAACATTCCGGTTCCTCAATTCGGAGTTCCAGGAGAGGATGATCGCAATCCAGGCGATCATGGTCGATCGCATTTCATCAAAGATGCAACGGTATTTTCTACTCTTATCGATTACTCTTCTAAGTACCCTCATATCGTATAAACACACTTACGGGTACTCCGTTCTATTTGATTATCTAGTTTTCTCTTGTCCAAGTTTCGCTTGTGTTCTACGCACCGTTTGGCAAGGACTGACTTTGGTTATCCTTGGTGTTGGCAGTTGCACTTGTGGACTTCGACGGCAGTATTCACACTAGCCTCGCCGTTATCATCAACCACACTTCTTATTACCTGCATTGATGCAACGGCCTTCTACAATCACAGTGAGCCGGCAGGGACCATCAAGTATGACCTACCATTTGCGGTGCTGCCAGGAATATCTCAAACTCCTCGACTGCCGGTGGACCTGAATTTTGGAGGTGCAGGATACGAAGCAATTCGCCAGGCGTTGGGAGGGACATTGAAAATGGATGCTGTCGCTGACGTTTGTGTTCAGCTTGGAGAGTATTCGAATGAAGTGTCCTACAAAGGTATGGGGATTAGCGCAAAGATTCGGATATAGAGGGAGACTTTTTCTACCGATACGATATTGTTTTTCGTGTTCTACTGTTTTCTAGGGCGAATCAACTGGTTTTCTACTTTTCTTTCGGAAGTAATAAATAAGAGTTAAGGAATAGACCACTCGGATTTACGGGAAGGACAGACCCCAAGCTGGTGGTATAGAGCTGGCGTATAGTATGGATTTCCCCAAGAGTATGTGACATGGATTTGTTTTCTTGTTTTTGGCGTTGCATTTGTATTGTCGTCGAAGTGTATTCTATCCTTGTCTACGCACATGCAAAATCACACCTTTTAACCATTCACCACACCCCTGGCCATATGTCTTGGACGCACGCTACTACCTTTCTACTGGTTACCGTTCCATGATGATGAACGATTGGTGGTACAGACCAAGCGTGTATGGACTGGGAATCTGCAAATCTGGGGTTTGAGTTGGCTACTATGTGGCAAGCAAATGAAAGATAGTGTGTCCCGTTCATTTCTGGACGCTTATTCTCCATGGCTCTAGGACTCTTCACATTTCCGGCTTAACCCTTGCTGTGACTCTTCCACTTTAGTAAATGAGTGTAATCATTTCATTCCCTGCTGTCATGGAAACTTTGGCGATTTTAGGAATGCTAAATAATTAATAAAACAGTGTTTGGATCCTGGTCAGTCTCTGAAGCCATACCTAGTGTTTTACATCCAGGGGATAAGGCGATCAGAACATTGAAATGGCCGATAAACGCTCACTGAGTTCTTGACGATTGGCCACACGTGGCCGAATGAAATGCAAGACCAGATTCGAACAAGATCTTTGGATACCTTGACCTTTCCACACCATCTGAGATCAGTTGGACTTTTCTCGGATTCCTCGCAGCGAGCAAGGGCTCTGCTGTGCTTCCGTCCTGCTCTCGTCCTGCTCTGTTTATGATTTGGCACTCACTTATCAGTATGAAGCCATGTTTCATTGGACTCGCTTGTCATCATCCAATCAATTTCGATGTTCAAGCAGTTTTTAATATACGCACACTGTTGTTCTTGTGCAACCGTCACTCTTCTTTTCGGCCCAAAATTCCTTTCCTTCCAGACCAATTAACCATTTATATTTCTCTGCCGTGATGTCATAGCTGCATGTCTCTCAATATCTTGCATGATGGTGGCCAATCGCAGCCCGTTTTTGCCATTCTACAACCAATCAACTTGTTCTATCTGTTCCCAACTCAAATTATTTATCCATCAGCCACGAGCAAATGACGCACGTTGCAGAATTAGCCTGGATTTTCATTTTTTTTCTCACATAAGATAGTGAGCTTCAAGATATTTGTGTTGCAAGGTTCTTCTTGGTCAAATCTCCCAACCCAACAGACTTAAGCTAACTGCTGCTGGACGATTTAAACAATCTAAGATGTGTTATTCACCGCATTCAGCAAAAATTGAAAAATAAAAGAAAAATAAAAAAGAAAGAAGAAAGAAGAAACCAACATGTGCTCTTTCATCATTGGTGATCCCGATGGCTATTGCAATATTCCTCCGTTGGGCAGATATGACCCCGGAGGAGAGTCCCGGATATTTGTTTTAGATTGCCAATCAGTTGTTTCGCTTCATCGCTAACTTCAGGATATGAGGGGGCTTTGCCCCAACAAGGGATGATAAATCCCCTTGTCATTTGTTTCTGATTTTCGATGTTTCCACCCCTCCTTCGCCGGATAGCGTTGGCTCATTGATGAAATATCACCTTTCCCTTGATAGCCCTTTCAGCTATCCTCCTCATGCCAGATGACGTCAAAGGATAGTCCGCCACTCCCTATGAGGGGGCTCTCATGCTTCCTGAACAGCAGATGACCAGACGGAACAGTTGGGACAAATATGTCCCGGTCCATCATTACCTTTAGTTCTCTCTCCCTATATATAGATAGGGTACCACCCTCTTTCTATTCTTTCTTCACGTTGCTATGACCTTGTTTCAGAAATTGCCAGAGTCAGTAATATAACGATATTTTGACTTCTCTACTCTTCTTCATTAATCATACAAACTATCTGCTTTGATAGACCACGACGTATTAACTGCCATTCCTTTCCTCTCTACCCCGCTAACCCATACTTCTCTTGTGATCCTTTGAGAGGAGAGGGAAACTCTTTATATTTCCCTTCCCTTTTCTTTCCATCATGTGCGTAATGTTATTAATGGCTAATTCATTTTTTATTTGCGGATCTCTCTTGGTCGGCCTTTACTCATTAATCTGATCCATAGCCCACCAATGACCTTCGCGACACATTGCTTTTAGAACACATTGGATCACACAAACGTACTTATATATTTCCGGTACATTCACCTGGTGGGAAACATCAACTTGTTTCCCCTCCCTCCGCCTACCACTGAGCAACGTGAAGAGTAGTTGGTAAATCGCATCGGGAACGAAAACTCAACCCAAATTCTACGTCGCTCGATCTACGCCCCCAATATATATCTTACCATTCATTCTGCGTCTCCTCCTCTTCCCCTCATATTACGATACCTACGATACTGTCGCGCTAGTGGCTTCTCTTGCGGTATGTGCCAACACATAGTTTACTACCAATGCGGTGTTAAGGAGACTGTATTCTCGGAGACCTGCAATTGCTCAAGGAGAACGGGTCAAAACCATAGTCCACTCTACTGTGGGATTTGTGAAGAGTGTCGGAGACGAAAAAAGAGGTGAGAGGAGGGGTAATGAAGGTGACGGCGACAATGCATGATATATCTTGGAATTTGGAAAATGGACGTCTCGGTTAATTTCCTAAATACGCTTGATTTGTGCATGAGTGAAGTTTTGACAGATTAGAAGTGAATCGCTTTTTATGTTTTATAATGCTCATTTCATATTTTATTTATTCATATTTTGATACTTTCATGTCCTTCACGGCCCAGTCGATAACACAATGATGTCACGATGTTATAACCAATGAAACACATTCATATTGCCAAAACGTTCATTGAAATGTTGATTCGTCAATTGAACGGTAGATTTTCGTCCCCGATAGTTCCATGTAATTTCTCTTGTCTAACGGGTCGGCAAGGTCGTTTTGTGTGGAAGAGCGTGATGAAGGACACTGTGATAACCCAAACTACATCCAACAGCACGCCATTGTCAAATGGCAAAAATGACCAAATTTCGACCAACTATGTTCAGAAATTGATTTCGTGGTGAAAACAAATGTTAAATCATATTTCACCACTGTGGAACTTATAAAATAACATGTACAAAGTAGTTAATGTATTGGAATAATTAAGAACTTCGATATCAGGGTGTTTCCAATTTATAAAAAATAGAACAGAAGAGAGCAAGTACATGGCAGAAGAGCAATGGCAGAATTATACATGGCGAAAAGCGAGGGCTTGTTATTTTCCCTATCACCATCCTTCCGCAGGTAATTTCTAATATTTCCATCTAAGTGTCGCGAAACTCTTCAGGAGAAACGCCATGCCCTGGCAATGAAGATTCTAACACCCACACAAGAACAACGGCAGAAAAGATACATATGCTCATCGAGCCAAAATTGTCCAAAAGGGAAATCTTAACCTGGGGGTAGAGTACTCGCGTCAACAACTTCAGTTGCGTCCTTTTCAAGGTCATCATCCGGCCCAGTGAGCGGAGAGCGTGGCAGGGCCATCAGGCCTGTTCGGGTAGATTCGAGTATGCCGAACGGTGAAATCAGTTTGAGGAAGGAATCGATGCGGCTCGGTTTTGCGGAGCTTATCAAGTGGTAGTATTGTTAGTTATCAGTAAACCGTCATGAGATACGGGGGAGGGGTTGATATGTACATGTGCCATTTTACTTTGAGGATAAACTTACAGTTCCACAATGCAATTGTTCGTGCTAATATCCAACACTTTACCGCCGAACTGATGGGTCAGATGAGTAATGGCTTCTAAATGCTCGTGTTTGTGTCGAAGGGCTTGACTCTGCGCCAGGCGGCTGGGGTGATAGTCAGTAGCATGTCGGTTTTCTTTTGATTTCCCTTGCTTGCTCTCGTTCGATTGGGGTTGTTGTTCACAAGAGCCGGACACCGCTCCCTCATTTTCTGGGGTCGTTATTTCACGATGGTGTTGGAGGAGTTCCTCAAACACTTCAGGTCCTAGAATGCTAACTTTGGCAAGAAGGAGCTCGCGTTGCACCAGAGCTGAATCAGTGTAATCAAGAACCGCCCAGACGGGGACGAGATCGTCCAGTTGACGACGGGCCTGCTCAACCACACCATCTAGTCCATGAAGGACAATTGTCATCCGTGATAAGTCCTCTACCTCAGTATTACAGACGACAAGACTGTCGATATTGAAACCACGAGCTGCCAGAATTCCAGAGATGCGAGAGAGAACACCTGGTTCATTTTGTACCAAGCAATTTAGCACATGACGCTCTGGAGGTTTGCTCGAGGGCACCGGGGTTTCATAGAGAATTGACGAGACTGCCGCAGGTGCGGACCAAGTTGGGCTATCGGCAACTGGGAGAGGGAGAGGAGAACGGCGATGAAGAGATTTATAGGCGAGCGCAGATGTCGAGCTTGACGAGGAACGGCTTGGGCGGACATTCAAGTAGGGCTTTACAGGATATGCAAACCTTCTTCCAGCACAATGTGACGACAGAAAGATGCGCGTTGGCGGCAGGGAGAGAGCCTGTCGAAGAGCCATTTTCCCCAATGTACTCCGTCGTGAGCTGTTGTTCTCTATAGGCCTCGTCACAAAGGCAGCTCAGAACTCGACTTAATTGGGTGATTGGGAGTGTAAAAAGCCACCTGGATAATCAGAACAATGGAATCTACCAGCATCTCTCACTTTGTAATTTAAGAGGCGAAGATAGAATGATTCACCATTCTGGCTGTTATTCCGAAGGCTTCTCAAAAGAATCATCTAATTTTTGTTTTCATTCCTTTTTGAAGCTGGGGTTAATGAATGAGTCACATGATGCGACGGTTGACATTAGGCCGAAATCGGCTATATGACTAAGCGTTTCTTTTCCCAACTTCGACAATTGTCTAACCCATTTAAGGATATAGCGTTTTGTGGGGAAATGGAAGCTTGGCACATATGACTAAGCAGTGCATGTTAAGTTTACTAACTAGTGGCGGATTTGGAATAGCGTGAGCCGCATCCCTTCACAGACGACTTTACAACCATTCGAGAAAAATGTTACTCTATGCTATCGGTTGATGAACACAGTAACTCTGTCTCTGATCTCTCTTCTGTTGATAATTCTTCAAGAGGTTCATCATATCCTCTATAGTTATAGCTTCCCTCCTTTTTTTCTCTTAGGTTTGGTGACAAGCAATGGCAGATAGTGAGCGACGCGCAAAGCGCTCTCGTTTTGACCAAACAGAACCAGAGCCTCGACGGTCAAGATTTGATCGACGTTCTCGATCCCCATCTACTCGGAATTCTGATTCGACTCGGGAGCGGAGCCCGCTGAGTCGGGAATTGCGAAGCCCTGGAAGTGATGACAAACGAAAACCCGCATCGACGGATCCAACTGTTGCTGCAGGTAGGTCCACATGTGCCTGGTTTGAGGAGACTTCTTCTCGTGGCCAAAGTGCTAATAGTTGCAAACTTTGTTTGACACTCAATAGCTGCTGCTGCAGCAAAGATAAATGCTGAACTTCAAGCCAAAAAAGCCATCCAGCACAGCGACGCGCCTCAGATTCGTTCTGTATGATTGCATTTCCCTGGATGCCCCCCTCTAAAATTATATTTCTAATCTTTTTTTAATCATTGATATGTATAGACTGCAAGTCCGGCAGCAAAGTCCTCCTCGTCAGGTGCCCAAGCTGCAGGCAATGTTAATGGCGAAGTTTACATGGCCGATGGAGACTATATCAAAGATATCGAAGTTAACGATCTCCGAAACCGATACACACTGACTAAGGGTGCAACCCAGAGGATGGTAAATATTTCTATCATATCTGCTGATATTCCCAGGCATTGATTACTCCTACTTACCGGCCAACGCCACGGTTTCACAAGAAAACTGAACAATTGCCCTTTGCCCCTCTTTGTTGTGCTGGTGGCTGAAGCTTACCCAACTATCCATAGCATCTCGAATCCCCTCTTTGGCATCTGCTGACCTCCGCTGCGTGATATTTAGATTAAAGAAGAAACTGGCGCCGGTACGGCTTTCTCCATCACTATATTATTATCTACTATTTTTGTTTTAGAACAGAAGCTCATTTAACGTATTCAAGATGTCACAACACGAGGAAGTTATTTTCCTGATAAAAGCATGGCTACGGCTGCGGTAAGTTCCATCATCACCGTCACTTGATTGTGCGGAAGGAAAATGGCGGAGAAATTAACATTTTGTATATAGAATCCCCCGCTTTATCTCCACATAACGAGTACTACTAAAGAAGGTCTCGACAAGGCAATTGCCAAAATTGAGGAACTTATGAAACAAGAGCTTCCCAATCTTGTTGACGAGCGGAGGTTCCGTCGCAGAGAACCAGAGCAGCAGGTTGAACGGGATGAGTACGGTCGGGTATGTGTTTCAGTCATCCTGAAAATAATGCGGCGTGAGTACGGAGGCTTATTTAATTTCAGCGCAAATGGCCAGAGGAACGGATCCCTGTTGACCTGGAGCCAATTCCGGGCTTTAATCTTCGTGCTCAGGTAGTTGGTCCAGGCGGTGCCTACGTCAAGCATATCCAGCAGGAGACACGTTGTCGCGTTCAGATCAAGGGGCGTGGCTCTGGTTTTACAGAGCATGGAACCGGAAGAGAGAGCGATGAACCCATGTATTTGCATGTCGCGTAAGTGTCAGCCAGCCCCTGACCAGCTACAGATCATAATCCATTCTAATCGTCCAAAGTGGTCCGGATCCCAAGGAAGTGCAAAATGCCAAATCACTTTGCGAGGATCTTCTCGCTAACGTGAAGGAGCAATATAAGAAATTTAAGGAGCAGCCACCCCAACAACGCTCATATGGCGGAGGTGGCCATCATGGTGGCGGATATGGACATCGTGATCGTCACCATTATGGTGGTGGCAGTTACGGGGGAGGCGGCAATTACGGAAATTACTCATCCCCTCAAACCCCCATGAGTCCAGCAGTCCCCAATGCCACACCTGGAACTGATGCAAGCGCAACCGCTCAAGCTTCCCCGGCTGGTCACTCTCTTGCTGACTATAGTCGCATGTACTCACAGTACATGACGGGCCAAGACCCCTACGCAGCATGGGGGGCCTATCAGAACTGTGTCGCTTATTATCAACAATACTATCAGCAGCAACAACAACCACCCCCACCACCACCACCTGACAGTGCTGCCCCTCCCCCACCGCCTCCACCAGGTTCTGAGGCCCCTCCGCCACCTCCAGGAACGGGGTTAGCCCCCCCTCCTCCGCCACCCCCACCATCAGGGGGATATAATGCTGTATGAAAATTGCCTTGTAATCGATGCCGAATATTGAACCATTCAGGTGACTGATAATTTTATAGGTACCACCACCTCCTGATCTGTAAAGTCTCCGCGTTTGATCTAGCTTTTCAACCTTCCACATCCCAGGCATAGCTATTATTGACTGGATTAATTCATTGTTGACCGGGTCTAAGGACGCACTACTCGTTTTGACCAGATATTGTAACTGAGCAATTCAAATATTCAATTTACCCAAAGGAAAATTGCGGAAAATCTCAGAAGTTGATTGCAATCTCTCTGGATTTTTCAACTGCTGTTTTTATAGTTATTAGCCCTTTTTACATTTTCTTTTCTGTCAGTGTTCTAGTTTAATCATTTTGATTCTACATATTGATTTTGACAATTTCTCCCCGTGTTTAATATATCATATGCCCGAAAAGCAAAATTCCCCATCGGGTCTCATTTATCTACTTCGCCTGTGAATAAATACTCCTTCGATTATGTCCTCAACTATTTCTCTTAAAAAACCAGAGCTAAAAGTTTAGTCCATATTTTGCTAACAAAGGTATGTTTAGCCAACTCATGATTTTAAATGTCTTGTAAGTTTGCTATATGGGATCTTGAAATGTTAGGACAATGCTCCCTGTTTGCAATTTCATACCTCCCTTCACCTTCCATTGCTTTTTTGCTTATTTGCATTCAGTGCTGTTACCTATCTTTCTAGTTTGTCAGAATATATTTAAATATTGCTTTGCATTTCTCTGTTTTACTGCTACTGCTTCCTTTTCCTTAAATCTTTTGTACTTGATTTCAAAATGCCAACTCCGAGTGCTTTTGTTTGATGCTTTTAGCATTTCTTGTCTGGTAAACATATACTCTATCCTTACCCGCCTCATAGGTTTTCAACTCAATAATGAAAAAAGATTCATCTATTTCAATGCCACTTCATTTCCTACTAAACCCTATCACCTAGAGTTGTGTAAAGCCTTTTCTACTGACGTGAGTCATGACTCATTTCTCAAAATCATACTTTCCTTTCCGTTTGATTATTTCAGCCTGTATCACTTGCAGGGGTCAATAAGATCATAGCCTGTCATAAAAGTCATATTTCATGCAATCATATCATGTTTTCATTTAATGTGGTAAATTACACAAACCTATTAAAATAATAAGGTGAAAAACACGAAAACACCTGATATATGACACAATCCTTTTCTTCCAACAATATTCCAGTCAACTATCACCACCTAGTATCGTTTGTATGTGTCTATAAGGCTAGCAGCACGAAAGCCCGTGAATTCCGCCCTGGACCCAGGGGCTGGAAGAAAACTCTCAGCATAGTCATCCCCTGAATGTTCATGTGCCCCACTAAGTTTCTTTCGGCGTGTCAACGCTTCACGACCCTCTTTGCAGAAATCGCATGCAAAATCACACATTGATGTAATAGAAGTGTCCTTATAAACTTGAGAAGGCTGTCCCATTCGTGCGTCAAGATTCGGATCCCGCTCGCCGAAAAATTCGCGAATCACATCATGTCTGCACCGGGTTGTTGTTTCGCAATATTTTACCATCCTCTTGAAACTCTCTAGGAGTGCTTCCTGGTTGCGTATCTTGGCTTCTAAATTTGCTGTTGTGGCCTTGCGCTTTTTACTCGCGGGGTTGTTTCCCTGCAAAGCTGCTTCGAAATGCCAGTCCTGGTCTCGGGTCAAGCGGTCCATTACACGGTCGCGCTCCTGAGGGCTATAGTATACCAGAGACACAGCTGCACGGCCGTCCCGACCTGCTCGACCGGATTCTTGCACAAAACCTTCAAAACTGCGGGGCGGAGTCCAGTGTATGACAAAGCGAACATGCGGGTTGTCAATACCCATCCCAAAAGCATTGGTGGCAACCACGATGCAAAAGGCAGGTGATTTGGGCTTTTCTCCTGCCTTTTCTTTTGTTGATCCAGAGACCTTGCTTGGTGAGCTCCACAGTGACTGAATTTTGGACCGTTCAGAAGCAGACAGCCCAGCATGATAAGCGACTGCTTTGATGTTGAGAGGTGAGGCTGATAAGCTGTTCGCAAGTTCAGTGCAGATAGCCCTTAATGGGACATAGATAATTCCTATAAGAGGAGGAAGGGGAGGTATGATGGTCGTGCTAGGTTCGTTAGAATTTTCTTGTTGGGGAGGAGTTAGCCGTGCAACACGTCTATTATGAATCGAGCTCAGCCAACAGAGGAGGTCATTTAATTGATCTGTGCCAGGAACTGCAGGGTCTATAGAACAATCTGAAAGATATCGGACCTCGTAATGAATATTTGGTCGCGCTGATCCAGTGCTGAATTTCCTCAAGGTGAGAGGATCCAATCCTAGCAGAGATATTATATCTGAGCGGACGCGGGCGGTGGCTGTTGCTGTGAGAGCAGTGATTGGAACAAATGGTTTGCGTAGCTCTTTTCTGAACCACGACAGCTCTTTATAAGCAGGACGGAAGTCATGGCCCCATTCACTGACACAATGCGCCTCATCAATTGCGATCCGAGCAAGTTCGCCTTGTACGTGAACTGTTTGAAGATTTCGACGGAAGGAATCCGTCTGACAGAATTCGGGGGTAACGTATAAAAGGCGTAAAGTGGGGTGTCCCGAGAGGAGATCTTTTACAATTTCCCGCCTTCTGGTAAGCGTAGTTGTTGAATTGATCGTTGCGACGGGTATGCCATTAGCTTCTAGGGCAGTGACTTGATCCACCTGATGCAGGAGGTAATGTTAAATACTATGAAATATTAAATTTCTTCCTGTTCCAACCTACCATCAATGCAAGAAGAGGAGAAACAACAATTGTGACTGTTGTTAGGTATAGGGTTAGCATCATGCTTCTAACAGTAAGGTTACAAGAGAGATCCTAGTGCTGCTCACCTCCATGCCCCACAATAGCTGGTAATTGAAAGCATAAGCTCTTCCCAAACGACGTGGCAGCCTGAAGAAACACATCATGGCCCTCAATAGCGGCCTCAATAACTTCCCGCTGGAGGGGTCTACATGAAACATAAGGTTAGTGTTAGTTCCTCAACATAGACTTTTCAAAAGTTGCTCATACCGAAATGTCTTCTTCCCAAACACGCGTCTTAATGTAAAGTCGATGTCGATGAGATCTCGTTTGTCTTTTCGCAAGGGCATTTCTTCTTTCCATTCCACTCAATGTGACATATTCGCTTTATATAATATCCAAATGTTCTATATTGCTATATTACTGTAATGGCGGTGGCGTTTTTGCTCTCATTAATATAGATGGGTGGAAGGTTTCTGGCTGACGCGACGCGGAACGAAAAGAACACCATATCACGTGATTAGAAATCTGTATTCGAACCTTTTGGAATCTCGACTTGGATTAAAACTGATATTAATCGATGTGGATCCGATGATAAACTATTTTCAAGAGTATATATGCCACCATGCAGATGACAAAACCATGAACTCAACTTGTACAGTGGAGATTCTTGGATTATTATACACCGCTGCATTGCGAATAAAAACTGGATGTCTAGGTATACCAAACGTTGACGATATAAAACCCAAATCCAAAATACACATACATAACAAACCATACACAGTAACCCGGCGAGCGCAAATCATTTGCGTGCTCTAAGATTGATGGGGACAAGCTGTTCAAGAACCGTCCTAACAGCCAGAATATCTGACTTTTTCTGCATCTCGGGCTTCCAAAGACGTTCGATCTTTGCCCAGACGTCAAGGACAGCTTCGGGTCCGCCACAAGAAGCGTGCGCACGTAGGCAGGAAACGATGAGTTTTCGACCCAAGTATACAGAGTTCTTATACCTCCAGTCGTCATCTGTTTCTTCAAAAGGGTTGGGGGATCCATTGCCATTCGAAGGGTTCGACGAATGAGCTTGGCTCTCACTGGCCCTCTCCTTATTGTGTGATCCGGACTCTGCCCTTTCGTCGTCTGCTTGTTCAGCCCTTTCAGGTTCACGGGAAGATGAGTATGGTTTATCGGTTAATGGGTTTTCCCACACGAACTTCTCCCTCCGACTTTTGACACTTCGCTTGGCACTAAGTTCAGCTTTGGAATGATAGAGAGCTCGAAGGAAATGTTTCCATACCCCCTTAAGCCGCTTGAATGTCCATGCGGTTCCTGCTTTCCATCCATGTGCAGCGAAGCCGTGGAACAAAAATATATAGATCATCCCTTGTGGGGGAATAGAAAATGTTCCTCTCATGTCCCTAAGTAGGGCCATAACGCGTGCTAGGTCGCCTGTAACATTTGCATGGTGCCACAAAAATATGTGGAAGGTTTTTGCATCGGGCGTCAATGGCATTGCCCGTTGTAACGCCCGGTGATGTTCTGGAAGTTTATCATGCAGAAAAGTTGTCATCCCAAGTACACGGCCAAGCCTTTTGGTTGCCTTCCTATAGGCAGTATAGTTGTCGGATGGTGAAGGGTATACACTCGAACCTAGGATTTCCGGGTTCTGCTCTTTTAGCGTAATGTACATGTCCTTCATGCGCTCGTACATCTTCTCTGCAACATGCTGCTCCCCGCACCGAAGTAGGGAAACCATGACACAGTTTAGAACCACGGTATCAACGACTTCGCCCAATCGAATAAATTCATAATAGGAATTTCGAATACCTTCGGCATCTCCGCGTAGTCCGAAAGAAAATATGTGAGCCACTCTCCCGAAGCGGGAGAGCTTCAGTCCTCGGGCCTTCATCTCCTCTATAATCTTGTCGGCAACTTTCCACTGCCTGGCTTTGATAGCAATATCATATAATATATTGAATGCTATGCTTGAGCTAGGTACCAAGCCTTCGTATTCCATACGCCTCCACATGCCAAGTGACGATCTGAGATCGCATTTCTTTACCGAAGTATAGGATTTCCCTGTCAGATGAATTGCAGCGGTCCATAACGAGGGCGATATGTAAAATGAAGCTTCTGCCATATCATCAATTAATTTCAGATATCGTTCCGCATGAATAGGCAAGCGCCGGGGCGGGCTCGCGAAGCGATGCAATAAGAGTCTTCGGGTTCGAGTAGAAAGATATAATACACCCGGCGATGGAAGGTCTTTATACGCTCTAAAGATTTGTTGATTGGAGCTATTCTCATCGTTCAATAAGTCTACTATCCGCTGAACTCCATGGATTTCAACAGTGTCAGGGCGATATCGTTCCCGTGGTTTCTGTTGGGGCAAACTTATTTCTCTGGCTGGGTTGGATAAAACAACCTGAAGAGACTTTAATCCTTCCTCTTTGCCCAAGATCTCGAGATAAAGTCTAAATAGGTGTTTTGTATTGGCTAGTTTGGAAGCAGCGGCTCTTTTAAATGAGGCGTGGTCTATGGCGAAATCTGGGGTTAAGGTGCAAGTATGAAATTTGTGATCGGTCCCTATAGAAGCCTCTTTTCCCGGTTCTTTTGGCATAAGGGGTTTTGTATGATGTGGTTCCGCTGCTTGTCCCACTAAATCGCTCTTATGAGCAACCTTGTGTTGTTCTGGTGTATTCTGCGATGGTTGTATAGCGGCGGTGTGAGAGGAGTGTCTCGACAGTCTTGAAAATCTTCTTTTCCATAGAGAATGTTCTCTGCATAGTCCTGCAAGAACAAGGGAATTTATAAACTGGTTACTAATCGGAGTACGGCTTGTGAGGTATGGTTGGAGTCGCATGGTTCTGGGGAAATATGAGGAGGGCAATAAGAGTAGGTGTATTGGACGAGGATCAGGGGAGGGAACGTAGAAAAGTCCTGCTGGGGACAGCAAAAATCCTTTCGACCTTTCCAAGCTATTGAGGAATGACATGAGAGGTCTGACATCGTGCCATTGGGGTACAATTTAACTGCGTATTTCGTAATTCAACGATGTCATGGACAATGTAAGATCGTCCTCCGCGAGTCGCAAGAATTCAGATCACGGCAGAGAAGCAAAAGCAATAGATAACAAAGAAAATAGAAAGCCCACAGATTATATTAGAGGAATTGGCGCCATGTAACCTCCATAGTGATTGGTGATTGGGATTATCCTTTTGTTTGGTGATGCCTTCAACGCTTGGAGTTGGGGAAATTTTCTGATGATGTTGTTTCGCAGCTCCTGATTGGCCAGATTGCTTGAACAATACCGAGTATCGTACATTTTTCAAATTTCTGCTCATCATCGCCACCACGGAGTATTTAGGAATCCGAAATAGTATACAACACATAGCTTTTGTCAGTTATTTCCAATGGCTTTCTCTCCACTCGAATTTCCATTTCCCATTCTTGTGTATTTATTGGCTAACACTCTACCGCCGATCTAAGTAGTAATCCGTTTCATGAGGACACAGTTAGGCGGCGCAATCCTTCCAAAAGAAATACTTCCTACGCCAGATCCTGAGGGAATCCCTTCGGACTGATTTGCACAATGGGACGGTACAATCTGACCGCTCTCCGTGTGAGACAAACAGCATTAGCCATTAAACAATGTGGTAAGCCTGGGACGCGACAGCCCTGGCTTGACGTTATGGCGGATATCCCACCTGCGTCGATTCTTGTCCGCAATCAAGCCCGGCCACATCCTGTCGTCAAACAACGAGTAAAAACTGTTCAGGGGGAATCGAAACCGCAAATTGAAATCAAAACGTCGACTGGCCAAAACCTTGCATCGAAGAAACCGCGTCGCATCTTCCAACCCAAAGAAATACGCTATGAGGAGGACGAGCTACGAAAAGAGTTTTTCCGCGATCATCCATGGGAACTTGCCAGACCACGAGTGGTTCTTGAGAACGACGGGAATGATCATCAAAGATACAATTGGCAGAGTATTCAGCAACCGGGGAAGAGACTTGATGGAGAAAGGTTAGATTTCCCATTGCCGTTTCTTTTTATATACCATGGCCTTCTTGAGAAACAGTGGAAATTGGAGAATACAATTGGCTGACCTATTTATTTTTTTTATATTTTTTTTCTCTTTAAATAGTGTTGTGCAACGGCAGCTATATCTCCTCAACAATGTACCCGACATGACTAAAGGTGCTGCATATGACATTGCGCGCCACGAATTTTACCAGTTGCGACTACAGGAAGATGTGGAACGACGGGTTGCTCAAGAGGAGGCATTGGCAACAGGTGCATATTTCGGACCAGATATGCATACTGTGGGAATGGAACTGGAGAACCAAGAATATGAAAAATGGAAGGTGTGGGCAGAGAGCGAAATTCAAGCTACGGAGCAGCGTCTTGCAGCCTTCACTGGTTCTACTGGTCCTACGGAAGAGAGCGAAGAATCCGTCGACGAAACCCCGTTGATAGAGGAGGAGGATGTGGTAATGCCACCAGAGGAATCCGTGCCGGAAGCTTCAGCGGGATCCACGTTAAATAAACCATTCGTTTATCACCATTGAGAGCGAGCTACATGGTGTTCAGTACAAAACAAAACAATGATGAATTAATACGTGGACCCGCTGGATCGTGGATTGATTTTCCACCTAAATTAGACAGTGAACCATCATCCAAAAGGAAATATCTCTAAGTTGTAGAGGTGTCTTTTGAAACATTTTCTCCCTCTTTACTCTGTTCAGTATAATGTTTTCCATGGATACTCCTCATCTGAATGGGCATTCCGGGTCATCTTGCGAAGCTGAAACAAGTCTACCGAGCAAGCGGTCCTCGTAAGAACAACATTGAATACAAACCTGCCTTCTGTTCAAACCTACCCATCCATCCATCCATGGATATAGGGAGTAGATTTTCCTTTTGAGATGCCATACAATTGACTCTTGTTCTTGCCAAGACCAATTGAAACTTAGATAAGCCGGTCCCGTGACTTGCTAGTCAAGTTGATCCCAACACGCGATTGAGGAAACCATCAAATCAACGACGTACGACACCACGACAAGCCAACGACGGCAACGACTGGGACTTCTGGGGACAACTCATGAACCACTTACCTTGACCCAAAACACCAGCGTCTCAGGAAAGATTAGTTTTCCTCAATTGTTCGGTTGGGCACTTGATTCCCCGTTGCACGGAACTAGGTTATTACTCCAAACCTTTGACTGTCTCAGATTGGCGCTCGTCTCGTTTGTCCTGTCCATTGGCGACCACGAGTTTCTTGGTTGTCTGGCACCAACGCCCCAGTTGTTTAACTCCCTCCATTGGTCACAGGGCTCCGATAATGGGGTATTAAGTCTTCCAGATCTCTTAGCTGAGCCTCAGGATTATTATTAACTCTCTTCTTTCAACCTCTCTATTAGCCAAATATTAACCAAAGCAACGTCGATGTCAAACTTAACGTTGTCTGGAGCTGCGAATTTATGACTTCCTTATTATGCTGCATGTAAAATTTTAATCCTAGCTGCGAAGGAGTCGGCGGCCAACGGTGGCCAATTTGCACAGCTCACCCACCATTTTCAGACGTCTCCCTCTTCCTCCGGGAACTGATTTGTAGTGCTGAGCGCCATGACCCGTACTGACGATCCTGTCCGGCCCCTTCAATTGTATCGCGGTGACACAAACGAGGGCACGAAAGAGTCGGTCTACCACTCGACACATCCCGCTCCTCTTGAGCCCTCGCTTCGTGGGGAGATCCGTCACCAACCCAACAAAAAGCTACTCAGCCAGGAGGAGACACTTGAGCTCACAAAGCGAGCAGTGGAAAATGGCTTGCAGGAAACGAAACGATCGTTGGCGGGCAGTGAGGCTGTCGATGATGTGGTTAGACCGAAGCTGACGATTGACCTGGGCCATTCCAATATTGGGTGGATTCCGGAATCTATGGCGGATATTATCAAAGATGAAGTCGCGAGGTTAGACCAGACCGCTTCGCCTTTTGTGGTCGATATGTACACCTATATTTTTTATGTATAAATTTATGCTAATCTTCGCTAGGCTATCCCTGTCCAATAACCACATTGACCATATACCGTACCGGTTTTCAGAATGTACCCACCTTCGTTATCTCAATATTCGAGCGAATAACTTTACGCAGTTTCCTAAGGGTGTAAGTTTATTAAACCCTCACCCTCTGAAAATACCAAAGCTCATTCTTTATAGGTATTAAGTTTGACTTTTCTCGAAATCTTGGATCTTAGCCGCAATAAAATTCCTAAAATTCCTGAAGAAATTCGGAACCTCACGTCACTGCGAGTTCTTTCCATCATGCAGAACCTCCTCGATGATCTACCGACAGAATTGGCAGATTTGAGTAAGCTTCAAGTTTTGAAGGTTTCCGGGAATTCTCTAAAGTACCCATTGAAACGGGTCCTGGAACTCAACGAAGCGGATGTTTCTGCTTTTGAGATGACAGATAATGAGAAAGAAACTGCAATTACAGCGGAATTAAAAAGATTTTTGAAACATAGACAGCCTGTGTCACACATCGAATTTGACGCCGGAAGCGAGAGCAGGTACGTGACTCTTGTTCAGGTATGCGAGCAACCCACACTCATAACATGTCATACAGTGAAACCCTGATGGATACTCCGAAACCTTTAAAACGTGGGAACAGATTCCCAGTGATCCCAAGGACAAATGGTTCTGAATCGGCGCATTCTTCCAGGTCTCCTTCATTCTCCAGACCTCCTCCAATTCCGACGCGGTCCCATCACCGAATTGCATCCGTCCAGAACGGTAATTTTCACAACGGCACAAACCAGCGCTCGGGATTTATGCCGTTCTCGGGCGCTAGTGAGCGGTATCGAAGTAATAGCGAAGGGGTGATCCAAGGCCCTGGCGCATCTCGAAATAAGCGTATTGGATTAATCGGTCGCAAGAATACTGACTTGGGAACGCTCGACGAAGTACGACCATATCGTAGTAGTCATTTACGCGGTTTGAGTCATGGGTCCGTTTTGAAATCCAAATCTGGTGGCTTGGTAGCTGGGGGTAGCAGTTCATCCAGTCCAGGCAGTCCGAGAGAAAGAAGAAAGTTAAAAGATGGCTTTGTTCACCGTATGTCAAGCCTTCCGGAACACAAAGTCAAAGTGAGAACACAGGAGCCAATCATTGAGGTTGCAAAGGGCATCCTGTATGCACTTCACCAAATTCACCCCCATGTTTCGTTGTTGATCAATGTTCTCAAGGGTGAGGATGCGAGAAGAAATAGCCTCGAGATTGTTTTTTACAATGCCTCGACTCATCTGGAGCAGTTGAATGACGCTCTAGAAAGAAAAGAGCAAATTGACTTACAGGATGCTGAAGGGGCAAGGAGAGCTTGCGAAATGGTAAAACGCGAGTGTGAAACTTGCATCATGGCATATATACATGTTGCAACTCAACTTCGACTCAATGTCAGCAGGGCTGTTTCACTTAGTGATCCTAGGTACCTCCGTTCGCTACTTCTTATGATATTTGGGAGCTTGACTGAGCTTCGGAATGCTTGCTCTCACCTTGGAATTGACGTTCACTCTCAGCAATCCAACTCTTCCGGAAAAGACGTTTCTCCCTTCCCGGAATTGCTAAGAGAAGGGCCATCTGGTGATATAGGCGAGTCTGTTGCAACACCTACTAAAGACCGACCTTCACCCACAAGGAGGTTACGCAGTAATACAACTATTGTGCACCCGAACGCTGCTACCAATTTAAATACTACGAGTAATCAGCCGCTAAACCCTAACCCTACTCCAGCCTCATTCAATCCACCCTACACTCTCCCATCTGTCCCGTTGTCACCGCTGAATTTTGGTGACCGAAGTCGATCAAGTAGTAGATCTAATACCCTTTTAACTTCAGGCCCATCGTCCTTGGCTAATACTCCGCGATCCGGTGAAACGTTTGGCATAGTCAACAGTTCTGTTCCTAGTCGCATTAACCCGTTAACAGGCTTAGACGAAGTTGAAGAGGAACGAATATTTGAAAAGATCTTCAGCCAGCTTCAATCTGCATATTCCTCCGCGCTGCATGCTCTCCCTGGCGTTGCTCAACGATTTGCGATATTCCTTAAATCAGCTCAAGATAACAGTGCCCCAGAAGGACTACGACTCCTTTGGAACAGGCTAATATATCGCTGTCGTATCTGCAATGATGTTTCGGAAGCCCTGCACCACAGACTTTCAAATACGAAATTGAAAGAGCCCGCTGGCGCAATACGTAATCAGCGTGAGTTTTGGCAACTTTGCAAAACCTTAATCCAGTCTTTCATTGAGCTGGTAACGGATATGCGGGAGGCGAAAGGCTACGGCCTGCTCAACTCAGAAATTGTCGCTACGCTTCGCCCTGTGCAAAGAGCAATCAGGGAAGCTGGTCGTCTAATTGATGCCTCTCCTTGGTCTTACCTAGCTGAATTAAACACTTCCAATCCGACGGGAATCTATCCGCCCCACATTCATGCTCACCATATCCAGCACTATGCCAATCCTTCGACATCAACGTTAAGTGCGACAACATTATCATCGCCACAGTCCGTGCCAATGCCTGCAACGCCGTTAAGTGCCGCTCTGGGTCCCGCAGCTCAAGCAACGGTACCATCGACAGCTGCGAGTGCGTATAGTTACCGATTCTTCGCGGGTGATGTGTTTCAGAGGGCGGACTCTCTGCTCAATACGGCCAATCCGGCTCCCATGTTCCTCCGTCGATAATGTAAACTCACCCATTCCTTCTATTTGCCTCATCTAACAGTTGTCGCTGTATAACTGTATATATTCTTCTCATGTTTGAGTTATTATACGGACGAACTATACTCTATGATTACTATGTTTCCTCCATTAACATTTTCAATGGCATTGTCACTCAACGGCTATGTCTTAAATTCTTTTATTTTTACTACCGTTTCTATTCGGGTAACTTTGTCAAATCTCAAAATAATTTCTTGGTTGATCAATTGATGAAAATACAGTTTGCTGTTGTCTTTTTATCCACCCCCTTTTTGTCACCTATGCCCCTGTTTATTGCCATTTCTTGCGAACATTTGCATTGCGGCGGGGAAATTCTTCTATTGGAGTTTATTATTTTTTGCCTTGTTGCCTTAACTATTCCGTTTCGAATTGTGATATCGGGAAGGGCTAAAGTACCGGGAAAGGTTGGGGAATGGGAAGACGGCAAACAAATTTTTTTGCTGGTTTTCTCTCCTTTTAAATTTCTTTCAATATTATTGCGCATGGAAAACGTAAAGGGAACATACGCAACTGGGAACAATTTGCTAGGGGTGTATACGGGGGCAGTTTCTTAATATATGCCATGCCATTGAGCTTGCTAGTATATATGCATTTGTTCCTGGGCTCTGGCGCCGTTTCCATCCACCTCATTCGTGCTACTGTACTAGAGCGATTGCATCTGTTTCTGTTTCTTCTTCACCCTTAAATTGCAGTTTAGGCTTTTATCAACCTAGCAGCACCAAAATAGTCAATATATTTTGGTTACATGTTTACCAGTCGACACGTCAGCGCTGGCTAGAGTTAATCTATCTAAATGTATCTTGCTATATTTCTATTTCATTGAAATTTCTCATCGGAAAAATAAGGCTGCATACCCTTGTAATGTTTGTATTTTACTCATCTTTTACACTTTTCCTTTCTTTTCCTTTCTTTCTTTCTTTTCCTTTCCTTTACTTTCTTTTTTTCCCTTTTCTTTTCTTGGTACTCCGTACCTAAGGTCATAATTTTAGGGCTGGCTCGTGTTGAAATTTTGAGTGGTGGGCAATGGACTCATCATTCGTACCATTGGCAGGATTGAGAATCTATCATTTGCCCATACACACTTGCATAGGTACAAGACTGTGAATTGAATATGTGGGTGGAAGTGTGATAGTATGAAAGAACAAAAGGAGCTGTGGGGCATGGAAAAAAACGATGAGAAGAGGTAGCTAGATATTGGCTTATTACAGTTCTATTGCCCGAAGTTCCATATGGAAAGGTAAGAAATAGACACATTCCAATACGCTCGCCTAGAGAAATTGAAAGTATTTAGGCTATCCTTCTGTGTTTCCCCAAGAGGCTGATCTGTTTAATGAAGTCTTAGATATACCAAAACATCTCCTCTGGCAGATCAAATGGCACCACATGTCCCGCCTCATTGAAAAGATGATATGTCAAGCCACGCTCCTCAGTGCAAATCCCTGTTCTGTTAGTTACTATTCACCGCTTTACCTATAGACCAATTTTCAAACATAGTTCTGCCACCGTTCTTAGGGATTCTGAAAGACATCCTGGGCCGCCTCTGGTAACCTTTAAGACCACTCCAAGTCATGCTTTGCAGTACGACTTCGACGGCAATTGTTTGAATGACTAGCATATCTAGAGACGCGAGTGGAGATATTGTGGATCGACATCAGGTCTGACGTGATAGAATATGCTGGTGGGGCTTTGCCGCTTGTCCTTGTTACCGAAGCAGGATTGTGGGGCATGCAACGACGTTGGGACATCTGCCCGGTTCCGGCCAAGGGGGTTTATTCTACTGCAATCGTACTTGATCTTAATAAAGCAGTCATGTGCCAAAGTAGAGCGCGTCTCAAGGTTAGTCCGCCGCAGTGGAGAACGTTGCACATGGCGCATAACAGGTGTAATTCAAAATCGTCTTCATCACATCATTAGGGCTCGTCGGGAAGATGTTACATTCCGCCATTGAACCAGTATTGCTGTCCGCTGGAGCTTTTTTGAGGTTCTTCTCGCTTTAAAATTAAGATTCTCCGGGTTCCCCGGAGCTTTTGACAAACCATCAGGCGGGTATTTGTTTGCTTGGTCCAAAACGGTATCAAATTTGCTAATATGGTCGGCGGAAGAAACACATCAAGAACATCTTGGGAGATACCAAGGCTGGATGTTTCGTTATTTTTTTTTTAGATATTCTCCTACCGCAACATCCGCCAGGGCAGCGTTTCTTCCAGAAGATGCCACATCCTATAGAAATCGAATTCTTTTGATAAGATTTAGAAGCGAGATAGAGCAGGAAAATCCCCGCGTATGATTCTCCAATCAGGTTAGTTTTCTTTTCTACAAGATGGGGAAATTTCGCGGTAGGAGGCCGTTAGCCACGGGTAACGGTTGATATGATCTGTTCATTTGTAGAAATTGGTTTGGTGCTGCTCGAAGTGGAAAATCCAATACAAACGGGCTGATCAATATACAACACATTTACCAACTTCGTCGACGAATAGAGGGTTGGAGTAGGTACAGAATTATTCCCAGTAAACACAAGCTGGCCTCTTTCTGCTAGCGCACCGATGAGAGAGGAACACTCTGGGTCACCTTTAAACAGTAATAGCTTGTCCAAGTGCAATAACTCACCAATGAGGTTTTCGTCATAATTGTGGTTTTCAACTTCATGAAGCCAGAAAACAGATCTTTCTCCTCCCCATTTCTATTCCCGGTATTATCAGGATTGAGCAAGCATAACTAAGAAGGAATACCGGGGCCCCTGGAAGAGATTCAATTCTATATTGAGATATATCGTTGCCTGTATGGTTGCGGGTTCTGGGGACAGGTAAATTTTGAGCCGCCCCGGTAAATGAAAGCAACGAAAAGTAGACTTTCCCAGTTTATCGCGCTTGATCTTCAGGAATTAGAAGAGTTTAAACAATCTCTCTGCTCCAAGGCAGAGGGGTAGAAGCCAACTAACGTTGCGAACACAAAATTTGCGACCACTGCTTGGTTTTTGAAGGAGATTCGGGAGTGGAGAATCAATTCTATCGAAGCTCTTTGATCCTGGAAATGCCGTTAATGTTGAAACGGATATTGGAAATCTCCGAAAATATATAATAATAGGATATATTACGCATTTAGAACACTCTGTCACCGCATACAGGTCTCAATAGGTCAGTCACCATGAATTGAGAAATCCGGCTTTTGTCCCAGTTCGGGGAGCATTAATAGGGACCACGAGGACATGATTGTAGAAAGCAACTCATCTCCAATATCTCTAGAAAATCAAAAAGTCATATCTTCGAAATCTCGCCAGTTATGAGTTCAACCTACCCGCTTGAAGTAATGAATAAAGTGCCGACGTTGCCGATCCAACTCCCCTGGGGAATTCAGGATGCGACGTGGAAATGGTGATGCATTGCGTTACCGGATTGCATAAACAGAGAAATATCAAGGCATGTCGGATGATCCATCTTCCTAGAAGAAATCGCCGAGCCGTGCCATATAGATCTACGTTCCGACTAGCAGGTAAAAAAGAAGTCGGGGGGAATAGGTAATCCATTACCACATCGGAAAAACGGCGTGGGGTATATACACAGAGCAATAGAAGAACTGAGCAATTGAAAATGAGTTCGTTCGAAGTCGCTGGGAGCAGAGAACAGTAACTAACTAGGTAATGGTTTAGTCTTCAAAATCCTGGAATGCCGCATTAATGTTGTACAGGAAGCGGATGGTAACGTCGTCCTTCGGCGATTTGGTAATAAAACAATAGCACTCGCTGTAACAGCTGACACGAATTTTCTAGCCGACAGAGGTTTTGCGATACCCGCGCAAGGGCATTTGGGAGAATGATCAACGACCGCAGCCGTGCTTGAATGGCCGGGAACGGAATGGGTGAAATTCCCTTGGTGTTATTGATAGCCCGGGACTGTCCATTTCTTAGAGACTCTACAGGGCCTTAATAAACACTTGTAACTTGACAATTTTCAACTACTTCGGCAGACAATTTCTTCTTGTTCTAAACGAGGTTTAGAGACACATAACTTGCTGCCCCCTTACAGATATATGCACAGCATATCATGGCAATTTTCCATGCAGTAAATCTGGGGAGAAGCTTCATTACTCCTCTGTATGGCTGAATTGTGAGCAGCTCGCTGTCTAGAATCAGTGGTCAACATGATAATATTGTTCCACATGGAGGAAGTTCGATAAGGCATGCAATCGTTACAGGATCGCCCAACGTTTTTGAATGGCTTTCTCCGGGTGGGATGTCACCTGGCAATTCGGAATGACATCATCCATGCGAAAGACGCTGGAAACGGGCAACAACTTAGTGATACAAGATTGCAAATCATATGGTAGTATGGATGCATTAGATTAGATCATTTTCAACATCCTCAAGCGGGGCAATCCGCAACTAAAATCCGTTGACTTCGTGATCATATTTAAACGCGTCCGTGAGGTGCGTTCTCGGCAGCTGAGAGTGATGATCCCTTCAAAATTTAAGAACAGCCTGAGGTGAAGTTTGGAACCATCAAGGCTAAAATAACAGCAACAACCACACCCCGTAAAACTTGTCGAAACGAACACAAAAGTCAGACCAATCTGTCAGAATATCTTCAGCAGCCTTCACCGAGTGGCACCGCAGGCCCTCGATCGAGTAGCTGCATCCAGCTGAAAAAGATATTACTATGTTATAGAATCTCACAGTCTGCGACGGATAAAGGATCTATCAAAGGCCGTCAGGAGCATCCAGGCACACGCAGTAGGCCCATCGCCATCATGTTCAAGTCGAACGGAAGTGGGATGCGACAGTGCAGATTTCAGGGGAAGCAGAGTCACGTGAATCTATAGTTCAGCCCTAGCTCTACGCCCTACTTTACCTCGATGCGGGAAGTAGTTACTTTTCTGCCCTGGTAAAGGTTATTTCAAATCATTTTGTGTTTGGTGGTTGGGGCGCCCCTTTTTGAATATACTACTTTTTGTTGTTGGGGCGCTGTGGGTGTTCTTATTCGTGTGCATAGCAAGTCCCGAATCTTGCGCAGCAAAGGACCGGAGAAGGATGTTTTCTTGCCAAAAATACAGGAGAAGAATAAAAACGAATACAAAGTGAGGCGAGCCTTTCTCCCGTTCCGATTTGAGGATTCCTGTAACTATATCCCAGAACCAACCCACGTCATTAGTGGACGACATGTCTCCTTCAATCCACTATTATTTGCGCCACTCTCCAGTTCTTCTTTTTGTGCAGAAATTCTTGTTGTACCCCTTTTTCTTGCAATGGCATTATTGGCCAAATAGAGGACAGTCGACAAGAAATCAAATAGATAATAAGTAGATCAACCAAATGCCGGGTCTCTCTAGGATTATCAGGTAGGGGATGCTCCCCAGGTCATTACCTGACTCCTGTTCTTTGTCCCCTGTGACAGACACACGAGGGCGTGTGTTTTCGTTAGTTACCCAATGAGAGACGAAAGAAATAGTGGAAAAAATAAATAAATAAATAAGAAATAAATAAATAAATAAAAACATGAAATGCTAGATCTTTCGCTGGGAACATCCAGTCTCTACTTCAATCGCACGAAAGCCAATCAGTGACCGCCCGGTCATATTTACTCTTGAAATCGGCAACTAAAATGCCGGAATGGTTTTTTGCATCATTGCGCAACAACTTGCATCTCGCGTTCCTCGACAAGACAAGGACGGCCAAGCGTAGTGCTTACCGGCTTTTCCAGGTGAGCTGAGCCCAAGCCCATCTTGTGGGGTTAAAGATTAAACTCATGGAATTTGCCCTCCACTCTAGCCGTTTTCAAGATGAGAAGAGGGTAGTTGATGCCCTGTTGATATATTTGGCTTCTTATTACTAGCCCGTGGACAACGACAGACACTTAAGAGAGGATCAAGTCCACCATGTCCCTAATACGAAGCGCGTGTCTTGGAAATACCTTCCCACTGGACTTGGGATGGCAAAGAGCTGAGAGTTGATTCTGTGACAGGCTGCATTGGAATTGACCTGGGCAACAAGGTTACTGAGCCCAATGTCACCATTGGCATGAAAAGAAGAGGTGAACAAAGAATTTGAATGTGGTCGGCCTACACGGTATTTAAGATCTTGAATCTCGCCTCAAGTAACTAATACCCCCATGCTCGAGGAATTCAAACGAAACCAAGGAATCGGATGACAAGCTCTAGCGCAGGGCATGTCGACATCTTGACGATCAATCATTGTGCTGACAGAACAATTTATGCAGAGCAACATTCTTGACCGCTGCCTGCAACAAGCCACAGGTCGCGACCATCAGCTCAACTGAATATATCGATTTGATCTTCGCGCTCTGCTGACGGGTACCAGCACATCTACGCCATGTTCCATTTCGTGTCCATATCACTGGAATGTTCAATGCTGGATTCCTTGATCACGACACAACCCCTCCCAGCATTTCTGCAGTGCCCACAACTTATTAAATTTTGACAGATATGAAAATGAATGGGAATCTCGCCGAGTTCTTGCTCCACAAAAGGACATCCATGATATTGTGGTGATGGAAGCATGCCAATTCCAGCATGTGTTTGCCGCATTACCACTAATATGGGCGAGCCACAGCATCAAGATATACCTCGTGCATCATGTTCTCGCTGGCCTAAATAATGGAGAATTGGACTTGGGACTTGGTGAATATCCATTCGAATTGTCAGCAGATTGGATGATCCCCGGTAGTCACAATTACTAGTAGGCAAGGTTTCAGCGTGGCTGGCAGCCTCACTTTATGTCCAAGCAAACTGGGAACAGAGTTGCAACTCTCGACGGACGTTTTCATTTTTTGTTAAACTCGGCTCTATAACCAGATCGCGAGTTTCAGACAATCTTTAAAATACCTACTTGTTGGCACACAAAGAGCTCTCCAAATCACACACAGAAATTCCTTCTTGACATAATCTCTCCAATATATGCTCAATTGATTTTGTGATTGCTTTTGTTTGCTAGTTTATCTTTTGGTTTTTTTTTTTTTTTTTTTTTTTTTTTGCAGCGCCCTGCACACGCCGCAAACCACAGAACGCACGTCAAGCCAACTTTCCAACACAATTTCAGGCTGTTCTGTACGTAAACGCCTTCATTTCACATATGTTGCCTTTTAAAACCCTCATATTTTTTATAATATCTTAACAAGACTGATTAACCAATTCCTTAGGAAATAGATATGCTATAATTCCCATAGGAATCTAGAGATTTTTATGCAGCCAAAGAAACTTATCAATTTCATCAAAATTGGCAATCATCAAAGAAAATTGTGTTTCCAAGGGCCAGGATCGAATTCCATCCACATTCTTCTAGAAAGAGCTCGTCCTTGGTATCTTCTCCCACATGGAGATGGGTTTGCAGAACGAAAAAAGAAGAAGTCGTCGGGAAGGTGAAGATGTGTCCAGCAAATCATACTACATCGTGAACGATTCAAATGGTAATCCCAAGAAGAATCCAGGGGGATTCCATCAAGATTCGCACTCTCCACGCGGAAATCACTCACCTTCTCTTATGAATGAGAGCTTCCCCAGAGTACCATCACGCACTAGTGATGAACACCATCCATCATCGCACTCACTAATTACTGGAACGTACGGCAAAATCATGTTTATTCCAGCCCATATGATGCTCCCCCCTGAGGAAGCATCACTACTCCGTCGCGCCCGGCAATTTCCACCTGTAACAGCATGTTCGCTCGGCGAACTCAGCCTGGAGTCCATTATCAAAAACACCCAGCTTCGAATGGATGTTAATTTTGATAAGGATCTTCATTTTCGACCAGTGGGTGGCCCGGCAAAGCTGAAGGTGGCAGATGAGTATTGGCGAGCGATCGCCATCGAATTTTCGATATATGCCTTTTGCACCAGCCACAGCATCAACTTCTCTCTCGACCTCGACTCTTCACTTCCAATCCACCAGGTCTTTCAAGCAAGACTACCAAAAATGCTTGATATTTTGCGGGAAATATTATTGACTTTGGTTCCCGAACGAGATTGCCAATGCGTAGAGGAAAATTTGGACATTTCGTTTCTTATGAAGCAGATTGAAAAAGGAGTCTTAAATTTGGTTGGACTTGCTGAATGGCTTGCGACTTTGTTGAAAACCCATTGTGCACCCATGAGAGACCATATGGCTGATGAAATGGTCAAACATATTCAAACGGGTTGTCAATTGCAAGATATGAACGAAATCGCGGAAGGTCTGAAACAGCTGTTCGCGATTCTCGAATCAATGAAGCTGGTAAGCCGGTAGATTACTCTCTACACTAAAACCTATAAAGGCTGACCCTATGGAAATATAGGATGTGGCAAATCATCAGATACGCGTCTTCAGGGTACTTCTGATACAAGATTCAATTGAGTATCTGACGAAATACTTCCACTTCAGCATGAAAAAATCGCCCAGGACTTTCAGAGAAGCGCAAGATGCAAGGGACTGGTATCTTGGATATCGACGCCTAGAACGGTACCAGAACAATCCACAACTTGTTCTCAATAATTTCGAATCCGCTAAGGTCTTATTCGAAGGCTTATTTAGTATTCTGTGCTCGTTCGGCTCGCCAAAATTGTTTCCCAAAACCTTCCAATTCGATATCGATAGATTATGCAATATTCAGGATAATTTCGAGACGCTCGTTTTACTTCAAGTATGTTACCAGGTGTTTAACGCAGCGGTGAGAAGGATATATGGAGAGATTTCCTTCTGCACTTCAACGTATAACTCTCTGCAATCTCGCATACTATCGGTCCTCAAATATGGCGACTACCAATCAGTGGAAACCCGTCCTCCAGGAAATTGCACGATAGATCGGTTCCGAGGCAACATACCCAACATCGCTCTAGAAATTGCACGAGTTGCGCATATGATGCAAGATAGTCACTGCGGAGCGACATATCCAGACGAAAGTACCATTGACTTTGCATCAAGCATGCTTCGTTCACTTCTGTGGTTCAAAGATGCTCAGTTTTGGGACATTCGCGACTGTATCCAGCAAGATCTGCAGAGTATTACGATCGAGTTTGCAGAACAATTCTGGTCAATGACAGCACTTGGTGTGGCCGACTCGCAGAACCTTGGGCGATCATACGACCACATGTCGTTGCCTCAGATCCCCGATTTACAATGCCTTGGAAAACGTCTGGCACATATTGGACTGTTGCATTGGAGAGTTTGGGCTCCCTTAATCTATTCTCCAGAAGATGGGGTGTGAGTCCATCCGGTGCTCCTAGTTTTATCTACGATGCGATCGTTTTGAAGATGGAAGTCTGACTTTACCATCAATCAAGCCTTGGCAGTCGTAATTCAGGCAACCGGAATATTCCATGAATGGGAACAGCTGTGCTTCTGTGGCATTGCACTGTACATATATCTTGCTTTTATTGTTGTTTGCATTCCTTTCCTTTCATTTATTTGCTTTTATACAACTCCCAATCATACCATCTTGTCATTAGCAATTCTTTGCATTTTCATTTGTTCCGTTCACATATACCCTCATAAAACGACCACATCCCTCCTTTCATTTACATATACCCACTTTCCGTTTTTGCACTGCCACATCAGCGATCATATTGCACATTAGGAGTTTAGTGCTTTGGAGAATACCACGAATACCCGGAATGAGCTGGAATCTAGAACATGACGTATCAAAATTTGTCAGGTTGAGCGAGGAGTTGAAATCGACGGTAGAAAAATTCAAAGAAGCAAGCAAGTGCGAAAACATATTTCCGAAACTTACATTCGTTTATCCTTTTTCGTTTTTTAATCTCTTTGCCTTTTTGTTTCAAGTGTGATTTTATCATCAAAATAGCCTAGTGTTTTCCTCTTTCGGGAGCTGTATCTTAACTATTTCAAAGGTAAAAAATATTGATACTTTTGGGGGATGAATTGAACCCTGAAATCTAATGTTCAATGGAACTTACATCTAATATAAAATTGACCTTTTGTTTGATTTTCCACTATAAAGCAGTTGCTCGGAGGACTTCTATTTGCAATCAGTAACAATAGATAAGAATGGCTTTTTACATATCTAGTGATAGCGTGGAACACTGTTCCCCAGAAATGATAAGAATTATAAGTTAAATGCACAAAATACTTTTGCCTTTTTTTACCCCGACTCTCATCGTGGATTCTAGTAAAATTCTCCAGAGTCTTGAGAATGAAGCGTTTCAGGCTTTCCGAGATTTTCACACTTTTCACTTCTTCTTTCTCTCTCCCAATATTAGTTAAAATGTATATCTCTAAATATATGTTAACCCTTATATTTTGGCGACCAAGTCTGTAGATCAACCTTAACTTTAATTGGCCAACGGACCCACCTCGGGTCGATAAGAGCCCCGCAAATTAAGGTTCGGGACGGGAGACAACTTTAATTCTTCCCAACTTTGCTAGACTGGAACTGGGCATCTATCAACAAAAGTTAAACGTAAAACATCAAACAAAACAATAAAATCTTATTATAATAATGCCCCCTCCAAGTAACTGACTAATTTTCTCACGTTTTACGTATTTGTATGCTAATTTTTGACTTCATCCGAGGATCCATCCCTCTTCCCCCCCTTTTTTTATATTATAATTAGCTGAAATATTACAGCCATAGTAAGGAGGTACTGTCAATATCTGCGGATGCAAGAAGCTAAGGGGGTATGTATGACTGCACTTATCCAAGGAAAAGAAAGGTACAGGTACTCTAGAGAGTCGTCACCCAACATGCAAACCAAAAGTCTACAAAGCTACACATATATACGTATGTACACACATGTTGCCATCGCCCTTCCAATCCTACACAGGCTCACTAGAAATTCTCCTCTTCAGTCTCTTTATCCTCTCAGCCTTCATTTCTCGTCTCGCCTTCCGGTGTTCTCGCATGACCGCCAGGTGATCCTTGACTGGATGCCAAAATGCATACACAGAAATAATGCTGACGACCAAGAACCCCGCAGTCCCACAAACATACCAGAAGTACTGTTCGGAGCGCGAGGTGTCTGAGATGCCTTGCAAGTTCATGCCGAAGTAGGAGGTGCAGAAGGATAATGGGAGGAAGATTACAGTTACAGCGGTAAAGAGCATGATTGCGCGTTGTTGGCTGTCGCGAACGATAGTAAGTTCATTTTGCTCGATGGTGCGGAGATGAAGGAGCTTGGTGGGAGTGGAGAGGTTAGCCAATGGGGTGAAGTATGAGGGTTAAATAGGAGGCTTAGGTGCTAGAAACGGTTTTGGTTTACATCATTCATGGAATTTTGGATTTCATTGGAAATATTTCCAATATCATCCCGTTGCTGGCGGATTTTGCCCAGAGCCCAATCAACCCTGTGTATACTAGACTCGCCGTCAGGGTTATGCGGGGCGTCATTTTTTCGGTCCTCTGTATCGTGAATTTCAACATCTTTACGCAGGCGGGTAAACAAGTCTTGTCTCGACGCCAACATCTTGGCCATAAACCTGATCTCCTCCATGCACTGCAAGAATGTCCTCGTCAGACGCACGGTCTCATCACGCCTCCAGGGTTCATAGGTCCGCAGTTTCTGAAAATTTCCTGTCAGTATGCACGAATAGGGGTTTACAGAGCGAGATTCGCTACTACGAACAAGGTCACGAAGAATGTTTTGGTATGCTTCCACAATCGAAATCTGATTATGGCCAAGGGTGTCATTATGTGGACATGTACCGATTTCAGTGGCGAGGTGAACCACCAGCCATTCAGCAGTTGGCTTTTCCCACGTGCTTGTCCCAGTATGAGCAAACTCCTTCAGTGTTTGTCCCACAGCTGAAGCCCCTGGATTTAGTAGAATATCATCAGGAGACTGTCGGAGATATTCTAGTAGTCGAGCATCGAGGTAATTGATGCCTTTTGTAGCAGACATTGTCAAGAGAAATCCTGGTTAAAATTATCAGCCTATGCTAAGCTCTATCATTTCAATGGGGAAAGATAAAGAGCGAACCATCACGTCTATGGAAAAACCGGAACTCATTTCGGACGAGCTGGGCGTCAAGAAATGATGGATGGCTTGAAAGGACTCGAAAATCACAGCTGTTCATGAGTGGCTTGATTCGACCTAGGGGCCCGCTCGCGCATATTGGAAGCCCATCTGAGATTTGCCAGGGTATGTCGGATGCAACCAGTTCCCAGAATGTGAGGTCGGTGTTAAGATGATCTGCTCGCCATTCTAAATCACCCCGCAGACTTGCATTTCTATCACCCCGAAGACACTCCCAGTCTAGCGGATCAGGTCGATTTCGTGACTTAGAGGCGTCTGAAGTTGAGATATCACCGTCAGCCTCTAATTCTGATCCAGACAAATGCTCCATTTTTGAGAGGATGCAATATGTGTCACGAAGGTCCTCGATTTCCACCCGATGCCGAAAATTCAAGGCATCGAGCTCAACGTAGGCAAAGCCAACATGGCCAGCATTTTCAAATGGACGAGGTTCCTGGCTATTTGCATGTCGAAATAGGTCTTCAATTGACTATAGCAGATTGAATGGTTTTTATTTCAGCTCGTATGTCCAGCAAAGCAGTCGATAGGGACGAAATACCCCACTCACAGAATGATAAATTCCTCTGCCAACTGGGACATGTCTATTTCACTGTTAGCTATTGTGATGGTTATTGAGCAAATTAGGAAATATCAAACTTGTCTTACATCCAACGGACTTGAGCACCCTCCGGCTTATTCTGCCACTCTTGGGAAAGTCAGCAAACTTTCCCATACATCCACATCGAATTCTTTGTTGCAACGATATAGAACGTTAGACACGTACGGACTTCAATATCCCCAAGAAGAACTTCCTGTAGTTCTGCATGATTTGGATAGAAATCGCACACTTGCGCCTTGAGCAGAGCCCGGGGAGGAAACTGACACAAAGCCAAGTTGTGAAGGTCTTGGTCCGAAGGGAGATTCGAATATCCGTTGAAAAATGCAGAGAAAAGAAGGTGTTTCATCCCATTGCTACTTCGTTCCTCGTGTAGCTTTCGGATAGAGCTGAGGGTTGCAGCATGTCGTTTGTCTCGTGCCTTGGGTACAATTTCCACTGTTGCAGCATGGGCAGCCCTTGTACGGTCAAACTTATGTAGCATTGCATCTGTTCGTATCGTGACTTTTTCTCCGTTGTCACTATATGTAGTGTCAGCGACATCGGAATCGTCGACGGAAAAAAAAAAAAAAAAAAAAAAAAAAAAAAAAGGGAGATTTGGATAGAACAGACGATGATTTTTCATGGATTATGACAGTGTCAATGGTCGCATCCGTTATCTCTACCACATCGATAGTAGCCATCTTTCAAGGAATCAATCTCTTCAGCTGTAAATCCGACCTTCAGGATTCACGAGAAAATTAAAATATCAAGGATGCGCAAAGGTTCATGCTTTGCAAACATTTTCAGAGGAAGTTCTGTCTTCCTTAGATGCGTTCGTGAAGATCAAAGGAGGAATAAAACAACTCAGGGAACTCTAAGCCCACTTGAACTGCTACCAGCCCCGTATGTTAAAGCGCCCTTCAGGCTTCAGCCTGACTGATTCACAGCCTCAAACAACGGGGATTGACGGGTGTTCATGTTGAAGCGAGAAACAGAAACTAACAAAATTGAGCAGCACCCTAGTGACAAGCTAATGCAAAAGGTTCGTGTTGATGGAAGATGGAATAATAATAGAGCCTCGGGAGTACGAAGTTGTGGACTGAATGATACTATTATTATATTATTATGGACAAGGCTTTCCGACTTAATGCTAACACTGGCGAGCATAACAGACATATATCCTTGGGAGGCCTCCCCGTTACAGTTGCAACTCATCCCCAAAAGTCTCCTTTTGCTTCCAGTACCTATTAGCACGCATGAAGAAGTTGAGAGGATTACCATCTCGTAAGCACAAACGTTGATCCTGTAAAATCCTCGAGGAAAAGGGCGGGAACCTTGGAAGAACCTTGCAACACGCTCACTAAAAGTCGCCTTTTAGCCAAAGGCACACAACTGAGGCAGCCCAAGGCATGTCCACAAATGGGGTGTATGTATCAGATTTCGCCTTGCATAATCTTCTGTGGTTACGATGCCGCCCCAATTAGCTATCTGCTAATAACGTTAGTTATTGGTTGCCTTTTCCAATGTTTATTAGTTAGCGTGTACTTAAGAAGTTGAAAGCCCCACACTGAGGGGCCATAGAGAGATCTGAAACTGCTCCCGCTCTCTCACAGATCTGAAGAGAATTCTCAACAATTGCAAGAGACATACTGATTATTTCTTTGAGACAATTGGTAGGAAATTTTGATTTGCGCTTCCATCTTGCTCAATGCTATCTATTTCTCTCCGATACGAAGTTGAGCGGAAACAGAGTTCAGTGGAGAATATAATAAAATGTTGAACTATTTTAGCAGTAAATTATTATATATTTACATATATAAAACCTTTTTTTAATTATTTATTTTTATTTATTTTATATAAAATGCTAAATATTACTTTTAAATCTTTTATTCTCTTTTATCTATAATAGCTCTTTTAATTAAGATGAGGTGAAATAAAAGAAAAGTTAGTTAAAAATAAATATTTTATTTTAATAAATAATGTCTACATATTAACAGTCATGAGAAGAGAGTAGAGATTTGTATATAGTTATAAATTTCTCTTCAAAATGCTTTATGTAACTAAATGACTAGAGATGTAAAATACACTTTGATTAACTTCTAAATATTATTAAAGATTATTAAAAGAGTTTTATAGAGATTATACTTTTATAAAGCTTTGAACACTTAACTAGTACCTGTCTATTATAGTTTAAGACTAGTTATGAATATTAAACTTTAATAATAATAGTAACTAACTGTCCACAATTATAAAAATTTAAAATTTGAAATTTTTTTTCAATAATTTTTTATTTATAATATATTAATATTATAAATTTTTTTTAAAAAAGTTATCTACTGATATCTCTGCTAATAAATTATATAAATATACGTAAAATTATAAAAAGTTAGTATATTGTTTATTTGATACTTTAAATTACAAAGAAAACAATAATAATAAATCTATTAAAATTAAACTTCTATGAGAAAGTTTTACTGAGATTATAGTTTTAATTAAAATCTTAATATAAAAAGCTTTTAATCACATTTATTGTTAGATTTTTCAAGTTAGTACTGTAAATTTAAAAGCTTTAATAGCTGTATAAATCTATTAGATATAGATTTTTTAATAGTAAGATCAGATCAAATAAAATACTTTAATTAGTAAATCTATACTTTGTAACTTTTAAGCAACAGTTACAAACTTCTCAAACTCTGACCTTTTGAGCTATAAGACTTTGTTTATTATCATCATTTAGCATCTCAAACCCTTTTCAACTGAAGGATTGCAGGAGACAATAGTCATTGTGACAAAATAACTTAAAAGCAAGAAGAAAAAATGTTCAGATGATAAATAGTGTTTATTCACAGTAGGAAAAGCTCGTGTGTGACATCTTGATATATATAAAGATAACCGCTGACTTCATTTTAGAGGTGTTGAGCAAGGGTAGCAAAAGCAGCATCACACACAGAAAGGGGCTCTAAATTGAGTTGCTAGGCCATGCTCTTGGGATGACACCCTCGGGATCCCCTATCACAACCAAAACATGTCTTTGAAATCTTTGAAGTACGTTCTGACGAGGAACGGCACACAAGAATGGAACGTCATCACGGTCATCAAGAACAACATTGTGATATCTGAATTTTATTTGAAGAGGTAATCTCTACCCCAACACTCTTGACAGTTTGATGCGTCAAGTTAGTTAGTGACTTTGCCGTAGTGAGATACCATGTCGGTAGAACGTTTTGATATACATTCTGCCCTTCGTAGAGTTGGAGAGCGCCACCAGAAGGGGAGGTAGACTTTTTAGCAGGGAATGGGTTCAACCCCAAAAATCAGCCCTTGTTAGGCGAGACAGGCCCCCAAGAACGCCTAAAGCCTCCCCGAAGTCCAGGCATTCCAGGCTCCAACAAGAACCAGAGCAACATCCCCTACCCCTCCCTCCTTGTTGCAGCAATATGACTGGCTAAACCTAACTCAGGATGTCGCAAGCCCCGCGCTGCGGCTTGTCTAAGGGCCTTTTTTTTTTTAATTCCCCTTTTATTCCTTTCTCGTTCTTTTGTAAATGGCTACCATTTGGTTATGCATCGGGCCCTATATTGAAGCTCAGGGTGGAAACTATGGTCAATAATGCTCCTCGGGCATTCGCCCTTCTCTTACTTCCCCCCCCTCCGCAGCCTTCTTCCCCCGCCACCCTCAACGCCGCCTACCGTCCTCCCATCAAGGCCGCGGTGCAAAAGCTCAAACGCCTCTCAGCCAACTCTTCCACAAATGCATCCATCGATATAGCACTTCCATATCTAGAATATAACATAGGGCAAAACCAGCGCACTTTCTCCGGATGTGAAGAATCAACTCTTTACAGCGTGCAAGAGCTTTTTGTCAACACATACACTCTCATCTCCTCAATATGTAACGAACAGGAAAAACTAGATACCCTACCAGGCAAAACCTACATCAATAATGTGGATATTCGAGTCATTTTAATAGGCTACGACCAGGCCTTCAACTATGACACTCTCATTCGTCCCGTGCGGCCCATACCGTCATGCATTGTCGATCTATCAGTTTTAGCTCTCTGTGATCGGAACTGGTCTCACGTATATGTGACTCAGGGAGAACCAGGGGAGCGATTGTATCGACAGTTCAGAATGCTGGTGAATGGCAAGCTCTCGTCCAGAGTTGGTGGGACGTGGGTGACGGAGCGAGTACCTGGTGGAATGAGTTTGAATATCACACGACAAACTGGACCAATCGCCACAGCAGCAACAACTGACGGGGATACAAGAAAGAGAGCAAGACAACAAGTTCTAGTTATTGGAGAGGAAGGAAGTAAAAAGACGGGGAGCGAGAGAAATACTACCGACTTGAATCAAAAACTCCAGTTAACCATAGCTCTACTCTTGGCAGAGTTCAACGGAGGTGAGGGTGGAAAAGAGAGCAAAAACGTAGATCACGAGAATTCCTCGTTTCCAATTCCACCCTCCTCAAATTCACCCCGATCACACTCAGCCCTTGAGGCTAGACGGTTTCTCCAATCCATCGTTGACTGGCGCCTTGCCGGAGATCGATTTTCGAAAACTCAGCCTGCCAGGCTTCGTTTTGAACTCAGCGCTTGTGACTCCATCGCTATCCACCCTTGGCAGTTAGCTTATCTTACGGACCCCCAACAGCAACTGGAACAGCTGCTTGCTGATACCGGCAGCGGGGGCGAAGGGGATGATACCGATATAGAAAACACCCTTGTTTTGGGCGAGTCGCAGAAAGATGGCTTAGTGAATCTACTCGAACCATTTAAGGATAGGTTTCGAATGGTGGTCTGCAAAGATCTCAAAACGTCATCATCTCCGTCTGAAGAGCTTCATCAAGACCATCTTGTTACCCAAAACTGAGGTATCTAACCTCTGATTCAACTTGGTTTCGTTTAACTACCATTTAAGTTAGCTTTTGGATTTTTAAGGACTATCGGAATTTTACCGTTCACATTTGCACTTTGATGATTTTTTTTATTTTCCGGAATTTGTTCTCGGCATATGGCTTCCTTTTATTTTACGCAGATATGTCCTATATTGAATTTCTCCTCCATATTCGCGCCATAAAAAGTTCCATGCCATCATAGATCCAACCTCTCTAAATTCGTCGAGTCATAAGGTAGTTAATATTTTTGCGTATAACGCTTCAATTTATACGTATGGGAGAAAGCATGGAAACGAGATAGTAATCAAAGGAACAAAACAGATATAAAGCCACAAAATAACCGAACAAAATAATCATTCCAGGATAGAAGCGCAAATTTTAAATGCGAGATGATGTTCCCAAGATCTCCATACAAGAGTGCCGGTTTCTGTCATTCGTCTCATAATATGGGTTTGTATTGGTCGCGTGTTGCATAACAGCAATAAGATACATGCATTTAGATTTTCCGTCAAAAACATCAGGTGTATTTCCCGGGGTATATTTCACTCAGAAATGATTATGATTTCAACAACTCTCAGAGTGTGTATATGTGTGTCTGTCAACGATGGACGGTCTCCATCCGCAAATCATCGTACGGGACACAAAGGCTCAGCGCTTTCACCATAATTTTTTGGTGCTTGATGAGTGACAGCCCGTAAGAGAAGCTGGCATTGCTCCAACCGAACCTGTAACATTATAAAAGGTCAGCATTGGCATGATACGAGCCGTAGTGGAAAACTATTTCAGCAACTTAAACAATAAATAACAGCAAGAACCAAGATAAGGAAAAGCCTACCCTTCAACATTCGCATATTTAAAATCTAGTCCCTGATTCCCATACTCCGCATTTACCTGGCTCGGGTTATCTAGTTGCGTCACATCATACTTCTCCACAATAGCTCCATGGTAATTTACTGCAACCCTGACCATGAGCTGCAGCCAGCGATACGCCAACCTCTCCATCTCATGAGTGTATCCATATCGCTTCAGTCCATCCCAGGCCAGTATCTGATGCGGCGCCCATCCGAAGGGGAAATCCCATTGCTTCGGAGGCCGGTGAGGCATGCTAACTAGGCCCCGCGACTTCTCAGTACTTGTACTCAAGCCGCCGACGCATTCAAATTTGGGTAGTGCTTTGGTAACGAGAGATTCAGCTTGTTCAGGACTGGCAATGCCGCACCAAAGCGGGTAGAGGGTTGTTACATATTCATACGTGGTGGGCTGGTGGGTTCTAGTGTTGAAGTCGAAGTACATGCCTTTTTCTGGATTCCAGAGGTATTCATTTGTACGTTCCCGACGTTTTTGGGCACGTTGAAACCAGGATGAAGACGTCTCGATCTGGCCACTCATGCCTGGTACCTGCCATTCGGCTGGGACGGGAAGATTATCGTTGAAGACAGTTTCGATAGCCCAGGCTAGGTCAGTTTCATACTTGTATAGAAGACAGTTCAGGTCCACAGTAGCGAGGTCTGCACAGCCTTGGTCGAATCGGTACCTAGATAGATGGGGTTAGTGTACAGATAATGTGGAGCGAAGTTAGTGATAGAAACAAAAAACAGACTCACGATGTGTCATGTCCTGATTCTCTTACCCCTCTATCATGCATAAAGTATTGATCAAGTTCAGGCTCATTCCAGTTCCCAGCATTATATTTGTTGATAAACTCGGGGATTGTGCAGCCGTACTTTTCGGCATATTTGTAAAGGACCGCATCAAAATGCCCCTCTTCGACTTCTAAGGGAATACCTGCACCAGGGGGCCTGAACCGCGAGAGCCCTGTGGCAGAGTCGTACCGCGGCTCAGACATCCAAACAGTGAAGTACTCTTTGATCGCAGCTAGAATTCCGGCCTTCAAAATCTCATCCGCCTCATATTTGTTGTCGAGGGCTTGGAAAATTCGCACCGCGAGATCTGTAAGGAACGGAGGTTGCGATCTGCAGAGGTAGTAAGATCTATTTGCATTTGGAATTTTGCCGTAATTCTTCACTTCGAATATAAAGTTCCTGAGAATGTCTTTCGCCAGGTCAATCCTTCCCGCTTCTAGGAGACCGAGGCACGAAAAATAACTGTCCCAATAATAGCATTCGTTAAACCGGCCACCAGGGACAACAAACTGCAGTCCTCGCGGTTTCTCCGGGTCCGAATAGTCCATTTCAAGCGCAAGCAAGCCAGGCCGGTCCCGGAGGGAATGGACAAATTCACCTGTAACTTCTCCCTGAGGGAGATATTGAACTTGAAGTTTCAATTGGGGTTTGCTCTCCGAAACTTTGCAGTAATAGTTATAAAGTCTCTCTTCGCCGTATGGAACGTAAATCCGTGGTCGTGGGTTCTCATTCCAGTCCTTGGGATCTGGCGCGGCAGCCTCGATCATCGACTCATCCAGCCGTCTGGTCAAATTGCTCCAGTATTGTTCCTTGATCTTACGGTTTATACGAGACACTGGGTCTTCGGAGACATCGCTAAAGTGAATCACCTTTGATGCGCGTTTCCCCTTGGTCAGGTGAAGTTCCTCAAGGAGGTTTGCAAGAAGATACGTCCCCCGAATTTCCCGAGTCTTTCCGCCGTCGGAGAGCAAAGTCCCCAGAGAGACCACCTAGTTTGGATTTAGAATTCTATTCCTCAACAGGTTATATCTTCTCACCTTTGGCCCATTGTCAAGCACGGTAATCTGCAAGTTCCTGTCCGTATCTTCTTGATCAAGCAAGTTCTCCATGGTAACATCCACCCAAACCTTGAAAACAGGCGGAAGCGAACCCTCATCTGCGTTTCCGGTTAGCAAATTTTCGAGCAGGACGGGATACTGGCAATAGGAACCTACCGTGGCTTCCTCGACGTGTGCGCGACGCTAGAAGTTGTTTTGGGATCGCTGGCTGCTCAAAGTATTAGCCGATGCACTTTCAAAATCCACAGTATAAACCCCAACTAGAAAAGCATCATCGAGTAGGAACATATACAAAGGTACGAATGATACTCCAATATGATGGGGATGGTTTTTGGATTGAGCCCACCTACTGCTCGAAACCCCACTACTCACAATGGATGAGCACTTTCTGAGTACATGGGCTGCGTGGCTTAAGGCACGTTCAGTGAGGGGAAGAATCAACGGCGTGCTGCTCTTCTCCATTCTTGTGGTCGGCTGGGTTAAGGATGCCTCAATTGATGGAACAAGCTTTCGGCAACTTGAACGGTGTGGGCAAGTGATCTATTCGAAGGTCTAAGAGTTTGAGACTCGAAGAATACAACACAACAAGAATATCTCAACCAAAAATAAATATATAAATAGATAAAACTCTCCGTTATTTTGATAGACAAGAGAAAACAAAATAAATGCAGCAGATTCGAGATCATAATATCTCTCAGCTTACGTGGCTAAGCGCCGCGGGGTTATATCATATGAAGGGTTTCGTAGGGTTGAATCAATCAAATCCGCAGTTACTCAGTGATCGAACCTATGATGGGCATGATGGGCAAAACTAATGACTTTAATAGGCCCATGCACACAGCCAGTTTGTTTCACTGTCCTTTGATGATTCTCAATGCAGTTGCTGCTGGCACTAGAGAGCTCTTGAAATTGAATGATTGGTGTCATATATAATAAACAACTTTATATCACATGCTCTCCACGTCCTGACATTGATGCATTCAATTCCAGTCATATATAAAGGTGATACACACAGAGAGAAATCATATAGAGAAAAGAGGAGACGAGAGAGAATGCCTTCTACCCTAAACCCAATAGGAATAAATTACCTGGCTGGCACATCCAATACCAAATATCTACAAAAAAAGGCTATTAATGAGGCAAATTAAATTCCTCATTCCATCCTATAGCAGGAGAGGAATTCAAAAATAATTTTCCCAAACGGGGTGCCAAACACCAATCCACTGCAAAACCTCTATGGCGCATCCGCATTTCTAACCTTTAGGGGTGCCTATTCACAGATGAAGGCCTTTGGCGTTGTGAACAAGACGAGTTCCCGAAGCCTTGTATTAATACTAATAGTTAAAACGGCTTGGAGACACGTTTACCACAAACGAAAAGGGAACGGATATTGACGATGAGAGACTCTGATTACCCCTCAGTCGTGTCCATGTGGTCTGCAACGGCAGAGGCGACCGCTGCCGACTTTGCAGCCTTTCTCTCAGCTTTGAAAGCTTCGATCTTGGCTTTCAATTCCGTGTCTACAATTCCAAGAAAGAAAAAGTCAGTAACTTAGGAAAATGCTAAAATTGCGATTGTAGCAGAGAGTTTTGTAATTACTTACCGGGAATAACATCTTCGATCTTCAAAGGGGCGCGATTGAATGGATCGTTCGGATCGCTAAGGAGATGGGATCGAATTGTTGAACGGTCGATCGAGACTCGAGAGTTTGGAAGAATGACCGGATCTTCCATGAGAGTGTAAATCAATGGATCTGTTTTGAAAAAGAGATGGCGCGCATTAGCAAGATGTTTGCACACAACGTAGGAACAACATAGCGCTTTGACAAACCTAGGAACTCATCCGGAATCTCTCCAAGATCTTCTTCGGCCTGCTCATCAGCCTCCTTAGCAGCCTTAAACTTAACCTGAAGCCGTTCCCACTTTGCAAGGTCCTCCTGCGGTTTAAGAGCCCATTTACGAAGAATTTCAGCCGCCTTTTCAAAGTTTGATGGCTTGTATGATCGGCCATCCCGGGCAACAGCTATAATAAAGTTCTCCTTGTCCATGAGATTTAGATATACATCGATAATCTCGCTTAAAAGTGCCCGCGGATTGAAGCCATACTCTGCCAAGTTATCAACTCGAAGATTGGCGCTCTTGGGGCCAACCATAGCATCTAAGTTGTAATCTAACATGTCAGCCAGTCGTTGAACGATCTCTGGCATAGTAAATGACTCCGCCAAGGCGTCTGTGAATAGCTTAAGCATAGCGACTGTTTCGTTCGTCAGCTGCATGTACGATTTAGCTCGGCCTTGTGCGGCAGCCAGTTGCTCTTCCTTTTGCTGGCGAGCAGATTGCTCCATGTTCGAAGCTTCACGGGAAAGCTCTAGCTGCAAATCATGGATCGTTAGGAATGCCGTAAATGATTCATCAAGAACGAATGTAACATCGTTTAGAAGGAGATTAACAAAGCGAACGAAGAAGTCAAGGTTCTTTTTTGCTTCGTTATGAAGATGTTCCCGGTAGATGGGATTTGACCAGATACATTGGATAATCTGGAAGATCTCGTATCGGATATTAAACTTATCGAAGAATTGCGTGTGCGTCCCCGTAAACTCGGCTTCTATGTAAAATTTCAGCAACGCGTGAAGGAGGTGCTCAGTGGCGAATGGTAAAGAGTGCAGGATATCAACAAGCACGCCTCTAGACCCATTGCGTCGACGCCAGGTTCCACGGTAGAGAATCGTAATTAACCCAGCTTTGAGATACGGGTTTTTGATATATTCCGAACTTTGCAGGAAGGTAATACAGAGCATAACCAACTCATCTCCTTGGGTGGATGTTACCACGTGAGGCATATTCCACATAATAAATTTGAAATTGCTGACAACATCATCCACAAAGTATTCTGGAAGGCATTTAAAATTATCGGGTTGGGTCATAGGGAGGGGTAAATTCAGAGGCTCGGTTGGGAAATTACGTCCTGACACAATTCGCAAGAGCCAGACAATAACATATCGCATAAATTGCATAGACCGGGCTTGCCACAGATCATCTAGCAAGATGCCTTGTAGAGTGTATTTGAACGAAAGACCAAGATCAAATCGATCCTTATACTTCTTCAATGCATCTTCAAACATCTTGAGCTGGGTCGGATTGGAACGCCACTTATTTCTCTCGAGTTCAAATTTATCGATTTGGGTTTCCATGTGGCGAAGATCCTTCTCTAGCTGCTCTAGCTTGGTCGTTAATGACTCACTTCCGTAGTGATGTGCAGCAACAGTCAGGAAGAATATTTCGGTAATGAAATTTGATGTCCCTTCCTTTACTTGGTCGTAGAATGCATCTGAAGCATGTTGGTCGGCGTTAATCTTAGTTTCGTCTCTCATATGAACTCTAGGATTCCGTTTCAAATAGTTGATATCAATTCGATCAATCTAACAAAATCAGCAAAAGTTGTATGCTATCTGAACAGGAAGGGAAAGAAAAGGAATATGTACTTTCGTGAATGCAGCATCCATGAATGGCTCACAGAGTTGGTCAAGACATGTAGTGATATTAAACATGAAACCGTCCGAAGAAACGGTCTTCGGATCAACTTGAAGTGCCCTTCTCTTGTGGTTGAGGTTAACAGATGCAGCGAACCAGTCAAGGACATGTTCACGAGCGGGCTTTGATGCTCGGATAAAATGGTTGACGATATCCAATAGGTCTGAACTAAGCAATTGTTGCATCATGCGTACAGCCCTTTGTGAGTTGAGGATGAACCCTTGGTCCCGAGTTTTAGGGCTCGAAAAGTAGTTCATTGGTACATCACGATGCAAAGGAGATAAACGGAACCAAGGTCCCAAAAGCGTTGCAGTTTCGAGCCTTTCAGCATCTACGGGAGCATTAAATAGCTTTGACTCAGTGATAGCAACGGCCAAGGGAGGAAACCGAACCAGGTTTCGCAGTGCCTGTCATAATACTAAGCATAGGATTGGTCTTCAGAGGATTTTCTTTAACATACCATCACATAGGGCTTGTAATCAAGATCCAGAGTCAGATTGGCAAGTTCACCACTCATCTCTTCGACAGCGCCAACAAAGGCGGGAAGCACAGTTTCATCCTCAGTAGATCTTTTAATCGCTTCTGTGATAAAGTCATGACATATGCCTAGATCATCTTCGGGATCTTGAAGGAGATGGGTCTTCAGGAGTGAAGTGGAGGCATTATCAAGTCTAAAAGCCATATTAGATATCTTAAAGAAATGAATATAAATAACACATACCCGAACATTTCCGGCATAGTCGCTGCAAAAATGCAGTAGCTCATGCATAGCCGCCTGGCTTCCGAAACTATAGAATACTTGCGATCCTCTGGGCTCGACTTCCGGAATCCTTTATAAAGCCTCGTTATCCGCTTCCAACACGGGAGCAAGTATTCCATGGGGTTTCCATTGTCTGTCGTAGATGCAGCTTCTAAAATAGCCTGGTCCAAAATGTCAACTCTCATCCGAAGGAGTTCCCCCTGCTCCTGCAGCTCCTGCTTTACTCCAGGGAGGTAAGAAAGCTTCTGCCCATGGACATCCGTTCGTCGGGTTTCATCCAACGTGACCCGAAACACAGCCCTCAAGGTTTTATCCTCAAAATCCTCGATCGACTCACGGGGTCGCGATGGAGGCCGGGACGTGCTGGATATCCTGGGCAACTCCACCTTGTTCTGGGATTGGGACAGCCCTATTCTTATCCGGGGAGACCCTTCGTTTGACAGGCACATATCCGGCTGAGATGGTATAGGGAGTGGCAACGTCAGCGGTGTTGATTCGCTCGAGACATTGATATGGGTCCCTTGGGATATAGGCTGTTCCCCGGTGGAAGATGGTGATAATGGTGTCTGAGGGTGTGATTCCGAATCGTTGTCGCTTGACTGAGAGCAGGATTCTGGCCGCGAGCTGGATTGAGAAGGGCCTGAAGCTTGAGATCCAAGCTTGGCCAGCCGTTTATTACGGATCTAAGAGTTGCAGAGGTCAGTGATATGCATCAAAAGGAAGCAGTATATTGGATATCATAGAGCCTTGTGTGATATGCCCAGTACAATGATTGTATGTAAGTACCTTGTCCGCATCGAGGGGTTCCGCCATGTTTCAAGAACTGCGGGTTCACAGTTCAAGTTGTCCAATAGACCTGGCTGATGTCGAAGGTTCTACAAACACACTGGAAGCTGAAATAAACAGGAGAAAGGAGCGTGTATCATCAGTCTTGAACAATCATATTGTTGCTGTCGCGAGCAAGTGGTTGCTAGGATTGCCTATGACAGCTGCCAAGCCCCCCACGACGAGTTTATCCGGGAAGGCTGCAACACGGCACCTCGGAGCAAGAGGTTACTCCGGCTACCGGAAACGCCAAGACCCAACTGGCTTTGCGGCGTTTCTAGAAGATGTGCAGCTCTGCTACTAAGGGGAATACAGCGGAGACGATTGATTGGATGATATACACTATATAACAACAACCAGGAGACTACTACACTTTGAAAGGTCTTGCAATCCAGGTAGAACGAATCAAACCATGTGCAATGTACGGTTCAATCGTTTTAATTACAAAGTCTTTGAAGCATAGATTTAAAAAAAAAAAATTGAAAATTGAAAATTGAAAAAAAAAAATTAAAAAAAAATAAAAATGAAAAAATGAAAATGCAATAAAATGAAAAATGAAACAAAGAAATGATTGAAATGAGAACAAACAATAAGGCTAATATCCCTGGGTAATGCTACTGGCAGAACGCCCAAACTCAATCAGACACAAAAAAACAAAATATTATTCTCTAATCATACCGTCAGCTACAACCGGAGAACGCAAAGTGGAGAAAAAAGTGCAAAAAATATCGAAAAGACACATTCAGAGCTTCAAAGAATTTAACTTTTTGCAACTCCGAAGCTCCAACGATCGTGCCTCCTTCAGCTTCTCGACGTCTGGGAAAAACCACCCCTGAGCATCTTGTATCATCTGCTCCCGTGCTTGGACTTCGCGTTCGCAATCATGTCGTAGGTTCGATACATAATCAATCTCAACCTTTTGGTCAAGCTGGTGGAATTTGCGCGCACTGAAATCTTCTACTTCTGCCGGGTTTATGAAATAGTCAAGTTTGAGCTTTGGGGTGGTTCGTTGCATCGTATGCGGGGGGGAGGCACTGCCAAATCGAAGGGAAGGTCCAGAAGAGGTTGAGCTGGAGAAGAAAGAAGTGAGGAGTGGGAGGAAGAATATGAGGAGGAGCGGGATAAACTGGGCGAGTGACGCCATGCCCCCAGGTTGGGTATTGGCACCTGATTGCTGATCTGCCTCACGGGGTCGTCTCCGGGGTCGTGTGCCGCCAAATTGATGAACACGGATGTTGGGACCTCCTCCCATATTAAAGACAAACTGTGGCCCACTGTCAAACAACCCCCCACCTATTATATCTATCAGTAAACCAGTACAGAAAAGAAGTCGGCTGATATAACGGGTTTTATTACCAAAAGGTCCAAAGCCTCCTCCACCAAAGAACCTATTGAAAAGTTCCTCTGGCGATATCTCTTCATTATACATTGGTCCTCTACCCCCTCCTGGTTGGAATCCACCGAATCCGCTGAATGACGACGCCGACGACGATCCTGGAGAAAATCGATTGTCCGGATCTCCACCAAACTTGTCATATTTGGATTTTTTGTCTGCATCCGATAGTATCTGAAATGCTCGGGATATCACTAATATAACCAAAAAGCATTAGTTATACTAACCCACTGACCAAAGCATTCCCCGCATTAAGCGGGAGATCATGCCCCTCAAAAATCAATCACCAAACCAACACAATTTTCCCTAGGATCAGGAATGAAATCCCTTATAGCTGAAAATAATCAAAGAGGATACAAGCATGGAAGAAGTGATCATACTCTTAAAAGCCTCATCTGCCCCCTCAAACCCATTCTTATCGGGATGTGTTAATAAACTGAGCTTCCGATAAGCCTTCTTAATCTCTCCATCGGACGCCGTCTTCTCTACAGCTAGGATCTCGTAGAAAGCAGTCGGTGAACAGTTCCGTACTCGTATCACTGCCGCTCTCTGTTCTGGAGTGTATTTCCGATCCTGGTTCCCTTGGTTATGCTCTCTGGATTTGGCAGAGCCGTTGGGAGTTGCATCCGCACCGGAAGCTGTCGCGGAGGGCATCTCTTCTTTTCTGAAAAGGTGCTCTAGATTTAGGATGTTTAGGATACGTGACTAGAGTTGGGTCGATTCGCGGGGAAGCGGAGGTTGAGATAGTTAGGAGCCCTGGAGCGAGAAGAGGTGAGATGGTGAGCTTGCGATGTATCTCGGCCACAACGAGTGGCAGAGGCGGTTGGTACCCTCCCCTATATAACGAGAGAAGACTCTAGGGTTTCTATTTTGCAGTCCTGGAAGAGTTGCAATCGAAATATCAGAACAACACACCTAAGTTGGTCGAGTTGAAGATAAAAGGTTTGCGTATGGTGTTGTTTTGGGACCATGGTGGCTTGAGATCACGTGGTTTCGCTGACAGCAGAGACCTTGGAGCATTGCCGCCAGATCCCTCTATAGAGACGGAGACAGAATTAACTAATTAGCCGGTACGGAGATCTCAATGTTTCACAAAGAGAAAATGTCATGGATAACGTGGGATTAATTTTTGACGAGCTCTAATTTGAATATTTGGCCACGACTCTTTTATTTAAAGTCGGCGAAAGAACACCACTACATTCGTCTTATATAAAGAAAAGTGGAAAGCAGGAATCACTTTGAAATTCTTGAAACAAAATACCCAAGTGCAGCTAAATTTTTTGTCATAATTTAGAGTCTATAGCTACTGAGATACGCGATATGGAACAGGCTGTGGGGAGGACAAGGGAGAGAATATTTAAACGCGGCTTGGTGGAGACTGGCGGTTATTAAGCGCGGAACTATTGCTAAATTTAAGGTTGAGACCTTCCAAGTGAGTTCTATCATATTTGCTTCTGGCGTTATGAGACCCCATTTGTTCGTCCCACCTCCAGCATAATCGCGGCTACGTAAATAGGGTTTCTCTTACATTACATATCTGTACACATGTATTTAAGAAACATAATTATACCCTCCGAAGCACGAATCAGAAATTACGAATTCCATCATCGGGACAGCTACAAGTGGTCCATGTCAATATGACGACATCGGAAAATATCAACCCACTACCTCCACCCCCACAGAAAATATCGCCAATGCAATATGTGCGTGCCTGGGGAGGTAAGTAAATAGACCTCAATATCGCTAACACTCCCCAGAACTAAATATTATTTTCCAGAAAATTCCTTCCCACCTACGATTCTTGCAACTCTCATCGCCGCTCAACACATGCGGCCCTTCCAGCCTCTTCCCATGATCTTTCCCCCCGCCCTCTTATTCACCACATATCTCAATCTCCTGGACCATAAAGTCGATGCGGCGGGTGTGAGCGCAGCTTGGTCGGGTCTGTACTTGCTGCTTGCCGCGAAAAGAAAACAGCAGTTTAGGCAGAAGTGGGGAGCTAGAGGAATTGTTAGGGGGACAGCTATGGGGTTGGGATTTGCAAATATGGTGAGTGGCGGGTTGGTTTATATACTTGGAAAGAGAAGGGGGGAGGATGGGGAGGGACTAAGTGTTTGAAAGGTGTCGGGGATTTCAACATTATCATCTAATTTGGAAATGTTTTGTGATTTATCCCTCTTGTATCTCTTTTGCACTATATTGTCTATGGCATGGAAGGTGGTGTTTTTTGGTATGCATATGCATCAAGTAAGCATGCTTCTTTTCTCTGGGATGGGTTTTAAATGCAATGGTATATGTATATACGCAATTGTTTCTTTTAGAATTTGAAGTCCAGATATCCATTGAGCTCTTGAGCTTTGTTCAGTTGACTGATTTGTGATCTCATAACTCTGGTCTTGAGGGCATGATTGATCTCAGATTCCTCCAACTCTTCTCAAGCATGTAAGACATTTGCAGATCTCAAAATTATAGAGAGAACACCTGCCAACAACCAATTGGAATGAAAGCTTACATTATATAAGTGAACATGGCTAAATTGTAGAATCACTCTATGAAATCACTCTTGCACTCATGAGCCCTCATACAACTTCTGGGACAGCACCCACTCACAAACATTTGGAGTGACCAATTTTTTAAGTGCATTGATATCTTTATTGATCGCAGCATTTCTGGCTTTAGTTGAACTCACAGCCTTCTCTCCCGGCTTCTTCCCTTCACTCAGCTCAATGCGATCAGCCCATTCTCGTTTACCTCCTTCGAGTTCTCTGGCTCCCTGGGCTAGATTGCGTAGAAATAATTCTTGATCCTCCTGTCCGCCCCAGTCATCGTCCTGTCGAAAGGTCACTCTAAGTCTGTTTTTGCTGAAGAACCGGCTCAGTGGTTGCAATGTATATGTTGGGGGGTAGTATTTGGTGTCAAAGATCCTAACGAGTGTGTCATATCCTGTAAGAAGAACCTGCTCGAGAGATTCCGGATACACTTTGGACGTGGAAATTGCTTCTGCCTTGTCTATAAAATATGGCAACTTGGTTACTCCGATATCAATATTTGGTGAATTTTTCCTGTTCTTTGGAGCATTATCATCATTGCTTGTACGGATTCGTAAGATAGAATCCTTAATGTCTTGGGCAAAAAGTTGCATCATAACGAGCCGATCTTCGAATGAGGCGGGCTTGGATGGTTTGTCGGCATTCTGTGTGGCTAGAAGAAGCAGTAGCCTAATAGATGATGGATCGTCATGCTGAGCAAAGGCCGATTTCACAATATTGAGATGAGCGATGGTGGGAGGGTTGAAGGACGAGTCCAAAATATAAAGCTTGACTGGTTCTGCGGCCTCCAGGCTGTTTCCGCGCACCGAATCTAAAACCTGGAAAACTCTGAAGGATGCAATGAAATCCAGGAGAGAATTTCGATAGGTCTGCCGCAGTTCATGCAGATAGTGTATTTCAGGCTTGGATGCCATGGCGGATGCACGTTCACGTGCCGCATTGATGACGACAGCGAATCGTATGAACAACAATGTCGGTTCTAATCGACGGAACGTTTTCTTCAGATGGAGTATAGACACACCACTTTTATAAGGTTATCTAGGGATCAGCTGGAGGCCTTGACCCCCTTCAAAACCATGTAGCCAAACAAGTTTAGTGACTTGGATTGAAACTGGTTTGAATCCTAATTCCTTGGCTCGTGACTCTGACCTTGAGATTAACTTCGATCCTACACCGGGATTTAGCTATTTTCCACCCAACACCCGACAGGCTGGAAAGACCAGGAATTCAATAAATGCTGTTAAAACCGTCGCTGCATCGAACCTCCATATAACGAAATCCTTCATATAACTAATGTACAAACTTCCTTTCTGAATTCATTCTTCATACAAAAATTCGTTAAACCTCTATACAGCGAAATTCGTTAATTATTCATTAGATTTTCCATATATAATTCGTCACCCTGAGTCACGATGCCGTGCAGAACCGTGATTTCAGTCAATCAATAGATAGCTCTACGCGCTCATAAATTGCAGAATCTAACCCTCAGCAACAAGGCCTTAAGACATTGGTTTAAGAAGCTTTACGATCAAAAGATCAACCTATCCTCCGTCTCCAAGATCATTTCTTCATGTTATGATCATCTTGATCAGACAGTCCACTGTTCTTCAAAGCGGAAGTGCTACCAACCGTATAATATTGCATAATTAGACTCTGATGAACGGGAGTGATGAAGATGTGTCGGACACTCCCGTCACGTGACATGTTTTCCACCATATAGTTCGTTCTTGTGGCGTGCAAACTCTGCAATCAACCAAGCTTGCCATTCTGTCAAGATGAGGATATGAATATAGACCCTTCCACGGATTACTGCTTCGGAGACTTTGGATTTGGTAAAAAGGCTTCGCTTGTATGAGGAGCAGCAGGATCAGAGAGATCAGAGTCTAATTCAACAGCTCATTTACTATGAGAGAAAGTTAGAAGCAACGAAAGCTTGAAAATCAGCAGCAGGAAAAATAGTCGGGCGTACTTTGAACGCTCAACCTCTATATAGCGATTTCCTATATATAACGAATTGAATAGGCTTCCAAGTTCAAATCGGTATAGAAAAGGTTAAATGTATATGGTCAAATTCTAGGATGCAGAAACCCTGCCGGAAAAAGCTCCGATTGCAGTTTAACGTGGCTACAAGGATGCTATCACCATACTGGGTATCGAGCTTGAGGGATAATTACTGTGCATCAGAGCTGTTCAGTTTCCAGGGACTGAGCTACCCGAAACTCGACTGAGATATGGTCCAGCAGTGGTTAATCAGGCTTGGAAGGCTATAACAGAGAATCAATTATAGACCTTAGAGAGGAGATGCCAGCTCACTGCAAGGCAGTTATGAATATACAAGATTATAGCTTTCTGCTATTCTGAGGATATTGTATATAAGTTTATATGTTTATTCCTATCTGCCACTGAATAAGAACGCATACTCCCCAATATTTTGGTTAGAAGGTCGCAAAAATATAGGGGGGTGGGGTTAATGAAATTACCGGGGCAATATCTGCGTAAGCTCGGACGGCTTTTCTTGGATGGATTATATTCTGAACGACTGATATGTTTGAGAGTTAGTTCACTCTAAAATAATAATTGCAGGGTCTTATTTTGTGGACTGGTTGCGGTCCTGTCCCACTCCCGTCCTTTCTAAATCCAAGTGAACTCGAAACGCTGGCGCTTTAGACTAACACTTATGAATCTCTCATAAATCCCTTGAAGTAACCATTCTTGGGGATGCTATTCCATAACTAATCAGCACATATGAGATGCGACGAGACAATTCAGAAAATCGCCCATTTTCCCCACTTCAAACGCTCAGGAGATATCCGTTTTTTAAATGTTTGAAAAGCATTCTCGTTCCTCAGCTTCTCTCACTGAATATCTCCTCAAGAAGATTGCATGCGATGTTTGTCTGGGTCACACTTTTGCTGCAGATTTGATGATAACAACCGCCGTATTTAATTGGCTGAAGGAGAAGCTAACCAGGGGTTGTGCCGCGCCGTTTAAATCTAAAGGAATCATTCTGTCGGTAATTGCACCAATAACAACTTCACAAGATGGTGTTGATTACGGGTGAAAAGCCACGGAACGGGATCACATAAGTGTGGTTTCACATTCTATGTTTCATAACCTTCGGTGGACTTGGGTCGTTTGGCAAATTGCGGGGCCCTTGAAATCAAAAAATAAACGTTTCGTTTCAACGCTTAACTCGTCGGTTGGTTCCGCTAAAACGGGTTTGTAACGCCAGGTTAGCGCATAACTTTTCGTGTGTCAGATCCACCACAGCCATTCTCTCCCTGCCCATGCATATAGAAGGCTTGAGTGTAAAAATCTCATCTCCATCACTGTTTTGATCCATCACTGTTTTGAGCAAACGAACAAAAAGGGTCCCATTGACGGCCGGACAATTTCTGAAGAACTAATTACTTCGTATAACCTCCTTGGGATTAATTCAGGCGCGACGAATGAGCCATTGAACAGGGAAGCTAACTTCAGTATGCCCGCTGAGACGGCTTCTCCACTCCCGAAGCCGGCCGCCCTGTGAAGACCGGGCGGGCGTATGGTCTTATTTGGCGGGTCTGTGGAGACTCCACCCAGATCAAGGGTTTGCCAAAGACGGGAAACAATGCTCCTCTGGGAGAAACGGAACTGTTCCCGGGATCCTTTTTGAATCGCGCATTTCCCCCATGCTTCTCCGATTCCTTTCGTTTTTCTCTCTCTTGACTTTCTCATCCCATCAGCGTTTTCGCTCTCACACTCTTTTCTTCGTTCATAACCTTTCTGTTTTACATTATTTTAGGCTTTCTTTACTCGACGGGATCGTTCTTTATACCCCATTCAGTCACTCTTTATCAGCTACATACAACAAGCGAATTGATTTCGTTGCTGTAACATCGATTAAATCCCGAAAAAGCACCTCTTCTTCCTTGGTTGATACAAGGAACATCAAGGGGATAACCCCTGTCTTACAATTGGACCTTTCATTTTTTCATTTTTTTGATTTTTGATTTACAAGTTGCATTGATTGAACATTCGTTTTCAACATGCGTTTCATTAGCAAACTATCTATCATCGCTTTGGTCACAACCTCGGCGGGTGTCAGTGAAGCCAAGCCTCTGATCTGGGTTCGTGATTATACAGTTCACCCCAGTCATGGAAATGTGACCTCCATAGGCCTGCGCACTGCAACCGTTCATCCTATGCCTGTTTCCTCCAGTTCCGATACAAACACCATCCTGACTACAACAACCTTCGGCCCTCCTATTGTTACACATTTCTTTTCAGTTGATTCCATCTCGAGTAGTACTTCCGATGATGATCCCACTCCAGTGTCAAGTTCCTCACCAAGCACTGGCACCACGTCTCCAATTCACCGCCCCCCATTAACCACAGGTTTTTACCCAACCCATTCTAAGGAGCCGGCAAATATAACAGGTGTTAGCAGCAAAGTTATTACGGTCACTTACACCCTTGGAACTGGAGCTTCGACTTCTGTAGTCACTAGAACCCTTACCCAACCTGTTCGTCCAACCCAATTTCCTAGCCGGATGTGTTTAATGATGGACTATGACTGACTTGAGCATTCAGATTAGCGCTGTCGCCGCTACACCTGTTTATCCAAATGGTACTACGTCAGTAACTTCCACAACCACTATCATACATAACCTTAAATCCTCTTGCAACCACTCGCGCTCCTGTTTCTAACAATTATCACAGAGGCAATGATAATTGCAACGGCAGTAACAATTGCAATTCCAGTAATCTCTGCAATGGCAGTGGCAATTGCAGTGGCAATA